ATCCGACCCCAGACGTTATCTATTTACACGTTCCTGCGCCCTTTGAAATTGTAGGTAGATAACGCGAAGTTTCGCCGGATAAATCGCCGCTGGGGGCACAAAGGGTCGAATCGTTTAATCATTAGCAAAGTGCCCCGTAATCAAGATGATAGCCGGTGATAATTCACAGTGCAAAATCACTGGCGTCGCCTAACAAACCTCCCTACCATATACCTCCATTATATTTATCTTTGCAATTGACTCGAGCGATTTCCGAGAGCCTCAAAAGCCGAGCGATTCTGCTCGAAAAGCACGTAGGATCATACTTACACTAACACAAAATGGTGAAGAGGATAAATGGGAATTTGCTAAGCATAAAATAACAGAAAATTACAGGTATAGGCGCACCTGCAGCGCTACTGGTGCTGATGCTGGGGAAAAAACTCCCCCTAGAAGATGAATGGGCAAAAATCGCTAGATTTATTGCGGAACACTTAGAAGATAAATGTTTTCGTTTTTTTTGCGGATGGCGAACTTTAACCGCGGGTAATATAATAGAAAAGAGGGTCGTATATTCAACATGTTTTTTCGAGTGCGCTCTTTGTTTGAGCTATATCGAGCAAATATTTATAGATAAGGATGAAAAACATTGGATCCCTTTTACTGCCTGCGTAAAAAGAGATGATGATAATATCATGAAAACTCGACTCAGGCTTATAGAATTTATAATCACATGAATTCAAACAATTTCGACATAGGTGTATGGTGATGAGTTTAGAATTTTTTTACATAATATTTAAATTAATACCACACAATTTTAGAACCATTTAGAATATTTGAACTGAATGGAACCTTTTGAAATAGTTCAGAATGACCTTTGAACCATTTAGAACTGTTCAAAATCCTTAAAAACCGATTCAGGGCTATTAGGAACAATCCAGGATAAACTAGAAAAGTCGTAACCATTCAGAAGCATCCAGAATCATTTAGAGCTATCTAAAAACATTTAGAAACGATTCAGGACTATGTAGAATGGTTCAGGATAAACTAGAAATGTCCAGAATCATTTAGAACCATTATAGAACTGTGTACGATTTGAAACAGACGAAAATTTAGAAAAAAATTCTTGAAAATGATTCAAGCAAAGGTGAAGAACTGTGGTAAGAAAATAAAACAAAATACCATTACAATTCGAGTGGAAATAATGCGCATTAGGTACATATTTTCCCATCGGCAATTGAGACGCATTGATATATCGAAAAGATGGGAACAAGGAGCGTCGTAAATTGATATTTTATTAAGAAACGAGCCGTATTTTTCCAATAACCCGCCCAACATCGAAACCATAATAAGAAAAACAGTACAAATATCGCTTTTCAATAAAGAAATACGCGCCTCGAAGAGAGCGAAAAATATCTTTTTATATCCCCACATATAATTCAATTTATAATCGATTGATGTCAATGGCTTTGCGACTTGGAAAATTCGTTTCCTCGCTTCAAAGAAAAACGCTTTGTTTGGTCTTTTCTGCGCCGGCCGTTTCATCCCGTTTTAATTGCAAATTAAGCCCCAGGGAATAATTCGCCCAAATAAAATAACGAGATGAAAATCTAACAGTGTCTAGTAAATAAAATTAATCGAAAGCGACTTTATTTAAAACATCAAAAAATCCGCTTTTCACAAATCGCGCGTATTACGTCGACTCATCGAAAAATCAGCGACCGCTTTCGAACAGAAAAACCAATTTTCCAAATTACCCGAACCAGCAATTCGATTTTCCGGGGTCCGAGTCCCGGTTTTGCCAGTCCGAATTTATTCGCGGGTTATTATATTTGCTCGCCATACACCGACCTAACGAATTTCCACCCAGTTAAACCCAAATTATTAAATCATAATTACTCATCCCTTAGCAAATAGGACGTGTCCTGCGAGTCGACAAACCGCAGTTTGCATAATTAAAGCGCGCAATTAATTGCTGAAGAAAAAACAAAAAGCCGCCGCAGCCAGTCAAGGATTTGTTGGGGGTTTTGAATACAATTATTTCTAAATATAGTGTGTCGCGTTTAAATTTCCTCGCCCTGTGTATTAACGAATCGATGAATAAGGAAAAGTCTTATTAAAATGGCGAACTGAGTACATATTTAATCGCGCGATGTCGTCTCCCTAAGGACTGTAACTCAACGACGAGGGGCTCCTTTTATGGAATATACACATAGAAATATTAATTGGGGCTCTGTTTAAAGCCCTTCGGCTGCTCCTACGCCCGCTTTTTGTTATTAAAAATAACCATTTTGTGATATTCTTTTCGAAGACACCGCATTAACCGCCCGAAGGAGCTCGGCTCCGGAGATTTATATGCATAGCTCCTTTCCGGACGGGTCCTTCGTTCTCTCGACAGTTACACGTCGATTTTTCCCCGTATTTATCGACGAATCCGGGGCATTTCCGGGCGATAAAAGGGCGCCGAAATCGCGATAAAAAGCGACAAAAAGATATAACCCGTTAGCGATACTCCGGTCATTAGGATGATGTAATGAAAGTTAACGAGACGTGTATCGCTTTTAATACGGTTTTTTTTAATGTTTAGAGCTAGTTTTAGACCGCTCAGATGTATCATTTTCATGCAACGAATACACCTACAGAGAGGAGAAACGAAAAAGATAAATAGACTAGCCGGAACGTCTAATTTCCTCGTTTCAACCGACGCGATTTTTGTGTAATGCGAAAATGGAAAAATTCCCATCCAGGTCTCGTATACGCGTATACCGTGGAGTATACAAGACTAATTTGCGGCCCGTTAACCGCACCTTCGCCGTTCCTCGCGTAATTATTTTCTTTTATAACCCTCGCTATTTTTTTCCGCCGCCGCTCGGGCGTTATTTCGCGCGAAGTTTCGTCGAAAAATGAACCAGACTACGCGGACGGAATGAAAAACTTTCCCGGGATTTTACGACGGTTTCCATCCCGCAAGCGGCGCGGAAAATATGGCCGGGAAGTTTCCCAACACGCGACCGTTCGTTTGCTTTATTCGAAAGTTTTCCATTGCCGTTTATTTCGTAAGCCGGATGTTTACTTTGATTAGTTGCGATAATTTTAGGGTTGTTTTAAATTAGTCCGGCGGCGATATTTTCTCGAGAAATATAGAAAAAGTTTCGAGTTAACCCCTACATCATTAAAATTCGTAATAGTGTTCACCTTGTATAACATCATTATGCCATCGCAAACGAACTCTCGTGACACATTTTCCGATACATAAAAGAAGAGTTTCGAATGAATCGAAGGCGGCAATTTGCCATCGCCCGCCGCCGCGACGCTTCCGGCCCCTTTGGAAATGCAGCCCCTGCGACTGTATTGCGGGAACTGGGCGAGGTAACGAACTCCCATTCAGCGGGTCCGGTCGAGCGGAGGCCGCCCGGAAAATGGAAAATGCGCGGATATACGACAGCGGGATTTTATTAGAACGTCGCGTAGGCGATTCGAGAAGAAAAAAAGATACACACACGCGGAAAATCGCGCGAGTTTTCCCGCTACATCTCTGCTTATTTACGTTCGCTATCGGGAAATTAAACGCGATCGGTAGATACAAGAAGAAAAACTCGACGCAGCGTTAAAAAGGGGGAGGTTTTCGATTCGGCGTTTTTCCGAATGATTTTATCGAATTCAATTTTCCGACGAACGTTCCTGTGTTTACCCGCGCGGAATTGCTTCGTCCCCTAATCGGTCATGTAAATTGTTTAGATTCGGTTAAACTCCCGAAATAAAAAAAAACCTTCCGAATTGCCAAACATATTCGCTTCCTACCGAGTATTTACTCCATCGATTCCTTCGGAATACGCCTCTAAGCACCATCGAAACCTCATCGCAGTTCTTAAAATACAGCAAATAAACTCGGCAACGAAATAAGTATGTTTAATGTTCTAATTTATAGGCGAACTAGAAAGGGTGAAAATTAGTTCTGCGGGGGAGTCGGGCAAATGATTCGAAGGGTTCGAGTTACAATTACGGCAAATTCAATTTCCATCGCGGTCGCGTTTCGAACGTCGGGACGCCCTTTCCTCGACTAAATGGAAATTTATGAAATTGCTAATTCGAATGGAAAACACCGGTCGAATTCGACGCGACTCGCGGTGAATTTTCGACATCGCAAACAAACACTTTGTTCACACGGGAGTCGATAATTTCTTAAAGCACTGTATAAGCTTTAAAGCTGCACTAATACTTAAAAAGCCCAATTAATAGCGAATTTAATCTCATTCTTTCGAGGGCGCAAGGCTAATTATTGAGCAGAAATTTATTGGAACAAAGTGTCCCAGCGTTTTGTCGAAGGATTCTGCTCCATCGACCTTTTCACTATCGACTCTACTTCACATTGCAATTTGAATACGAAGCCTAACAAAGACGGAGCCCATCGAACGTCCCTCCTACACGCGACGTCGTCGGGCTTTTTCCAAAGGGTTTTGTGATTTCCTCTCCCGGAAGCGGCCTTTTGTGAAATTTTATTTCGTAATGTCGCCGGTTAATTAATATGTGAACAAGTTTCCGATTCGTGCATCGAGTCTTGGGAAACTTTCAAAATCCCTCGACCGAATCTAAATGAAATCTTCACTAATTAATTTGCAAAAATAAGGCCGAAAAAGAAAATGAAAATGAAACCTCCTCGGAGAAATTTCGACGTAATTTATACAAGTACCGGAATATTAAATGTAATATCATAGGAAATTATATTCGGGCGGTATTCCGGACAAGCTCGTTTATCACAATTATTTATTCTCTTTTTTTTTCTCTCGACTCGATTTTCGTCCCTTCGTTCTAACGCCATTTATCAATTAGTCATTTCGCTCGACAGTTTTTCGCGGTTACTGCTAAAACGCCACATTTATGAGCTAGTCGGAGTTAATTAGAAAGTTCGAACGGTCCGAAAAAGGCGAAAAATTGGCGCGGAAAAGTCGCAGTTTTCTTTCATAAACGATTGTGGCGTCCAATTGATTCGTCGTTTAATTGAGTTTATCGGTTTGTTGCAGTAAAGTCTGGCGTCAAAACAGCACAAAAGTAGTTTAATGAAGAGCCGCCATCAATTCCGCAGGCGTTTTAGCTTGCAGCCTTCGTTTCTCAAAGAAGAACCCGAAGAAGAAAGGCATTCTAACAGGTAATCTATAATCTAATTAATTAATCAATATCGACGAATCGTTTTATCCAGCGTATTGGAATAACTTTTAAAAGGGCCCGTTTAATTCTGCTATTAAATAGCTCCTACTCGAGCGAAACTTTTCGCGCAAATTAAAATAGTTTTTCCCTTGATTTCCTCTCGAATGGATTCGAGTATCGAGAGAACCGTTAGGAAAAGCGCTCGATCATCGAACGAATTTAACTAAGCAGTAATTTTAACGATAGCGAAAAATTTCGATTAAAGAAGTCGTTTGAAATAAAATATTTCGCTCAATAAAAGCCCAGAGAAATTCGTAATTGGTTTTTTCGTACACCTTCTGGACTTTTCCTCGTTATTCTGGATTGTTCCAAATAGTCCTGAAACGTTTCTAAATAGTTCTTAGATCCTCCTGAACTGTTTCAAATAGTTGTAGCCCATTCTAAATAATTCTAGACAGTTTTAAATGTTTTTGTACATTTCTAGTGTATCCTGGACCGTTCCAAATAGTCCTGAATTTTAGACAGTTCCAATTGAATTTGTTTCTACTGTTTTGTCGTGAATTTTGATTAATTCTGGATACAAAACGAGGTTCGAATAAACTCATCAATGCTTCTAAAGGGTCTCGTTTAGACCTCTGGGACGGTGTCCGAACACAAAAATGTTATTTCACTGGGCAGGGTTTTCAGGTCGCAGAAGAGCGAGGATGCCGTGTCGCCGGAGAAGACGGACCACGTCGTCGGCGTCGGCAGCGTCTCGCCCGTCGGCAACGTCCGCTACAAGATAGTTGTAATGGGCGCCGCCAAAGTCGGCAAGTCTTCCATCATCACGCAATTCCTCTACAGCTCGTTCTCCTCCAAATACAAGCGAACGGTCGAGGAGATGCACCACGGCGATTTCAACGTGGCTGGAGTAAGTGGAATTTACATTTACATACTCAAAAATGTTTTGCATATTATACGGGGTGTCTCAGAATAACTGTTCCTAATTTTCAGAAATGATAAGGGGCACTTAAATAAACATTTTTTTATCAATACACTAGTGTCCAAAAAAGTTTCCAAAAAGCATACACTTCAATTAATAACAATAAAAACAATTTAACAAAAGACATTTTAAATAATAAATGGGCAGTGATGGCATTTCAACTAAACTGCTACAAAACTAACTCCACAAAAGTTAAGGAAGTTCGCAAATTTTTCGATTATTTTAAAAGTAACAGACTTTTCGATCACCAAATTATCAAATATGCGAAATTCAATGTTTTCTCTCACATCTGAGTGGATTTTTTGCCCCTTCCTCTACAACTCACACTAAATTTGGCGATCAAAAACCATGCAACTTTTAAACTAATCTCAATATTTGTGAACTTCCTTAACTTTCCTGGAGCAGTATACATAATATGCAAAACATTTGTACTCGGTACAAATTGTATCATTTATTGGTGCACCAGGTGCACCTGGTGCTCGACATCCTGGACACGTCGGGGGCGTACGAGTTCCCCGCCATGCGCGCCTTGTCCATATCCTCGGCGGACGCCTTCGTGCTCGTCTACGACGTCACCGATTCGACCACCTTCGAGGAGGCGCGCGCCCTGCGGGACCAGATCCACGAGACCAAGTGCTCGACCAACGTGCCGATCGTCGTCGTCGGCAACAAGATCGACCTCACGGGCGATCGCGAGGTACGTTTTGATCTTGCAACTATTTTGCAACCCAAATGAAACTAGTTTGCAACCCAAATGAAACTAGTTTGCAACCCAAATGAAACTAGTTTGCAACCCAAATGAAACTAGTTTGCAACCCAAATGAAACTAGTTTGTGATGAATCACAAACCAGTTGTACGCGACCATTTCCCGCGGTCGCAGTCGCTTTGCAGTTTCAAGTCGCTTTAAATTCTTGCCAATTTATGGTGTGATTCATTCGACATTCGATAAATTACTACGGCAACTGATTGAAACTATTTTATAATAGTCGCATCCGTGTGCGTACAGAAGTTTAATATTAGTTGTAAACTGGTTGCAGACTAAACTAAATTGAAATCTGTATTGCAAACCAGTTGCTTCGTGTGCGGTGGGCCTAACTCGACCGTGTATGTGGAATAGAAAGGTTTCGTAATCAATAAAGCGTATCCAGAACGTGTCGCATTGTTCGGTGCATCTTCAAACGTTGGATTTGGATCGAAACGAAATCCGGGAAAATTCCGTTTGTAGTTTTACAAGCGCTCGATTCCGCCGCGTTCTCGGCTCTAACGGAATGGGAATTCCATTCCCTATCCAAAGGCGTATCGGCGTTTGGGGATAAATGGAAATGCGCGGATCTTGTGTGTCGTAATCCCGGGATGAGTGATTGATTGGATTTTTTTTTCTAATCGTTACTATACAGCGGGATAAAGAGTAGCTATTCGAGCGTAAAAGTTGGCGTTGGCTAATAAATTTTTTAGTGCCCGCTCGTAAAAAATTTCGAATAGGTTTTATCATCTCCAAATCTCTCTTAAAAAAACGTTCACATCAGATGTAGATATAAGTAAAATAAATCACCGCGAATTGCCGCGTTTTACGACAGGTTCTTCGTCTGTAGCACATCTACATGTATTATTTTTTTTCCTCCTCTACGAATTCCATTCACCGTTATGATCGCTTTAACGACAGAAACGCCAGTAAATCTACATACATTCGCCCGTAACGCGACTCGTTCGGCATTGTTTTCGAATGCAAATGCGACATTCCCGGCTCTATTCTTAGAGGCGAACCCTCCGAGATCCGCTCGAATGCGAACTAACGCGTCTAAATTCGAGCCGAAACCCACCTCGAACGCCGCATTAACATACTAACATCTCTGTTATTGTGCCATCGTAATAAGCAAGAATATAATTCATTAGCCTCAATTTTCAGCGAGCACAACGAACAAATTACCGTACTTTAAACTTCGTACATGTAATAATTAACTTTGCGAAAAATGGGGCTCTTCCAACTCTTGCATTAGCGGTTTCCATCTCGCTATATATTTATTCTCGACTACGATGTAATTAAGGTTTTTGTAGTACATCGCTTTATTCAAAGGGGTAGTTCGACTTATTAACGATGAGTAGGTGCGATGATACTTTGAAGTTGCCAAGATAAGACACAAGGCTATACCTGTATAAAATTTCACGTCTCTATCTCACTTACATCCAATTTTATAGGGCTCTACAAAGTGTAACTTCCATTAAAAATTTTCCCTCGTTAAAGCAGCAGGATATTAAAGCAGGATTTGTTGCAGATCGACACGGCCACGACGGAGTCGGTGATAACGGTCGACTGGGAGAACGGCTTCGTGGAGACGTCGGCCAAAGACAACGTGAACATCACCAAGGTGTTCAAGGAGCTGCTCTCCCAGGCGAAGATCAAGTACAACCTGAGCCCGGCGCTGCGCCGCCGCCGCCGCCAGTCGCTGCCGTCGCAGTCGGGGCCGCCTCACACGCCCCAGCACGCGGCCCTGATACCGTCGGCCGTGCAGCTCCAGCACCTGCAGCAGATCCGCGACCGCCACGGCAAGAGGAACTCCTGCATCATCTCCTAAGGCGGGAGAGGTATGAGAGACTGGCGGGCGACGCGTAGACGCTCCCGTTTGGAGGTTTTCTGCGCGTTTCAGTATTCAGATTTTCGTTGGCGATTCATCCGATGAAATCGCCAATTGAGGCATTAATTTAAAGTAGGTAATTAAGCATAACTAATCTTATTCAATGTGCAGATTCTTAGTGTGAGGTCCAAACTTTTTATTTCTCGTTTCGTGATTAATAAAAACGGGTTTTTAGGCGTATAATCCAAATGAATATTTTTGTAATATTTTGCTGGTTTTATGATATGAATAAAGCCGAATTTGGAATGAAACCGCATCTGCCTGTTAAACGATGAATCCGAATCGATTTGACATCGAAATTAGCCCTGTTGATTGACTTGAAACTAATAAATCAATCATAACCGGAAGAAGAAAACGATCAGTCAATATGTTTGCGCATTAATATTCGAAATTAATGAAAAACATATTAGTTTCGATGTCAAATTCATTTGATCCAATGGCTTTTAAAAAAGCTAAATACTATACTGCCTTTTTTAACTGGGTGCTTAACATGAAAAAGTAATTCTATAAAACCACTCGCTTATTTCACCAACTCGTTTTTTTAATTAAGCACCCATTCAACACACCAAAAAAAAAGAATCCAAACACACCAAATCTACATCGTACAATTAATACGCAACAAACGATTCCTATAATCACACGCCATCGTGCGAGAACAAAAACAGAAAATTCCGAACCACCCAAATCGCTTCATTCCGCGTTTATTCCAACCGTAATCCCGGCATTGTTCGGACGAAAGTCACGTCGACCGGCCCGTTCGATTCCCGATTCCCATCTACCTGTTAATTAAATCCGACGTCGCGCCGCCCCGACGCCGGCGTCGCGCTCATCCCTCGACGTTCGCGCCAACTTTCGCCCGGATTAGAAGAGCGACGTCCGGGGGTTTCTGGATGGAAAACCGCCGGGCGCAATCTCACCTGTTTCCTTTAACATTAATCGCTCATAAATACTAAACTACTCGTACGAGTGCTCGAGCTACTCGATAGTTGCGAGTGCTCGAGAAATTGCGATGAGTGAGGGTGTAAATTATAACTTGGGGTAGGAGGATTTTGGTGACGGGTAGGCAACACTTTATAAGCGAATTGTTTATTTATTCAGTACGGTTCGAGGTGGAGGAGAAGGTCACCTAAATCTTACAACCCCATTATATCCCATTAACTGACATAAATTCAGTTAAATTTGACCTGCACGTGGGCGATTTCCCGCCGGTTTTCCTCGTATTCCAAGTGGCGCAGTCGGAATTTTGTGTGGTATTCCACAGTTACAAATTGTTGCCATTCGCATAGTTTTGGATACCGCACGTGCTTCCCTTGATGGGCTCGAGATGCCCTAGCGGACGGGGAAAGGGGGAAAATATAGCTTTTATGGTGTATTCGGGTATGTTACATGCCCATCCATTTTGCATTTTAACTTACTAGCACAGGGATGTTTCTTGTGCTCAATGCTCGAATTTACCGCGTTTTTGGGACACCTTGTAGGTATTTATACAAGTTAGAACAAGGACTTAATGAAGAACACAAACATTGATTTAAACTTACCGGCTATGAGCTTGAAAATTGACATATCTCCGAGCACAATTTCAACGGGGAATTTAGAACACGGTGACTTTTACATTGCGGCAATTTAGTCGCAATGCGTTGTGTAAATGCAGTGGACAATGACGAATTGCATTTAGTTGAAGCGCCGTTTTTTTGTACTCGGGCACTGGGTGATTGCGCGTCATTCGAACACCAAGGGCTGATCAACTACTCTGCACTGATCCTTGATTCTTCCAAAGTATTTAACAAAAAAAAAACATTAAAATCTAGATTGTAATTGTAAGCATGAATGTCAACGTCAGTATTAATAAATGACACTTCGTAAAGTTACTTACTGAAGTGTTGTATTCTAATAACTAAAAACAACCGGTAAAGTATCCACTGAATTTGAATTATTACTTATTAATTTGTGTAATTTGTTTTAATTTGCACAAAAATAACATATTTTTACAATATTCGCCTATAAACTATCAAAATGTCACACGTCAAAATGCGCGATATTATGTCAAAATGTCAAAATATCAGAATTACCATCGCGATTTTTTTAAATTAAACCAACTTATTATTTCACGCATGCATGTATAATTATTTTCGTTCAATTTATTTAATAATAGCGCTTTCATAATTAATTCGTATTTTCTTTATGAAAATAACGTGCAGACTTATCTTGCAGACTCCGTGACAACGCCAACGCTGTTTATGAATTATTAATTAGAAATTAAGACAGTCATTAAAGGGCTGTTTGGAAAAGATAGAGATGGGCGTTTCTGTTTCAACGTGTTACTTTATTGGTAATTCAAATATTTGGAAGAAACTAAAAAAAATACTAATTGCATATTTTTGGTTATTAGAATATTCTATTGTAGACTGAGGTAAATTATAACCAATAAAAAATGATCAATTTCATTAGGGACTATTATATAATCATATGTATTTATAGGACGATAATATAATTGTAAACATAGATCTTTTATATCTCTTTAAACTATCTTGAAAGTTCGCGCAATTTATTTAAACTAAAAATCGTAACTAACAATTTACCCACAACACATTATAGGCTAAATAAATTGCTTGGAGCGCATATTGAATTTAAATAGAGCTGTATTTATACAGGGTGATTTCGTTAACGTTCTGTTAGGCGTATTTTCTAGTCGATTTCGTACCCTCGGCAGGATATTTAATCGAATCACTTTGCGTTGTTTCTTTATTGCCTCAAATGTTTATATGTGTTATATTTTCCCATAGTGGTTTTGGTGCAAGTACCGAGAGAAAATTCGAATAGGCAAAAAACTCTTCTCCATTATCGAAAAAAAAAATGCTTCATATCGGACGAGAAATACGGGAATGAGAGTTTATGACGTTTTTGACGTCAATTAAATTCGTTGTCAATTGAATTCGACATTGGAGAAAAAAAGGTTCGATAATAGAAAAGAGTTTTCCATTACGGGCGATTCTGGTCATTTAATATGCGAATAAAGGAGAAACATTTATGTATCTATTTTACAAACAAACTTTTGTACTGGGTGTCCCAATGGAGTGGCAACTTTATAAGCTATTGGGACACCCTGTATAGGTACGTTTAAATCAAGAAGGCGCTAATAATTATATTTAAATGGCCAGTAGCTTAGATACCTACTACCTTCTTAAACCATCTGTACATTATCCTAAAATACAAATTATATATTTTTCTATCTTCAAATTTTTATTGTTGAAAATCCGTTCTAAAGCACTTTTATAAGTACATATTATACTTATCCGTTGAGTATTATTCGTGATGTGATAATTGCTTGTATTTGTTGGAATTATCTTTTTTGCATAGCACTTTAGCCAAAACGAGCGCATTACAAACGCATTTAAAAACCTAATGGACCCATTTTTGAAAACAAAATAATAATTTTAATAACTTTTGGTTAAAAATATACCAATTTTGACGAGAACTTGTAAAAGAATGGGTCTGTTAAATGCAAAACAAGTCATTATACAGGGTGTTGTTGGTAAGTATATAGAAATTTCGATGAAAGAAATAAATATTCTTTTTTGTCTTAACAATTTGTATTCTAAACACTCTGTATACGTGGACTGGAACAAATCACTTTAAACTAAATTGTATAAAAATTATATTTGTACAAGTAATGTTTTTTATGGGGTTTTTTTGATACATTTAAGTCTATTGGATGTTTAACGTTAAGCCGTATGTAAATTATTTCTTATTTAATTTGAATAATTTCAAAAATAAATCCTTAAAAATATAAAAAATTGTTTTTGAGTTTAAAGGGCGGAAAAAAATAATTTTAATTACGCTAATTACTCTACCTATTATTACTTTGTATAGTTAAGTGGAATTCGATTTAATCCGAAAATAATTGTGATCGAAAATTGAGATGCAATCTGAAATGGTACAAGTGGATCTTAACAACCTAGCGGGACAAAATTATTCGTGCTTCTTTTTCCTATTGACGAGCCAATTTGGAAAAATAAAATTATGTCCAGTCGATACGCGAATATTCCCACCGTGTGGCTGTTGAATTGTTGGCATATTATAAGTGAAATCTGGTGGAGTAAATACGGAAATGGGAATATAATACAAAAGGTACGCTATTACGGATAAATAATACATTTATTTAAGAGAATCGCATAAATATTGTCATTTTTGTCGGATGGTAATTAGTCGTATTGTTATTCTCGGATGGGATAAAAATGAGCGCTATCGCTACCGTCGCTGGTTTGGTCGCAGTATCCACAGTGGCCGCTGTTGTATTTGTTATGTGTAAGTTTTTGTCCACCTTTTCACCAAAATTTTTCGAAAAAATTGCACCAAAACGTTTTTAATTTGTTAAGAAAACTTAAAACTTGGAGCTTGCAAATTTTTGATTCCATTGCATCGTTGCCAATTGCAGCGAAATTTAATAAGTTCCAGCGATTTTTGAAGTAACCACATCATTTTGTTTAGTGTTTGTTTAAAGCGAAATTTTTACATATGCATTGTTTGTACAGCCCTCGTGGATGGACAATCGACCGCAAATTCCACTAATTTGAGCGGGATACAGAACAACAGTCAAAACGGTCAATGGATCGATCCGGACGGGCCCAGCGTGCAATTCGTTTTATTTACCAGGTACAAATCCCCTTGAGCTTGTTTAGCGGAACCGCGTAAACAAACGGAAAATTTTTCATTTTTCGCCATCGGTCTCCGGTAGATCGGAAATTTCAGTTCGTTTGTTTCGAATTGTTTGCGCTCGCCTTTAAAACAATATCGAAAAATTGCGGATTATTCTAATTTTTCGTTGAATCGAAAAGCCCCGCGGGAATCGTTGCATTAGCACGATAAATATCCGCTCGACAATATAACAAGCCATTCGAATTTTCCGCTTATCCGGATTATTCGAAAATTAATTTTTGCAGAAAAACCGGGCCGGTCAACATGAAAATCGGCAACGAAGCGGAATTCAAAAAATCCAGCTTCAATCTCGATCACCCCACCAAAATTATCATACACGGATTCACCAGCAGCACCCAGGAAGAGTTTTTTATACGACTCAGAGACGGTAGGTGATTTTGTAACGCTTACGTTATTTGGTTAGTTCCCACCTCTACATTCAAAGCTAAATTTGACGTATCTATAAACGTCAAAATTACAAAAAATTCGAATTTATTTCTTACCCAAGCTTCATTAAACACTTTGATAACTCGTTTGATAAGGAAATCGAGTTTTTAGCGTACATTCAAGCCGGAGATTTCAATATAATCGGATTAGATTGGTCCGTTTTGTGCAAATTCGAGTACCTGTCAGCGATGACAGGTGTCAGAGAAGCAGGACAGTACTTAGCCGATTTTATAAAATGGCTGAAAACTATGGGAGTGCCGCTGGATAATATTCATCTCATAGGGCACAGCATGGGGGCGCACGTGGCAGGCGTTGGAGCTGGTAAGGTAAAGAACGGAAAAGTCGGCAGGATTACAGGTAAACACTCGCAATTAAAGCGCTATAATTTTCCGACTAGCTTATAATTTTCCAAAGGACTCGATCCGGCCAAACCCGGCTATCGGGATAATAGATGGGATAATAAATTAGACGCCGGTGACGCTAGACTTGTAGAAGGAGTACACACGTTTATCAGAGTTTTAGGCCTTCCTGAGACTGTGGGTCACGTAGATTTTTACCCCAACGGCGGGATCGCTCAGCCCGGTTGCCCGGAATTGAGCAATATTTGTAAGTTGTCGGGTAGTGGAGATGTTTTCACTTGAATTTTGTGTTGAATTTTCCAGGGAGTTTCGGGGAAAGTTTGTTTTGTCATCACGGTAGAGCGTACGAATACTTTGCGGAATCGATTATAAATCAAAAGGCTTTTAAAAGCGTCAAGTGCGGTTCAATACAAGAGGCTGTTTATTCGAAATGTAAACAAGAATCGGACGTTTACATGGGACAGCCTGAATCTTATGGGTATTTCACATGATAAATTAGATGATAACCGCATATTATTTTACTTTTTTTTAGTGAAACTGGTATTTATTATTTTAAAACGAGAAGCAAACCGCCGTACAGTTTGTAAATAAACTCAAATATTATATCTTGCATTATTAAACATTTTTTTAATTGAATATTTTGAATTTTCCTCGCGTTCCTTCTATCCTAAACGCGGTCTTGTTCGTCACTGTTCTTTCACCAATTTTTCACAAAACTGTCCCTAACCGAATAACCATTTCATTCGAGACCAGACTTGAAAGAAACTTTTTTTGACATCTTTGACATTGACGTTCATTTATTTACCACTTTAGAACAATGGCTGCCAGTGTTGACAGCTGTGAAATTTTCAATAATGTGTCATCACAAATAGTAAATTTATTGCACGGTCGAACGGACAGCGATCGGAACATTCTCAGTCGGGCCTTAGACGAATTGAATTCTTTAAATTACAGATACGCGATAGTGACAAATCCGACTGTAAGTTCATCGCAACTACTAACCTCACTTTAGTGATACGTTCCTCCACTTGCAGAAAGCAATACTTTTGGTGAACCAATGTTGTAGTTTCATATCAACGGATGATAATCTGCTCGTGCAGAAATGCAGCCAGTTCCTGTGGAACCTCGTCAAGAGGCAGAGCGTGCCAGTCGAAGGGAAAAGCCTTGTGGTCGCGATAAATTGGTGCCTCGACAGCACTCTCAAGAGCAAAGACAAAATCGTAGTTTTAGAAGTCTTGCAAGCTTTAGATGCTCTATTACGAATCAACATAGATCAAATCCTTTCGGTAAGTATTCTCACTATTATTGTAAACTAATTTAATTGTGATATACGTTGTAGTTAACTGATAAAGTCGTGCAAGTTGTGTTGAAAGTACTTGAACAAGGCGAGAAAAAATGGTCACCTGAAGTCGCCCTAATGGCCTTGCAATGTCTAGAAGCTTGTACAGTCGAAACGGAAACTACTACAGTCAATAGAGAGAAACTTTTAGAAAACTGTGCGAATACTTTCATATCGCAATTAAGCAAACCAGAAATAGTGGAATATCTTGTGCACATAAAGGTTTGTAAACAATTCTCCACGAGCTGCCTTTATACACTTTGTACATTTTAGATGTTAGAAATTTGTATTCGTGGATTGCAAAACATCGTAAGTCAAAATACCGATTATTTAAAAAAGGAAATGGGTTTGTTATTAGGCATAGTAAAAACGTACATGGTCTATGGGATAAACGATATAAACTACATGCCACCTCAAAAGTTATCACCGTCTACTCTAAGCATTCCGGAAATCACCATTAACAGAGAGAGGAAGGGAGGAAAAGTGAGTTTTAAATACAACATTCGATTGATTTTTTATATCGATTGAATTCCAGCTTATGAAGCAGAGGAAGCAGCGCATTTCGGTGTTAACGAAAAAAGAAAAAAACGTAATTGAAGATTTCGTTTTCGACAAAAACGCCGGGTACATTCCAGCTACGATGTCTTTGGATTGCAATTCGGATAACGGGTTCAAGTAAGTACTAAGTTAATTACAATATGTTTATTTATGTGTATTTCGTTATAGTTTAAATGCCTTTGGCAGCAAAATAAAAACGAGCGATTCGGATTTCTCCGACAGCGAATCCAATCTAGCAGCGAATATAACTAAAACGCAAAGTAAAACAAGACAAGCCGCCTTCGGATTATTTTATAACATAATAAGAGTAGGTATTTTGGTAATTTAAATGCGTAAATTTCAATTGTATGAATTCCAGAATAGCGACAAATCCACTATATTCTCCTACTGGACCAGTTTCATACCGGAAGGAACAGTTTCAGGCCCGCACAATTTAGTAGTATGCATTCTGAAAGATCCATCGTCTCGTTGCCGAACATCAGCCCTCAACGTACTATTGGCCCTTCTAAGGGCTTCAAAATTGTATCTATCTCACGCCGAATACAGGTATAATAAACTCGTTAAACTTCAGTCATCGAACGATCGTTGTATTGTTAATTTCCAGCGAGAAACCTTCGGCTTTCACACCCTTTTCGATGATACTCGGCCTGATGATTAAGGAATTGCACAAAGGCATCTGCTTGGCTTTGAACGAAACCTCGGTGCCTGTTCTCACGCAACTACTGAAATGTCTAGCCGCTTTGGTCCAGGCCACTCCTTATCACAAAATGGAGCACGGTTTGCTCGGCAAAGTCGTTACGAACGTTAAACCTTTTATATACCACAAAGGTGCGTATTTTGTATCAAAAATAAAGGTGTACTTGAACAAGTTGTTGATGTTTCCAGATTCTACTGTGCAAGTTACTGCTTTAATCGTGTTAGGGTGTATTTTGGCTTCGGAACCGGTCGTGGCCGAAACTAAGGAAGTCATGTTAAGTTCTCCTCAACACGATGACAATAAGAAGCCTCTAACACACGCTGATTTACAAGAGGACGATTCGATTCCTTGGCTGTTAAAAAAATGTTTGAGCAATTTGGGCGTACAATTCGACGATAATAAAGTAAGCTAGCCAAATCGTGAAATTCGATATCTAACAGCGTGAAATTTAGGTAAAAGCGCAATTAGTACCCGCTCCGGTTAAACTAGAATCTCTACAAGTGATATCGGCCCTCACCAGGAACTATTTCGACGTACTTTTGGCCTCTCACGTGCCTTACCTCGCCGAAGGGCTAACTCTCTCGCTATCCGATCAAAACATCGACGTGAAATTACACGCCGGTCGAGCCGTCGATTTCATCGGCCACGGAATCTACAAATTCGTAACCAACCAAGGTTGTAAACAACAGGAAACCTCGCGGTACAATTCGCTGATCGTACGAACGTTTCAGATGCGAAAGATTCGATACCGTTCGACGATTTCGTGCGGTTTTGGGAGTCGCTGCTTCGCCGACCGCTAATAATCCTGTTGCAATCCGAGGACCAGCCGTCGCTGCGGAGCGTCGGGTGCGATTGCATAGGCAGCATTGGATCCGATATATTCGAACAGCTAACGAGAGACAAGCAGATCTTGTGCATCACTATGCTGTTCGCCGCTACTAGAGATGATGAAGATATGGTGAAGGCGGCTGCCGTGAGGGCGCTGGCGATATGCGTGATGTACACCAGTTTAAGAGAGGTATAACACGATGCTGTGTAAGCAAGGAAGGAATATCTGTTGTAAATTGTTGCAGGATTCCGGATTTGTGGTGGACACGGCCGAGGCGATTTACAGAACGTTGAACGATGCGAGTTTGATGGTGCGAACGAAGGCTTCGTGGTCGTTGGGGAATTTGAGCGAAGCGCTGGTTTTGAACAAGTTAGTACGATGATATGGTATTGTACAGGATGAGAATCGGCTGTTTTGTAGCAAGGGCGATGGGGATGTGGAGGAGATTCCGCATAATCTCGTTTTGAAGTTACTAGAAATAGGGATTAAAGGAGCTTCGGATAACGATAAAATCAAAATGAATTGCGTTCGAGCGTTGGGGAATTTAATAAATCTGATAAACGCCAAGCTGTTGGGACAGGTGGAATTTTGTCGAGTGGTAGATAAAGCGTTTGAAGCTTTAGTGAAGAATTGTTCGACGGGTTCCAACATGAAAGTAAATTTATTCATTTCATTCAATTTATATTCTAATTATTGCTTAATTATAGGTAAGATGGAACGCTTGTTATGCGATAGGAAACGCCCTAAAAAATACGGTGCTGTACGAACAAACGACTCGTCTCGATAAAACATGGCAGGTAAGTTACTCTAGCCGATTTTTCGATCCGATAAAATTATTATGCGAAATTTAATTTAGAGCTCGGTGTTTAAAGCTTTGACGGAATTGGTGGTGAACTTCAAGAATTTCAAAGTTCGAATAAACGCGGCTCTCGCCCTCTCCGTGCCGAGCAGCAGAGAATGTTTCGGTAACCATTATTACAACGTGTGGACGGCGCTTTTAGAAGCCCTGGAAAATTCCCAAAACATGGAGGATCTGAGCGAGTACATTCATAGGGATCATCTCATCGAACAGGTACATGTACTTTATGTTTGTTATTTACTGATTTGTTAGTTTAAATATATTTCAGGTATGTTTGTCGTTGGGTCATCTGGTTACTTTGTTGGAAAAAAACGATCTTGTTCTTTTACAAAATTGTATCGATTTATATTATGAAGTGTTTCGACATCATACTCAAAAAGTCTTGGAACGTTTGATTCCCGAGAAATCTTCTACGCTTATTTCTGCTACTTTTTCACTCAATCAGCTGTCGAATCAAAACGGCCTCAGTCGGTCGGAATTGGAAGTATTGGATCGATTAAAAACTATTTTTACGACTATTGTTTGATGTTACGTTGAATAAATAATTCTTATTTTTTTGTGATAATTTCAGTTTGTATGATCGTTAAGTATGTTAACATTTTTTTTATTTTAACAAATATAAATAATACACTTTTTTTGTTACTTAAAATACTGCTAAAACTTGTTGAAAGTAACTTTTTTTACTTACAAGACAAATCAAATATCCACCTAATATTTTCGATTAGAATTTTATGTAGATTAAAATACTATCACTTTGCCGTAATAATCACATTCGTTTCATCCAATGTAAACCCATCGTAATTTACACTTTTTTCGGTATTCGTCATTTGTTGAATCGAAACACTCCTCTCCTTATACTCTTGTTTTCGGGCGCCTAAAAAGTCCAAATACAAAAATTGACTATAAATTCAAAAAAAAATGTACTTACATGTCTCGTGCCAAACAACATTCTGGCCTTATCTTCCTCTTGGGGAGCCGAACTTTCATCGGCCGCTCCGGTGTTTCTTTTAATTTGCAACTTCTGCTTGATAGCTTGCGATAATATAACCCTTTTACTGTCGTTTCTAATAGCCATCAACAAATCCAACCAAGTCCACGTCATATTGTGGTACTCGAGGGTCGGAATTATCAACGAATAATCCCTCAAGTCTTCCAGATTCTTCTCTTTTGTTCCTTTGTAGCTCAACTTCACGGGTACTTCGGGAATTTTTATGTAAACGAATAGTTTGTTCTTTTCCGCTCTTTCCTACAATCATATGATTACATATCGATTACTTACTATTATTTACTAATTCACCTTCATTTTTTCCACATCGTCGATGTGCACGTAAAAATTCGAATCCCTATTCCGCCTCCCTTTCGATTTCTTCCCTTTCTGCTCCGACTCGCCGTCTTCGCTCGCCCTATCGCTGAAATCGCTGCTTTCGCTCTCCCTTTCGGGGAAACAAAACTTCATCATCGTATTGTAAAACTTCTTCGTCAGCCCTATGGTCAAGGGCACCAGATTAATCTCGAATATTTCCTTCACCGATATCCCCCCGACGGGAGGTTTCTCCCTGCAGAAGATCCTCAGCACTTTCTGAAACGAACCGCTCGCATTCGCATCACGTTAAAAGCGCTCTATTTATTTTACCTTGTGCTCTATGGGCATGTCGAATTGAATTTCCGTGGGACAAATCACCTCTTTGTAGATTTCGTTCGGTAGTAAATTCGTCATCCTCAAATAGGCCAGCTCCATCAGATGCTCTACGGAATCGTCGCTCTTCGAATTCTTCGTATACCTAAACAAAACCGATTTATTTATAGCAATTTTGAAATTTGGCATCTTGAAAACCGGAATTTTGTCCTGATTTTTGGATTTTTCCGGATAGTACAACATTTTTCGGGAAATTTCATTTAAATTAAAATAAATCATTATCTGGAAAACTATTAGGTTTTAGAAATTTTTAGAAGAATACAAATTTATTAAGCGCACTCTCTTCTAACTAATAAAACAAACCGCATAATTTTATCTTAAACAACAACTTAGTAAGGGTCATGTAAGTGCGATTTTCACAAATTAGGCTGTCACAGGCCTTCGATTAAAGGGAACGCAGCCCCCCTTAGCGAGTTTAATCCAGTAAATGTAACTCACAGGAAATTGCTGAGTACCAAATCGGCGATACCGATTTGCCCGTCGGCTTCGGTCAGCCTCCACTGGGCGTGCTTGAAGCATATCTCGTTCGCCCTGACCACCGTCAGGGGTTTGTCGTTTCTGGTGGTGGCCAAGCGGGCGTTGGCCAACAACTGGGTTTCCTTGAAGCACGACAACATCATGTCGAGCTCCTCGCTTTGCGCGTTCAGCTGATTCTTGCAATCGTACATCTACAAAAACACCAATAAAATCACGCGAGACAGTAGTTATAACTTACTAATCGTTCTAATCTATCGGATTCTTGTCGCAGCTCGATATCGTCGGGATTCTCCTCCAACGCTTTGTTGACTAAGTAAGTTTCTTTTTCTAATCGCCGCAATTTGCTCTGCGTGCTCCTCACGAGCGTCTGTTGGTTCTGTATGGGTTTCCTTTGATCGTCGACGCTGTGCAGTTGCAGTTTGAACCTCATCCGCGCCAGTTTCTCCAGGGCTTCCTTTCTGTGCGGCTCGACGTACAGCAGGAGATTGTTTACGATATCCAACAGCATAGCGTACTGAAATTACAGCGATAATAACGTCGCTACTATGCAGTAGAAGTAGAAGGTGTAAATTACTTGTAGGGAATTCGTGCAAACGTCGAGATCGTAATGCATCAAGGTGAAAGCGTCGATGGCCGATTGCCGGTTCTCCCACGGTCCCACGTCCTCCTGCGGCGGCGACGGTATCTCCCCGATGCCCTCCGGATCGACGCTGATGTCGCCGTAATCGGCGTAGAAGAACTCGCACTTGCACCGCGACACTATCCGTTGCAACTGCGAATTCGAGTTAGTTCGGATTCGGCTAAAAGGCGAAGTGGAATCGTACCTGTCTCGACGAACTAGGTCCGACGGTATCGCTGACGACGGCGCCCACGGACACGCCGCTACCGACCAGGTTCGGCACCTCGCAGGGCTCCGATATCTCGGCGGATTCCTTCTCTTGGATGTTGTCCACAGTCAACCACATTATATTTTCTAAATAAACAACGAATATTAAACTATTGCGACTTATGAGTGTACTACGCACCGTCTGCTGTATCGTTTTCACCGGCGTTGACTGTAGCGTAATACTGCATGCACTCCAACGTTCCCACCCACGTCGTTTTCGACACTAAAGTTCTATCCTTCCAGGCCGGTCTGTGGATGCTTTGCACGATCTCCGCTTTGGCGGCGCTCAGTATCACGTAGCCCTTCGTTTCGCAACCTTTCAGCAACACCTGGGCGTTCACCAGCGCAACTGAAACACCGATGAAAATTAACATGCATCTGTTACTGTTAGAGAAGCGTACTTTGCCAGTTTTTGTGCAAAACGTCGTCCGCTTGGCAAGCCTGCAGGCCCTGCAAGTGCTGTTGTCTGGACGTCGACGATAAATCGTCGCTGTAAACGACCGAATTGTTGTCGGCCTCGGCGATGAGTTGCTGCAGCATGTTAGCGGCGTGGCCGGATTGCAATTTGCTGATAGGAGAAGGCGTATCTTGCACGGCGTTAGCCGACTGGATGGCCTGCGAAAAAATTTCATTCGTAGGATCTTCCGTGGCATCCGTGCTGATGTAGTCGTCGGGTATTCAGCGCTCCTAAGAGTCTAACGTAACCGATATTGATAGTTTCTCCTTAACAACGTTATACAAATGTTAAATTAAAAAGAGATATTGGACACTGGCGTAGTAAAAGGCCGCAAGAGATGCGTTCGCCGAGTGTGAGTTCGGAACAGTTCGGATCCACGCAAAAGAACGACAAATGACAAAACAATATGTCAACTTGGATGATTTTCAAAATGGCGGACGATTTTCAATTTTAAATCGCGATTGCGAGCCGAAACGAATCTAGCCGAGGAAAAGAAGGTAATTTTCGTAATCTGCGGGACCGGTTCCATCTAACCACATACCTCTCCGACCCCAAATAATTCAGAAAGAATAAAACTCTCCAATTAATAGGATGTCCTCCAAATAATAAAGAGATTAAAGAGACCCTTTAAACGAGTAAATAGAATTAAAAACGAGCGCTGAATACGAGCCATTGTTTCCGCCAAACTAGTACTAAGCTTACTTGAATGGAGTTATTAGAAGGAGTACTAGTAGTATCGGCGTTTTTCCTCTTCAACGGTGTTGTACTGTTGTCCTTTCGGAAACCCTTCAGAGCGTCCGTCGATAAATTTTTCTTCATTCTCTACAAAAAAAAAAGCCACAACGTATAAACCGATCAAAACGAACCCAAACGGTGCTTCATACTCACCATGGTCTTCATGAACGTATCGAACAGAGCGAAGGCGACGTTCCGGTTGCTCTTCGTCCAAGCCCCCTTCAAATCGTAGACGACCAACCGATGGGTGGGCACGTCCTTGTTCCGTTCCTGTCCGTGCACGATCGTCTCCCTGCCGTAGGACACTTTCGCCACCGACAGACAGTAGCACTTCTCGACCGGCTGGCGCGGCGCCGGCAGCTCCAGCTCCATCTCGTCGTGCAGCGCGCTCTTCAGCCAGATCTCGAAGTCGTTGAGCTCCGAATTCATGTAGACCACCGACCATTCGGCCTTCGGCCGGTGCTTCAGCCCGTCGTCGACGCCGACCAGCGACAGCGTGTGCTCGGCGCTCGACGACAACCGACCGCCGAACAATTCGCAGCCGCGTTGCATCGAAAACGACATCCAGTAGCACACTTGGAACTTGTGCAGGTGCATCAGCAGGTGTATCTGAAACGTTACTAGGATCTACAAGAATCTATAATCTACTAAAATGCACATTATCAGTACCACCGGCTTCCGCCTGATGAGATCTAAAAGATGGTGTATTACAACAGCACCTTTCCTTCTATCTTATGATCATTTTCTCGATATTTTTAGTGCATTTAGACGGGACTATTGTACCTTTTTGTAGTGTCGACTGAGTTGCGTTTTCCTGGGCCTCAGATTGTTGAAGATCCTGCCGCGCTTCGTGGGTCTGGTGACGCCCGATAGGATCAGTTTGAGGCTTTCGATCCATCGCAGCGTGCTGCCGTAGAGCAATAAAATGGGACAGCTGTTGGGCTCGTTGGGGACGGGACGCGTTTCGAGGACGATGCTGAGGTTGACGTTCTGCGATCGGAAGGCTCTGAACGAATCGTGTACCTGCGAGAAAACGGATGTAATCGAGCGTAGATTGGGTTGTAGTGGGGTTTGATGGTTACTTGGTTGCTGGAGTATTCGGGTACTTTGTCGGGGGCGCATTGGACGACGCTGTGATGGTCGTTGGGATTGCCGAGGCACTGCCATTGTATGCCGAGTATCAGCTTCAAATTCGGCAGTTTCAGTAGCTGGACGTCGTCGTATTTCGAGGCCGTTCGCACGTACACGTTCAAATCGCCTTTATAGACGAATTTAGCTTCAAAAAAATACCGAATTTAAATTATACTTGTATAAATTTATATGTATTTATACCGTTTGTCCAATCCATGACGACTTTTTCCCACGTTAGAGCCATTTCTTCGGTGGTATTGTAAGGATCCAAAGACCCGTGCAATAAAACAGTTAATTGTTGCACGACCATTGTAAGTCTTCCGTGCAATAATAGTCTCATTCTATCCCAAAACGTCAACGGTGGTGAAGGGTCTCTAGATGGAGCGGATATTTGATTAAAATCTACAAATCAATCGAATATCAATCCTCCAGTAACCGCGTAGATTTATTCATACATACTGAGATTACATTGGGCTATAACAGGCTCCCAACAAGGACCGAAAGCGTAGCTAAACGATTCGATTTCGCAATTGAAATCGTGATAATATTTCAACGGTAACATTCCCCTTTCTATTACATAAGGTTCGAAGGGTTCCCCTAATTGTATCACCACCGTACGTACGGCTGGAACAAAGAAAACATTATTTACACCGGTATAAATCGATTAAAACAAACGACAAAACAACATCCCTAATTGTAAGATATAATCGTGTCGTACAAAGCGCGAGCTTCGAATATAATTACGGCAATTAGGAAGCGCAACAATGGAGCAAGCGATACATAAAACGGTAGATGAGCAATAGCGCGCGAAAAAGGACGCAAATAAATTAGCGGACAACTATTATAGATTTTAATCTTCCGCGTATTAGGCGTATACAGAGTGGCACGTACGATTCGAACGGCTAATCACCGGGTACCTTTTCGGCCGCACGCGCGCAAGGTCGATGGGAAAAAATTACACGACAAGAGCGCTCGCGGAGAGCGCCTTCGCATCAGATTCGCCGGGCGAGCGAGACGGGTCTCTTGTGTCTTGTAAAAAAGTATAATTAGTGCTATTTTGTCCATTATGCGCTCGAGATTGGTCGAGCTTTTCGTCGTGACGATGCTGTTTGTCGTGCAATTCGCTGCTTTAGCGGAATGCCAGCAAAAGTCGGCTGGAGTGACGAGGGTGAGTTTTCAATGAGTTTTCCCGTTTAACTCTTTTGTTGCTGCTAATTTTGTGTCTAACTTCATTCTATAGACAACCAGGAGAAGAAGTACGGTTCGATAGAAATAGCTAGAGACGTATGGTAGCTTGTCCAGTTAGTTTCAGTCATTTCTGTCGAACTGTAGAATGTAAATGTAAATAATACCCTTAGGGTTAAAAATACTGATATCAAAATCTAACTAGTTATTGTGACTAATAAGAATATATAAATATTAATCGTTATTAACGTGCAGTTTAATTATCGTCCCACCAAACAGGTAAGTAAATAAACCATTATCTAACCGGCACAATTGTTATTAACCTTTTCAACGCATAATTTATCCTTTTTGGGAATTTAATTTCCGAATAGATAAAGAATAAGTATTTCGTTATGTTGTAGAGTTATTTCTCCAATCAGCCTTGGAATCAAGGATCCGGATATTCGTATAATAAACCTAACTGGGGTCAAGGAGGCTATGGTTATTCGAACAACAACAAACCACAATGGGGTCAAGGAGGCTGGGGTTATTCGAACAACAATAAACCTAACTGGGGTCAAGGAGGCTGGGGTTATTCGAACAACAACAACAACTACAAACCTCAATGGGGTCAAGGAGGATATGGTTATTCTAACAACAATAAACCTAACTGGGGTCAAGGAGGCTGGGGTTATTCGAACAACAACAACAACAAACCCCAATGGGGTCAAGGAGGCTGGGGTTATTCGAACGGCTGGGACGGTGGTTATCAAGGTTCTAATAACTGGGGACAGGGGTACAATCCTTCGGGGTGGAATAATAATTACAACAATTGGCCTGGAAATGTGTGGGATTTCGTAAAGAAAGGTCAACAATTTTTGGATAATTTACCGAAAAAAGCTCAATAATGATATCACTAAATATGTTCAAAATCACTGCCGAAACACTGCCTTGTTCAGTTCGCGCTCAAAATATATTAATTCACAAAATATATATTAATTTTTTGTAATTTTTTATAATAAATATATCGTTTAATCAATCAGCGTTTATGATTTTTTTGACCATTGCAAACGACACGAAAATACTCTATGATTATTAATCAATTTCATTGTTTTTAGGGAAATCACGCTAGAAAAAGCATGCAACTATCAATGGGCGACGACCTGATGAGCACAATATTAGATTTCGTCATGGACGCGATGGGATTCTTCACCGATATATCGGATTTCATCGGCGGCATTTTCGGCTAACACAAACCCGATATTTAATCAAGATCGCACGAATAAAGCAATCGCATTATTTACGACTATTAAGCCATCACCTTCCTAACGCTAGTTCCGTCAGACGACGCCTTACCTCTTTTGGGCGCCACCTGCTCGGCGCCGACCAATTGCCCGCACACGTACAACTTCTTCACGTTCATCAACGGCTGCGGGAAATCCCTGAGCAGGAAATTCCAATCGGCGCATCGGAACGACACCACTCGACACCACAACGTCGAAAACTCCATCTGCTCCTCCGGCCACGGCGTCTCGTGATCGATCTCGCGCATCGTTCTGATCGCGTTATCGGCGCCGTGAATCGTCGGATCGGCCATCACCTACGAAAATTATATAAAAAAACCGCAATTTACCGCTGTCTTTTTGGCCAATCGGAGAGTTTACGTCCATAAAACACTGACTAATCGAACTGACAGCTGTCATTTTGCAACGAGAGTTTGCTTTACATAAAACACTGACAGCTGTCGTTTTTTTAACGTCCCGTGCTTAGTTTCTGACGGCTTACGAGTATCTCGACGTTGGTGATGTTCCAAGCGAAGAGGCGGGTGCGAGGCGGAGCGGCTTTGTACATTAATTTCGATCGTTGTATGTAGATTTCGGCGTTTTTTTTCTTGAGGGAAACGTACAACTCTTCGACCCTGCCGGCCGGCATGTGCAAGTGCGTTTTCAACAAATCTGCAATCTAAAAAATACGATAACAAACATTCGAATCCACTCATCTAGTCTCACCTTATCCTTGAGCATCTTTTGCCTCTTCAAGCTCTCGTTGTATTCGTCCTCCAGCAGCTCGAAGTTGTCGCGCAGTTTCACTTCGAACGGATCGTCGCTCATTTCGAACAGAAATTCTTTAACCTGTAACAAACTATTAATTCCAACGATAACTTCTAATATCTAATATTACCTTTATGAGCAAATCGCTGGGCAATGGCCTATCGGCGGACTTGTCCTTCTTGAGATCGTGCACGATTTTCAGCCATTTGAACACCGAAACGAACTGGTTTTGATAGGCCTCGGCGAAATTGTGCTCGTGAGGGAACACCGCTTTGAAGGAATCGATGTTCACGCCCCAGGTTTTGTTGAATGGTACCGCGAAACTTTCGACGTCCGATCGTTCGGCTTCGACCAAAGCGTGAGATTTGATCGGGTGGAAATTGACGCCTCCTATAGTAAATATGTCCGAGTTATCTATCGTTATCACCAGCGACGTGTTCAAGTAGATATCCGACGACGATGCGGCGTCTTCCAATTTCTTAGTGAGGATCAATTCGTCTGTAAACAAAACGCTCGATTACCGAATCGATTATCGAATTAATAGAGCTCACCTAAAGAGACTTTAGCGTTGTGTTCGGGACTGATGTCGATGTGGAACTCGAATTTACCGAATATGTTCAAATTGGTGACGCTTTTAACCGGTAAACTCCTCGTACTCTCCACGCCTAATTCCTCTCGAATGGCGCACACAAAGTCTCTTACGTCCCTGTACAACAGCAAGCTTTTCATGTGGAAATTCGTAGACCAATACGTCACGATGTTGTCCAATAGCGTGAACGTGGTCTCCTTGATTTTGTCCTTGTTGTGTCGCGTTTCCAGGCAAGCCGTCTTCACGAATGCCTTGTAATTCGATATGTCTTCGGTCCTGATGCAAGTGTAGCAGTCCCCGCTGTTGTTCAAACTGAACATTTTGAACTCCTCGAACTTCACGTTCGACGTCGCGGGGGTTTTATCGAGGCTGATGGTGTTCAAACGAAACACGAAGTATTCTGGAAGGTAATTGATAATAGAAGGTAATCGGAGGTGTTGGTTTTGGTTTACCTTCGTTTTGGGATTGACAGAAGAAATTGAAATGCGTTACGATCAAATGCATGGATAATTTTTCACCGTTGTCTTCTACAACGCTCTTCGATGGACTCGGTAATTTTAGTTTCATTTGCCCGTATTGTTTAAAGCATCTACAAAGTATCTAGTGTAATCTAAATTAATTTCTGCATAGCTATAATGGTACCTTAGTGCTAGTAAGACGTAATCGGCGAAATCCAACGACCATTCTAATTGAACAATGTCCAAAAGAGACTCCATTTTGACGTCCCGGTTGTGAACCGTAGTAAATTTAACGATTCCCATGCCGAGATATAACGGAGTGCCCCAGATGTGCATGACTTTGGAGACGTTGGTGTCTTGTGGCCATTCTTTAAACGACCACCATAAAGACTCGACCAAAAATTCTACGGTCCAATGGCGATTTTTTAACAGAAGGTTCGGTAAGTATGATTTACAAAATACCCCTAAAATTCAACAGCAAAATAAAGATGTATATTCGAAGCTTGCGATAATATTACCTCTGGTTTCTTGAGCTTGGTCTAGCATAAACCTGACTTTGTTGAATCCCATAGACGAGTTTTGATCCTTCAATCTGATTATCACTAAAATTTGACTGAATTCGGCGCAGAAATTCACGCACAACTTCTCCAGAATTTTCTCCAAAGCCGTATTTTTTCTAATCACTCTGGCGTCCGCGTTTCTGGTAGGTTCGAGTTTCAACGGCAGAATGTTTGTTCGATGTTGCGGGAAATTCGTGCACACCCATTTGTGAATCGTGTTGTGATCGTACGTTATAAGCAGGCTGTTTTGTTGCAAGAAAATATTCAAATTACCCTGTTTCAACTGCAAATAATCGCTTGTTAAATAGCGCTCGAGTGTTTGACGATGACTTACTTTAGCATCGACACCGAGGTGCCTCAATTCCAATAGCTTCTCTCTGCTATTCAACAGCAACAAATCTGTTATGAAGAAATTAAATAGCATTGAATAGCTGTTGTTCGAAGTATTCTTATCATCCGAAAATATCGATCTGTAATTTAGAGCTAAACTTTTGAGTGAGGAGTTGTATTCGATTTGTCCGTTGTCTTTAACACCGCTTAATGAAGTGTCATCAATATTCAACGAACAGTTCTAAAATAAACTCAATTAATATATAACTCGTTTAAAGTATTTTCTATACCTTTGGAATAATTGGCTGTATCCTCTTAAAAATATCATCTTCTGGATAACTATGATTATAGCAAATTAAATCTCTATTATTATCTAACTTCTTGGAGTTATGAGCCAAATTGTAGAAAGCTCCATTGATGGTGGCTCTGCTTTGGGACATTTTCACGTGCAGCTTCTCGACTGACAACGGGCCTTGAGCCACCAATATGGCTTCCAAGGATATGCCGAAGCTGAATTCGGCTAATTTGGTTTCTTTGGTCTTTTGCTCGGCGTGCCTGAGAACTTTGATTTCAGTGTCCATTAGGTTGACTGTAACTAACAGGGATTTGGCGTTTTTTAAAATGCTTCCGTCTAAGTGTAGCTGGCTCGCTGTGGCGTGTATGAGACAGCCCGGTGTTTCCGATCGCAGGAGCATAGCTGATATGTTGTACACGTGGACAGCCATAAACTGCATAAATGGTTCAATTTTAATTGTTGCTTTATCGGGTTTAATAAGTACACTTACTTGGGCGAAAGTGTTTATGAAGTGAGGTACTTGTTTGTCTCTAAAATCTAGTAGCGTGTCGTTAATGGAGGCCTCTTCCAGTTTTTTTGTACTCAAATCTTTGTTAATGCGAACATCTTTCACCATTAGTGTGATTAGTTTTGTCAATTCTGAATTTAGGAAGCTGCTCTTTATGCCAATTTCGTCTATATGCTGCAAAGGTGAAATTGAGATTTGGGAAATTGTATTATTCGGTAATGTACTTACTATAGTGAAACCATTTTTGGATAAATTTATATCGCATAGTTTTAAATATGGCAATCCTATTCTTCCGATCTTCAAGGAAATTTCGTATTTCTTTTCGAAATGCCATGAAATTATCATTGGAATAATCCTGAAAATTTAGTAAAATGGTAAACTTTCATAAAATTTACTTTAATGTAAATTTACCATGACAAGGTGAAAAATAGAACGCAAACTCCAATGAAAAATATTAGGAACCCTCCCATGTTAATTAGCACCAATTTATGTCGTTTATACCCATTATTATTAACTAAATTTAATTTTTAGTGAACTTTTGACACATAGTTTTAAATATTTTGATTTTGCCTTGGCCTTTTTGACAGATAGTGACAGTTGACTTATGTCATTGCAGTCGTCTTTTTCTTTCAATGGCCTTTGACTTTAGAGACCATTTACCAATTCTGTAACTTGTGGATGTTCTAGTAATGGAAATAAAATAAAAAAGAAGAACGAAAAAATCATAAAACACAAAACAAGAACTTTACAATTCATGTGAGCTAATTTTGAAAATGGTCATTTGCAATTAAAAATAAAACAGCAACAGTTTAACTATTTATTGTTATATATTTACACATCTAAAAAAATACGTTGCAAGAAAAAATATCTTAATAATAGAATATAGTTCAATCTAGATATACATATGTACAATATTTTTCAAGAGGACATGGCAAACTTTCTGAAAAAACGACGAACTTATAAAAAAAAAACTCTTACCGATTCTAATTCAAAACGTTTAAAATTTTCTGGCATTTCCATTTAAAAAGTGTGTGATCCTGTCGCAGTTAATTTGGTGAGTAATACATAGAGGACAATTATTACGCGTTTAGTTTTACAATTGCCTCGGAAACAAGTACTATGGTGTTAATAAAGAAGACTATTATTCTATAAGGAATTTTCGCTTAAAATTTACCAGTAATAAGCTCAATAGATATAAGATATTGTCATGTAAATGGTAAGTATTAACAACTTTAAATAACGAGAGAATAACTTTTAACCGAACTAATAAATTCTCATTTTAACAACTAGAGGTCAGCAGAGCTTCTTCTTGCGAGTTATTTCTACAAGGTATCCCTGCAACAACAACAACAAAAACGCGTTATAAAAAAATCAACCTATAAGAAAAAATAAATAAATACCTTATGACCTTATCCAAGACCCCCTTAAGCCTCTGCTCTGAAATCGATGGCACGAGCTTCTGCACCAATTCGCATATGAATATTTCACTTATACCCGGACTCGTTTTCTCGGCAATTTCGAACGCGTTCTCCAATTCCTCAATGGCATCGTTCGACTTGTGCGCCATTTCCGTCGACCTCCTGTTGTACTGATGCTTTCTCTGCAACTAATATACTTAATTAACAACACGTCCCATCTACGAAGAATCCACAACTTACTTCCGTTATCAATGGATAAATAAAACCTCCTAATACGGGCGATCGGCTCTCGTTTTTTCCGCTGTAATTCGAATGCTCCCTCGATATGGACTTCCTATTAGCCTTTTTGTCCGCGCCCAAACTATCTCCTCGATGGTCCAATGGACTCAACTCCCTCGATATTCTTCTATCTTTCTCCTTCGATTCGGGCCTTTCGCGTTCCCTCTCCGATTCCTTTTCTCTGTCCCTGTCCTTGTCTTTCCTGCTGTCCCTGTTGTCGAGCTGAGACTGCATTCCCGGCGATTTCGACGACTGAGAAAAAATATTAATGCAATTTCGAAGCGAACCCGTCGATGGTATTTCTTACTATTGCGGATTTTTCAGGCCTATAGTGGTTGAGATTGGAATCTTTCGGGGGCGATTTGTCCAACGTCGGTCCGGAACCATTTTGCACTTTATTCCCAGCTTTGTAATTTGATGAAGGTATCTCCTCCAACGGTAATTTCATGTTACCTTTAACGGTCATTATCCAAGGATCGTCCAGATCGCTGTCTTGTTTAGGTTCTTCGCTGCAATTAACGAATAAATTAGGAACATTAAGACAAGTGTGTATGTGAAAAGTACGTACGAATCGGAATTCTCGGATTCCGTTTCAGACTCCTCGTTCCTGGTGCACCGCCATTTCTTGTACCTATCAATCAGGTCGATTAAGTACGAATTCTTCTTCGCTTTCCTTATAAACGGATACTTCAGCAGCTCTTTAGCCGTGGGTCTCTAAAAAAAAACAACCACCAACGATTTAATCCCGACAATCCTTCCAGCATTCCCAATCCTTACGTTCTCCGGATCCTTGTTCAAGCAAGCCTCGACGAAGTCCTTGAACTGTTTGCTGTAACTGCCCGTCAACTGCGGCGGATTGTTCTTGGGTATGAGGAAGAGCACGCGCATCGGATGCAACTCCGAATTGGGCGGCTCGCCCTTGGCCAATTCGATGGCCGTGATGCCCAAGCTCCAAATGTCCGCCTTCGAATCGTACGCCGATTGCTTGATCACCTCGGGGGCCATCCAAAACGGCGTTCCGACGAACGTGTTCCGTTTACTAGTCGTGTTCGTCAGTTGACCAGCAACGCCTACAAATAAAATCGAGATGAATAAGTGAGGAAGAAGTTTAAATAGTTCATACGTACCGAAATCTGCTAGTTTCACGTCGCCCATTTCGCTCAATAGGACATTGGCGGCTTTGATGTCGCGATGGAGTTTCCTTTCGCTGTGCAGATAGTCCAGACCTTTTAATACTTCTCGTAATATGATGGCGATGTGCATCTCTTCGAAATTGCCGGCTTTCATCAGATCTAAGGCCGATCCGCCGCCTAAATACTCCATTATAATCCATAATTTCGTACCCTAAAATAACGCTCTGACTCAGTTATTTAAATTCCGCTTTTCGTCGTTTCTTCGTATCGATTAGAATACGATGTGATTCACGCGATTCGCTTTATCTAATCGAGATAACGTAAAATATTCGAGATATACCTTCAGATAGGATCCGTAATACTTGGTAACGAACGGGCTGTCGCATTGCGACAGGACCATGATCTCCTGTTGGATGTCTTCGATTTCATCTTCGGCCTCTTCCAAGTCGATGATCTTGATGGCCACCACCTGGGTGGTTCGGTTGTCGATGCCTTTGAACACCTCGCCGAACGAGCCTTTGCCGATGCGCTCCTGCTTGGTGAATATCAACTCCGGATCGACCTTCTGGAAAAACGAGTTACGCGATTTTTAAATCGGTCGGGGAATTACCGGGACAAAAAAAAACAACGAATCGATAAACGAAATAGTATTCGAATCGTGATTCCATTCAATGATTTGTATCCGAAATCCGAGGATCTAACGGAATTCTTTTGTTCCGCGTTATTGTAGGTCGATCTCGGTACAAAAAGCGCGACAATCGAATATTTTTTGACAAACGTGCGACGTGAATAACGCAATCGGCATCTCTTTATAATTGCACACACACAAAAAAAAACCTCTTCCTATATATATTATTTTTTCAATGACGGAATTAATTAACTGAAAAATATGCGCCATGCATTATGTATGTTACGTTTAAATGTCGAAATATCAAGTTTTGTTAAATCACGAAATCCGAGAACAAACAAACTGAATATATTTTTGCGAAAGTTTCTTTCACATCCAATTAAAAATGCTCAAATTACGTTTTTATTAATAAACAAGTAACTTGTAGTAGATGTAAGTCTAAACATATTTTTGATATACTCTTACGGACCAAAATGGTAAATATTGACTGCACGAGCGCTTAACTTCGATACAGGTTTTATGTAGATAACGATTACAATAGACAGCAATTTCGTTAATTTTATCTTCTAGCAGCTTAGTCATACCTATTTATATGTTACTTTTACAAGGTAGTACCTACGCCAGGACGGGAATAGGTAGGATACCAATTTATTCATCTAATAATGCACTTTCGAAATAATTAAACACGCGTAATGACTATTCGATGAAGGTATTGTTTAAAATTATTCTACCTTAGTTTGGAGACGAAATTAACAATATTTTCAATATAAAATACACCTAACACTTCCCTGTAAGTATGCGTTTATGCATTATATTTTCAAGTGTTTACAAATATGTACTTATTGATCGTCATTTAAGATCGTTCATTCATTTTTAGAAAGAAAATAAACACCAATTTCTAGTGTTTACTTACTTGAGTGGTTCATTTCAATTAGAAAAATTGCCCACGGATGATTTTTTAATGATATTCCACTCTACAAACTACACGCAATAATTCTTGTACCTGGTAGTTTGGAATTCCGTGGAAATGCCTCGAAAATCGTTCGAAAGGCCGGTATATCTGTTTAATATTCAATAGAAGCTCTAGTGATATTTTACCAACCCTCTTCAATGCTTTACTCGAAGAAAAATGTTTTTTTTAGGAGTGTAAATTCTGAAATACCAGACATTTTTCGTTCAACCACTCCCTGAAACATACCTAACATTTAAGATCATTTAGATTTTAAACGCCTAGTGAATTTGCATCATTTTTAGTTACAAATACATATCAAAAAACGCAGTAATAAAACTGATAATATGAATTAAAGTTTTATTTCGTCCATAAAACACACAACCTAGCTACTATTCGATATTTTTATCATTGTCAAGTTCCGATAAGTGGTTTCCTACCGAAGGAAATTAAACTCAAAAAAAATGATAAAACTCGAGCTAATTAAACGTAAAAATTACAGGGAAATAGAGAACAACGCCTTACTTTCGATCTCACAGCAGCCCTGCCGCTTTTGCTCAGGAAAAAATCCGGCGGGCTGTGGAACGAAGACCACGATGACGGTCTTCGAACTAATTTACCATTGCTCGTAAAGTACTCCTTCGTTTTAACGGACGAATCCTTCGACAGGTAACTTTGCGTTCGTTTAGCTTTGCTAAACATCTTCCGAAACGTACACGACACAATATCAATCCTTACAAATGCCAATAAAAACGAGATTCATAATATTCGGATTATCCGCATAAACGAACTAATGTATTCGAACTATTAGCATAAACGTTTTATCACCGAATACGGTTTAGAAACCACTCGAACGCGATACGAAACTAGACTTCTTCAGTACGTACATTCCTACTGCCTCAGATAACTCGATAGTAAAATTAGAAATAAGCGCGATTTCGAATGATGGGCTTAGCGCTTCCTTTATCAGCTTAGATTAAAACTATAAACAGCGATAATGGAAGCCTATCGGAGTTTATCTATCAGAGATGGATTCAGGTTGATCCTGGTCGTTTTATCCTCGGCTCGAGGGCTGCTATATTAGCATTCGATTTAATCAGACGTACGTTTTAGCGGATCCATTTTATATGGAATTGTTTGTTTAAGATTTTAACAGCAAAATCTGAGGTGAGCAAATATTTGCCTTATGTAGGAGAATTGTATGGCAACAGTATTTTTTATTTATAATCATTAGCTAAGTAAATAATGTTAATTTAAGTGTATTCATAAATTAGTAATGAATGGACGTTTTAAGAGAGATACAGTTAGAAGAAATTATGTGTATTAGTAAAATAATTTAAAGGTTTTATTGCCTGATATTAGCAATAATTGCTGAAACTATTAGTTTCGAATTTAGTACTAAATATACGCTACTTTTCTAGTTAAAAACCAATTTAGCATACTTACAATGGAAAATTAACTTAAATAAAACAAAATTTGGAATAAGTAGGCCACAAAATGTAATGCCTGAGGAACAACTTTGATGTTATAATATGCACAATTTAAATTAATTCTGACATACATACAAAAAATATTAGATTGTTAAAAGTACTTAAAAGATAGGAAATAGAAAATATAACAAATTATACATACCTCATTAAAGGCCATATCTGAAGGTAAGCGTAGTTCGATGGCCTTTCACCCGCAAAGGTGTCAAAACAATATAATTGTAATCTACAAAACGTTTACGAATTTAAAGCACCAGCGTTAAAATAACGACATCGCTCCTAGCAAAATTCTAAATTCTGCACGTCATGAGAAACATTTGGAAAAGACCCGTTTGTAAACAAAAAAATTACATTCCACTCAGGTGAGCTAAGTGTACACACCTTTAATTTAATTACCGGGCAAATCGGGCACCGAACGAAACGCACTAATCACGCTCGAAAGTCTTTCTAACGGGGTAATTAAACGTTAAAGTAATTTACGTTTAATTTGCTTCCCTTTTGGAACATCTGACATTCCACATAACACTTGTCAGAAGAAGCCATATGCATTTTTTTCTCGACGAATGACACGAACTCAAATGTCAAATTTCAAATTAACTGGATCCTTTTTCCTTTTTATTGTTACAGTTGGTAGAACTGAAAGTGCTAATTTATGCAACTCACATTACACAAATTTGACGTTGGTTTGACATTGACAAGACTATGTGACGTTTACATTCGTAGTATTTACGCTTGTCAATATTCGTTCTTATAAAAAAATATGGCAAGTGTCTTTAACGTGATCGTAGCTCAGGCTGCTGAAAATTTAACTGAAAAGGCGAAAAATGCTACTGAAAAACCGCCCAACAGCCCTGAGGGCATCGCCGTGGCCTACGGGAGTTTAGTTATAATGGCAGTGCTTCCCATATTTTTCGGTTCCCACAGATCTGTCGTGTACCATAAGGAAAACGTAAGTTCCAGATTGTATGCGAGATAAGCCTTATTATCATGCTATATCATTCCAGAAACCTGAGAAAATGACGAAGAAAGACGCCGCTATATTCCCAATAATGGCTTCGTGTGCCCTCTTCGCTTTATACATAGTCTTCAAATTATTCTCTAAAGAATATATTAATCTACTTTTGACTGGATATTTCTTCTTCTTGGGAGTCTTAGCGTTAACACATCTACTAAGGTAATATAATTTATGCACGAAGTTGCTGTAAATACGATTCCCTCGTATATATTTCAGCCCCGTGGTGAGCAAACTAGTTCCAGCAGCGATTCCGAACATTCCGTTCCGCATAACTTTCACGCAAGGAGAAAAGGAGACTTTACAGTACTTAATAAAATACAAATTTTGCACGTACGACATGGTATCCCTAGCCGCCTGTTTGGTCGTGGGGGCCTGGTACTTGGTCCAGAAACATTGGATAGCAAACAATCTCTTTGGTCTGGCTTTCGCCATAAACGCCGTTGAACTGCTGCATCTTAATAACGTAGTCACCGGCTGCATTTTATTGTGCGGATTGTTCTTTTACGATGTATTCTGGGTGTTCGGTACCGATGTTATGGTGACTGTAGCTAAGAGCTTCGAGGCACCTATTAAACGTAAGATAATGTAGTAATTTTCTATTAAAACGTGTGGTAATTTTGTTATTTCAGTGGTGTTTCCTCAAGATTTGCTGCAAAACGGACTGGCTGCCGACAACTTCGCTATGCTAGGTTTAGGCGATATTGTAATTCCTGGTATATTTATCGCCCTCCTGTTGAGATTCGATAACAGTCTGAAGCGCCAAACTAAAACTTACTTCAATGCATCCGTGATCGCTTACTTTATGGGACTGATGACTACGATATTTGTTATGCATGTGTTTAAACACGCTCAACCGGCCCTTCTCTATTTAGTTCCTGCCTGCATAGGCACGCCTCTGTGTTTGGCTTTGATCAAAGGAGACATAACTGCTATGTTTAAGTGAGTGGGATTGGAATTTTTCTGAATAATTGGGGATTACTTTCGCTTGTTATTGTAGGTATGAAGACTCTCCTGACGACGAGAAGGCCGAGGAAAAGAAGAAAGAACCGGCTAAACAGGAAGCTAAAAAAGTTAAATAATCCATAAAATATTTTATAAAAAACATACAATGAGAACTTGTATCGGTGTTTCTTGGAAGAAATTTTTGTTTTTTTATTATTTTTGCGCACTAAAAAATTGTTTTAGCCGGAATCAGAATGTTATGTTATGTAATTAGTACAATTTGTATTGTTTTTAATTTATATTTTCTAATAAAAGGAACCATAGAAAATTTCAAGCTAAAAATAATAGTTTTTATCTTGAAAAAATGCACCTACTAGATTATAGATGAAATATATTCAAAATACGTAAAAATTACTGTTTATTAGAAAAAATGCATACATAAACTTTTGACCCAATTAAGCCAAATCCTTGGGGGTGATGTCGGGCAAATCTGTGATACCATCTTTGCCGACGCACTGTACCTTAAAGTTAGGTAAATTGATGATTAATCTTTTCTGAACTTCTTTCACGCATTTTTTTAGCAACTCGTAACCTTCTTCTCTGCTTAGAGATTTGCTGTAGTTTCTATCCATGATAGATAACGAGAAGAAGCCTCCGTAACCGTGAGCAGCGTAATTAACTTTGATGGTCGACGCCAAGTAGTCCATGTAGTATAATTGAGGGCCTTCTTTCTCGTCGTATCCAGCCAGTAGCAAATTTACGTGATAAGGACTCTGGAAAACATTTATTAGAGTACAAATGCTAAACATTTTAAATCCAATCTTACTCTGCTTCTAAGGGCATCGGCGAGATTCCTACGAGTGAACGAAGCCGCCTCTGATGGGCTAAGTTCGTAGGTGTTTCTCATTTTATACAACTGAATATTCTTGGCAATGTACTCAGCAAATTGGGTAGTATCACCAGACTCGCCGGATACAGCCATAACAAGCTTGTTGGACAATTTGAACAGCTTATTTTCGTCTAAAAATAAAATTATATAGAAACCGATAGATTCTAATGGATTTTTGTAAATTACCTGTTTTCATAACAATTATGCTTTGGGCTGCAGTCATATCGGCAGCAACTAAAACGAAATCGTCGAATTTAATACCAAGCAGGCATTCCATTTTTGTAGAGTTTTTATTTATTACTAAATTACAATACAATACAAAAATCGCTTTGTAATAACTTTTGAAAGGTTATATTTTCCAAACGACAGAATGACAAGTCAATATGACATTTAAAAAGTCAAATTTTTTTGAAGCAAAATGTCTTTTACTTTCAAGGTAAGCAGTGTTTGTCTTAATAAAAAGAAGAATTTGACGTTGACGTTTAATTAATTTCCCGCGCTAATATCTTGGAAAGTTGGTGTTTGTTATTTTTGTTTTATTTTATTTAGTGCTTTCTGTTTCATACTATCTTTATTTTACTTTGAGTTAAATAAATACGTAAGTAAAATGCCTCTTGTACTTCGACCAAATACCCCTCATTTCCACATATAATTACAGCAAAATGCCATCGCCGGCCCCTTCGAAAGACGGTTCCGTTACCCCTCGTACCAGACCCCAGGGCTCCCGAACGCCATCCGGATCTCGGACCCCATCCGGATCTCGAACGCCTCAACGAGACGATGCCTCGTCCACATCATCCAGAACCAGAACCCCTCGCAAAACGGCCGTCACGCCGGCGAAGAGCGCGGACACCCCGTTGCGCTTCGGGGCCAACCGGCGCGTAGACATCGACGCCCCGAGCGAGATCCCCTCGTCTCCCGCCCAGAGCGTGGCGCCTACATCGGAGTACAGCGGAGGTACGAGCACTCTCGAATGTTCCGATTAGTTGTAATTAAAAACGGAATGCTTTAGGTGTTGCGATGAGCGAAATCGACTTGAGTTCTCCGCTGAATTACGGCACCCCGAGTTCCTTGGGGTCGATCAGAACGCCCCGGTCGGGAATACGGGGCACCCCGATTCGCATGAGGCCCGACGTCCGGTCCGATAAGAGGATGCGACAAGTAAACGTCGGCGCCGAGGCTAATGTGAGTATGGATTTAATCGAACAATGTTATAAAAATGCAATAACTTATTGTAATTTAATTCTGCTTACTTCTATTTCTGTTATAAGATGCTGGTATCGCGTTTTCGATAGGCCGTGTCTAGAGGGATTTAACGTAAAAGAACCATTTCAATAATTTATCCTTGTTAATAAGCAATAGATTCCATAAAAGCGCTATTAGTATGCCGTATATGTAACCCAGAGCGGATATCGATAAGAGTTTCAACTTCGCATTTTGTACCGACGAGATTTCCTTAACTTGTTTCATCAATTTCTTTTGAATCACTTTCGAATAATTCTCGATCTACAAACAAATTGCAATTGGTAAAAATGCCACACCGAACGAGACTCTCACTTCTATGATTTGGAGTTGCTGCAGCAATTGCCTGCACAAAGGACACGATGCTTCCCAAGCCAAAGTCTTCCAGTAGGTGTAAATGCAATCCATGCAGTACACGTGCCCGCAATGCGACTTGATGGGAAATTGGAACAAATTAAAACAAATCGGGCACTCTTTATTATAGATTATTCCCGCTGAAATTTAGGCGTTTTGATTTCGAACGAAAATTCGCGCCAAACTCACCGTCCTTCGTCTCCGATTGACTTACTCTTCTAAGCTTATAAATTAAGGGTACCAAAATTAATATGGCACTCGAAATGATCACGTTCAACTGAAAGTTTGTCAATAACACGGACTCGTCCGAATAGGCCTTCAACGAAGGTTCTTCCATGTTAAATCTCTTAATAATAAATCGTTGTAAATACGCGGTGTATAAAAAAATGTACAAATTGTCAATATTTGACTTTAACGGAAAGTTTCTATGAATACACAGAGTGGTAGAATTTACCAGAGATTTATGTTTTAGTTGGAAGCGATTCCTGAAAACCAAGACACCGATTCGACGGCTCCTCACTTGGTCATTTGGGGCACCAACGTTTCCGTAGCGGAATGCAAGGAAAAATTCAAACAGTTTGTGTTACGTTTCATCGATCCCAACGCCGAAGAAGACGAACGGACCGACGACATGAACCTAAACGAACCCTTATACATACAAAAATTAGAAGAAGTATGTATTACGTCGATAAATAACCGCTTTATACCCTTAATTTTATTCTTCGAACGATGTTTTGTAGATCCACACGCTGGAAGAACCGTTTTTGAACGTGAATTGCGCCCATTTGGAAACCTTCGATTCGAGTTTATACAAAAAGTTGATCTGCTATCCCCAAGAGGTGATTCCCACGTTCGATATGTGCATCAACGAAATGTTCTACGAGAGATATCCAGCCGCTGTGCTCGATCATCAGATCCAAGTCAGGCCATTCAACGCCGAGAAAACCAAAAATATGAGAGGACTAAACCCCGAAGGTACCCCAGCACCTCATCCGATACTCTTACTTTACCCAACTCTTTGTAGACATCGACCAGTTGATAACCATCAGCGGCATGGTCATCAGATCGTCGAACATCATGCCGGAAATGAGAGAGGCCTTTTTCAAATGCATCGTGTGCCAGTTCACCACATCGGTGGAAATCGACCGAGGGCGCATCACCGAACCGACGCTGTGCAGCAGCTGCAACACCAATCACACGTTCACTCTCGTCCACAACCGGTCGCAGTTCACCGACAAGCAGATGATCAAATTGCAGGAGTCCCCCGACGACATGCCGGCCGGCCAAACGCCCCACACGGTGGTGCTGTTCGCCCACAACGATCTCGTCGACGCCGTCCAACCAGGGGACAGGGTCACCGTCACCGGGATTTACCGGGCGCAGCCCTTGCAGGTGAATCCCAGGCAGAGGAACATCAGATCGGTGTACAAGACGCACATCGACGTGCTGCACTTCCGCAAAATCGACCAGAGGAGGTTGTACGAGGAAGAGAACGGGTACGATTGCGTATGGCCCCATTTACGAGTATAAATCGAGCGTTTTGATTCCAGTAAAGACCGTCGATTTACCCCGGAACGAGTCGAGTTATTGCATATGCTGTCTCAGAAACCCGACGTGTACGAGCGCCTGGCTAGATCCATAGCACCTTCGATCTACGAAAACGAGGACGTTAAGAAGGGAATTCTCTTGCAGTTGTTCGGCGGTACTAAAAAAACGTTCGTCACGTCCGGCCGGTCGAATTTCAGGGCGGAAATCAACATCTTGCTGTGCGGGGATCCCGGTAAAATAGCAACCAACGCTTCAATCCGTTCGCTGATTAATTTATCGGTGTTATTCAGGTACATCGAAGTCGCAGCTACTGCAGTACGTCTACAATTTGGTGCCGAGGAGCCAGTACACGTCCGGGAAAGGTTCTTCGGCGGTGGGTTTGACTGCGTACGTTACCAAAGATACGGAAACCAAGCAGCTGGTGCTTCAAACCGGTGCCCTCATACTCGCCGATAACGGGATTTGTTGTATCGATGAGTTCGATAAAATGAGCGAATCGGCGCGTAGCGTACTCCACGAGGTCTGTTCGTTATTTTGGATAATATTTGGGGTGTTATTATGTAATTTTGTTAGGTAATGGAACAACAAACGCTCAGTATAGCCAAAGCGGGAATTATTTGCCAATTGAACGCCAGAACTTCGATTTTAGCCGGAGCGAATCCCTGCGAGTCTCAATGGAACCAACACAAAACTATCATCGAAAACGTACAATTACCCCACACATTATTATCGAGGTGTTTAATTCGAAATTTAAAGCAAATACAATTCTAACTCTATTTTATTGTAGATTCGATTTGATATTTCTGATATTAGATCCACAAAACGAAGTGTTCGACAGAAGATTAGCGCGCCATTTGGTATCCCTATACTACAAAACCAGAGACGAGGAGGAAATCGAATTCCTCGTAAGTTATTCTAAATAATCCGTTCGAATATTACTAACTTCTCTTCGAAACACCAGGACATGTCGATCATAAGAGACTACATAGCCTACGCCAAAGAGCACATACATCCGAAAATCGGCGACGAAGCTTCCCAGAAGCTCATCCAGAGCTACGTGGACATGAGGAAAATCGGCTCGGGTCGCGGGCAAATATCCGCCTATCCGAGACAACTGGAGTCGCTGATTCGCCTGTCGGAGGCCCACGCGAAGCTCAGGTTCTCGCAAACCGTCGAAATCGAAGACGTCGAGGAGGCCTACAGGTATGAAAGGGGATCTTTGGAACTTTGGAAACATCCCTCGTATGTTGTGCTTTCTGCAGGTTGCATCGGGAGGCTTTGAAACAATCTGCGACAGATCCTCTATCGGGAAAAATCGACGTGGGTATCCTTACGACGGGACTAAGTAGCGCGTCGAGGAAGAAACGAATGGAATTGGCGCAAACGGTGAAGAAATTGATCGAAGATAAGGGAAAAGCGCCGATCATTAATTACATGAAGCTGTTCAATGAACTTAAGGAGAGTTCGGCTATCGTGAGTGCTATTTTTGATTTAATTAGTAATTAGTTCGCGTGTTTGATTCGTGTTTTTTTTATCTCGTAGATGATTACTAGAGAGCAATTTGAGGACGCGATTAAGGATTTGCAGGATAGCGGAATGATCGTCGTGATGGGGAAGACTTCTATAAGAGTCTGCAAAAATAGAGATTAAATCCAACGGATTTGATTAGTATTTTACGCGCATTTAACGATTATTTTATATGCTTTCGAAATATTTACACTTAAGTTAACCTTTAACCACTATTCTCTTTATCTTTTATCGTTTTTGTTATTGTCAGATTGGAAAAAGTAAAAATAAAAGTCGATTTGATTCGTAAAGACGTTTTCTATTGTCTATTCAATAAAAATATTTTCATTAGTTATTATTAAGTAGATAAAAATTTGAAGCACCTGCGAATAATTAATTATTTATAACTGATAAAGGTTTACGAGTTATATTTATGTATATATATTGGAGTCGGACAGCAACTTAGAATTCCAGTTTTTGTTACGGTAAAATCGTGAACAAATAACGTTAGTAAAATAGCCGTTTTATAGTCTTCGAGTCGTTAATTTCGCGTGGGTGTAGAATTTGTTAAATCGTTTGTAGTTTGGTCGAAATGATCCCGATCAGCGCCGCGTTTTTCGCGCTAGCAGCCCTAAAAGTGGCTGTTTGCTTAGACAACGGCCTCGCCAGGACTCCTCCGATGGGCTGGATGCACTGGCAGCGTTTCCGGTGCCTCGTCGACTGCGACATCTACCCCGACGAATGCATAAGGTGAGTCCCACAATAATTTATACCCCTTTGTTACAATCGAAATTTACAGTGAAAAATTATTCCGCGCCATGGCCGACCACATGGTCTCCGATGGTTACCTAGCGGCTGGTTACGAGTACGTCATGATCGACGATTGCTGGGCTGATAAGGAGCGAGACGCGAAGGGCAGGCTCCAGCCCGACCCCGATCGGTTCCCCAGCGGCATAAAAAATCTCTCCGATTACGTAAGTACCATGGGACCCTAAAGGGTTGCTAAAAAATGTGATTATCTCGCGCAGATTCACGGTAAAGGGTTGAAATTCGGCATGTACGCCGACTACGGGCTGCGCACTTGCGCCGGGTACCCCGGCAGCTTGCTCTATCTCGAACGGGACGCCGACACCTTCGCCGAATGGGAGGTGGACTACCTGAAGTTCGATGGGTGCTACTCGGACTGGCAGTTCATCGACAAAGGTAAATAACCGGGAAATTTATTCAACGATTAAAATGTGTTTGTTCGAACAGGGTACATTCAGATGGGGAAATACTTGAACGCCACTGGACGACCGATTGTCTATTCCTGCAGTTGGCCCGCTTACCAGGAACCCAACGGGATGCAGGTGAGCGCATATGGGTAAATGCGAATTTGTTTGCGATGTGGTTAGTTCTACGAGTTGAACAAGAAAAAATATTACTGTAACGGTTTTGTTTGACATGTGTCAAATGTCATTTTTGACATTTGCAAATGCTTCGTACCCATTTATTGACAATTAATATGAAGATTCAAAATCAGAAATATATCCAAATCTCTAGAGTCCTAATCGTTTAAATTTAAAAGATTTTTATTATGTATCTACCGACTGTTGTCTTTTTTGCACCCATAGACTATATTTAAAAAAAATTTAGTACAAATTTGCACTAATATATCGTTCGACATTTATCGAATATAATTTATATTTGTCACGTGTCAAATGTCATTTTTGAAATTTAATACAAAAGTCTAATCTTTTAAAGGGTTTTTTTATATACCGGTTGTCCCGCGAGACTAACGAAAGTTGTTTTTGTTGCACCCACAGACCATATTGAGTACAAATTTGCACTTAACTGTACAATGTAGGGTATAGTGTACTTATTATGATGAATTTTGCAGTCGAATTACACGAGCCTGGCGGAAACGTGCAATCTCTGGAGGAACTGGGACGACATCGACGATGGATGGAACAATGTTACAGAAATCCTGGACTGGTTCAGCTCTAATCAGGACAGACTAGCCCCGTTCTCGGCACCCGGGCATTGGAACGACCCCGACATGGTACTACTACTATTACTTATTAACAATTTAAAATTAAGTACATCTTGTTGTAGCTCATAATCGGAAATTACGGATTGAGCTTGGAGCAGAGCAAAGCTCAAATGGCCATTTGGTCCATAATGGCGGCCCCGCTTATCATGTCCGTGGATTTGAGGACCATTCGGCCGGAGTTCCGTGATATTCTGCTAAACCGGGACGTCATAGCCGTGAATCAAGACCCGTTGGGCGTCATGGGCAAATTAATTCTAAAAGTAAGTCGTATAAAAGCGTTGATTTTGTTAGAAAAACATGTATTTTCAGCGAAAGAACATCGACATTTGGACTAAGCCTTTGAGCGATACTGCCGATGGGAGAAGTCGAGTGGCTATCGGCCTGATGAGTCACAGGGTCGACGGGTACCCTTACAGGATCGGCTTCACGCTGGGTGAATTGAACATCACCAGTCCCCGCGGTTTCAATTTGAAGGTGATTCATTTTTTGCGTAATTCTTTTACAAAAAATAAACAGCCTATTCAAACAACGAGCATTCAAATTGTAATGTTCTTGTTGATCTTTGCTGACTTCTTGTTGGTTATTTTTGAATAGATTATGTTTGGAAAAAAACATTATGTTGCATTGTTGTGCTAAGCGGCATGTAAATGATGATGGGAAAAATGAAAAGTAGTTTTTTTTTTTATTTTAATTGTTAGGTTAATTAGGGGCTATTTCCAATTTAAATGCACATAAAATCTAAAAAGTGGTATTTTATGAGTTTTTTGGTGAACTATAAATCAGTTGATTTAACAATAATTTCTCGCTAATTAGCGGTTTTTTTACAAAAAAAAATCTGTATAAACCGCACGCGTCAATTTTTAATTATAGTACTCATAAATCACTTAATTGGTAGTTGTTAAAAAGCGACTAAAAACTAAAAACATAAGTGCTTTATTTGTTCAGATTGAACTAATTTACATAAACGCTTCGCAAAATGTCAATTAAACTATAATAATGATCTCTCGTTTTCCAGGATTTGTTCGACGAAAACCTGAAACACCCCGTATATTCTGACAGCGAGAAGATCTACGTGAGAGTCAAACCGACAGGTAAGCCCTCGATTATTTCCGATGCGAGATGACACGAAATTCGATTAATAAATGCGCGATGTAAAAGCAAAATACACTTTCGATTTTACCAGCGGAACTTTCTAATTCGTTTCGGGCTCTTCGCGTTCTTTAATAACTCGCTTATAGTCTTGCCAAAATCAATTGAAGTTGAGTTTCTCCAGTATATTATATCAAGAATTAGTTGTATGGAGTTTTTTATGAAATACCAGAATTTTGCATCGTTATCCAGGATTACGAATGTATACAAAATTGTACTTTTTTGAAGCGATTTTTAAGAAAAAATTGCAATATGTGATTGGCTTTGTAAAGACTATATCGTGCGTTCGAGTATTTTGCTGTGACCGACTTTCTTGTCGATGTTATTATACCGCTTTTCGGTTTCCCAGTTCCATTTTTAATGAGCTCGTTGCGCTAATGATGGAAAAGAATCGATTTTCCCTGATTAAAAAAAACGGTCGTACGAGATAGTTCAAAGAGCAGAGATAATTTCGTACTTATTAATACATTTCCGCTATACTAATGTACATAAGAATAATGAAATAAACAAAAAGAACAATGACCTGTTGATACACTTGCAAGAAATTGCTGGTTCAGATATTACTTTATTTCTAAATCTCGAGTTCCGGGAAAGTGTAAATTGGTCTATTAGGAAATTCATACCGAGAAAAATAAATAACAAATTGTCTCGACAGGTAATTTGGTTGATAAATTATATCTAATTACTTGTATATTTCAATTACTTTTACACGATGTTGCATTATCTATAAGGAGATAAACATGCATGTAAATTGATATTTACAAAAAGGTCATTAAATAGATTTATTTTTTCATTTCAGGTGGTACTTTATTAGTGGCAACTTCACTGAAGTAATCTTTTAATTAGTTTCGTAATTAATATTTTTTGTAACAATTTTTTTAAATAAAAACGACCTTTTGATAACAAATACTTTTAATAGATCCTATAATGAACTACACAAAATAAATATGTTATAATACACTGGTATATTTTTTCTAAATATAAAGCTATCAATTAAAATAAAATTGCACCTTTATTCGTAATTAGAATAAAATAAAATTCATCCGTCCTTCGCATTGTCTAACAACTTTGGCAAATGGGAGAATTTGCAAATTACAAATCGAATTGACTTAATAGAATTATTAATAACAAACTGTGCTTAATTTATAAATTTGTCAATGGCGATGAAAATTTCTTAATATGAAAGTTTCGAACTTTCACCAAATTACAGGCACTTTTTAATAGAAATTGAGCTTCCTACAATATTTACTTCTCCATTAAGTTGGGCTTATACATAATACATTTTTTCCATCACAAAATTTCATTCTCCATTATGCGCCCAAAAAATGTATTAGCTACAATTTGAATACCATCCGAACCTCTAAATAAATACTAACAAGTATACGATTAAAATTTAAGCAAATACTAGGAATATCCGTTGATCGCGATTGGTACCCGCTCGTAGAACCTCCTGTGCTTCTCGTCGACTCTGCTCAAATAATAAGTACCCGGAAAGAAGCTCTCGATGCTGCTCACAGGCTCGTAGGGCGCTCGGTGACAGGTCTCTTGTCTCAATTCCAAGTTCTGCTCAAACTTCAAGGGAGCCACTTTCTGTCGATTGTCCAAGTTTCTCTGTACGCCCGTCAAGTTCGAGAGTATTTTAACCAGGGCGTCGTTATTCTTGACTGTTATGGAGTACATGGAAGAGGCCAATCCGGAGCCGTACGAAAACAAAGCGATTTTGTTGCCGGTCAATTCTTGCAAAGTTTTAGATTGCAGTAACGAAATAAGTCCTCCGTATAACGAAGCCGTGTACATATTTCCTACTTGAGCCGCTACTAGTAGAGACGGTTTGGTCTTGTCTACGAACTGTTGCTTGCTCACTTCAACGAACGCCTTTTCCACATCCCTGTCGAAATAGGTGTCTTCTAATTTGATTTTTCGGTACTTCTCAAGATCGGAATTCTGGTTCGGTTTGTCTAAATAGTCTATCAGAGCCATTCTGGCTACGCTCTTTTGCACGAGCTTGCAGTACGGCGAGTGGAACAGCACCGCGTCGAAACTGTCCAAATTAACGTCGATCTTCTGCTTATCGGCCACCTTTTTCTTGTACAACTTGTAGCACTCGTCCAAGGCTTTCAGATAGCATTGTATGGATAATTTGCCGTCCACCACCGGATACTCGGAGGTCAGATCGGGCTTGTAGAAATCGTAACAGTGCGTAAAGTAGGAGGAACGTACCCCTCTGTCGATCACCAAGGGAGCGTTCGGTCCGATCAGCATCGCTACGGCTCCGGCCCCTCCGGTGGGTCGAGCGGAGCCTTTGGCGTACACCGCTATGTCGGCGGCGACTGCCAGGGCGTACCGGCCGTCCCACGACGAGGATTCCACCCAGTTCAAGGAGTTGACGAGGGCCGCGGTGCCCCCGTAACACGCGTTCGTCGTGTCGATGCCTTCTAGATCGGTCACCCCGTATGACTCGAAGAGTTGGGTCAGCACGGATTTGACGCTCTTGGATTTGTCGAGGATGGTTTCGGTGCCTACCTCGAGGCGGCCTACCTCGCGGGGGTCGATTTTGTAGTTTTCCAGCAGTCGCTGGACCACCGTGAGGCAGAAGGAATTTATGTCCTCTCTGTCGGTGCAGAAGCCCATCTTCTGCTGGCCCAGGCCGATGGTGTATTTGCCGCTGGAGACGCCGTCGTGCGCCTCGAGGTCCGTTTGGTCCACGTACATCGAGGGCACGTAGAGTTCCAGGGCTAGAATGCCGACGTCTTTCGGCCAGGAATCCATTGTGAACCGCACCACAGTATTTGCTATATCGTCTGACTCACGTTAACTGGAACTCGCTAATATTTACTTTACTGACTGCATTGCTTTTTGGAATTCTCGTTAAATAATTTCACTGTACCACCACTCTCTGGACATCTCCAATTAAAATTTAAACATCCTTCCCAATTCCCATCGAACCATCCTCCAATAGTTAACCTCAATTTTATGCGATTGGGACGCCGCGTTGCCAACTCGTTTACACTCATTATGCCTTTAATTCGTTTTTGTTAATAACTTTTTGTAAATCTTAATAAATAATATTTTTTAAAACAACTAAATACACTCTTTTATCGAAAAGTGTATTAAAAATATTTATAATAATATAATACGAAAGAAATTATGATGATTTGGCAACATCGACTTGAAATAGTCTCCCCACTCTCGTGATTTCAGCCCATCATTTGCAAGTACACGTGGTAAATTTCTACGCATGAATGGTGTCATTAAAATGGGAGCGTCTATGAATACACATCGCCGTAAATTCGAGTCATTATAAAAACGACACAAATTGCTTAAACAATTTCTTTAAAAAAATAAATACATGGTGATTACACTCATTTGAATAAATATTAATAAAATCGCTGTAATACGTTTTTAATAAACGGTAATAAAATTTTATTGTGCGGTCGAGTAGCCACACCTATTTTTGATAAACATCAAATATGACAATTATGACAGATGACATAGAAGTGAGAATTTTCATTTGATCGTTGATTGAAAACAACAATTTCGATTTATTTGTTAACGTTTTTCAATTATGGAAAGTGTGGATAAACCATTAAATAGCGACTCGTCTAGCAACGAACTGGATTTACCGTTTAAATTCGAAATCGACGAGCGGCTGAAAGAGAAATTGCAAGACATCCCGGAGGCGTTAGACTACATCAAAAAACTCGAAAAATTAATCAAAAGGCATTTAAAAAAGATCAACAAACTCAGGAATAAGCTAAAGGTGAATCAACCATTAATTTTTCTTCCATGCATTATTGATGTTTGTTTTTAGATAAGACACAAAAGTAAAGATGCGGGTACACAAACGGATTGTTTCGAGGACTCTGTACCGAAACATCCTGGTTCGAATTCCTGCGAAGATTCTCATAAAACTCTAGCCGATGATATAAAAGAAGCGGCTGAAATAGCAATGCAAAAAACTGGTTTTGTTTACGAGGAAACGTCTGGTTTATATTACGATTACAACACCGGATATTATTATAATGCTGTATTTATTTTTAAAATAACCATTTTCGCCTGCATTTAATACGATGGGTTTTCAGGAGTATGGTTTATATTACGATGGAAATACCGGGCAATATTTGCAATATAATGCAGAGACCCAAACATACGATTTTCATTCGCAAACTAGTTTACCCATTGTATCGGAAGCAAAGGAGAAAAATAAAAGAAAAAAGAAGCAAAGACAAAAAACCAAAGTAAGTTGTAATACTGTAATTATCATTTAATTATACAGTGTTTACGTGTTGAGTATTACATGATTGAGTTATTGTGTTTCTTTGCTTTTTTTTAGTTTAATTATATTACAATTTTTTATGTTTAATGCTATTGTCTAAAATGTTCCCGCAATTACTCAAAAAAAACCCGTTTTAGTTGCTCTTTAATTGACCATCAATCAAAAAAGTTGAGCTTGATATATTTTTTCGAATAATCTGAATCGTTTTTTTTTTTACTTTTCAGGTAAAGCCCTCCTCAGATATGGATGAACTAATGTTAACATTCAATAATTTGAAAATAAATACTCTACGAACTACCGCCTTGGGTACGTAACTAGTCGAATAACATGAAATTATTCTTTCCAGGACACCAAAAAGGCTCGTAAATATGACACCGATAGCGTTGAGATGGAAGATGGGGAGTGTTCGAGTAGCGAAAGGAGCAGCGCCGGCGAGGAAGAGGAATTAAGTAAATCGGAAACCGGTGGTAGCTATTTTTATTTAGTACTTTTAAGCATTCAAAAATGTGCTAATTTAAGATGGTTTTCATTCGTTCGTTTGTTAGCAGATATATCGAAGAGTTGGCCGCCCTGTATACGGATAATCGTGGAATCTTCGGAGATTCAGGATCTGAAAGTCGGCTCTCTGCACATCATAACTTGCAGCGGCGGTACGATCGGTCGTGAGGGACAACATTCGATACTCTTAAAGGACCCCAATGCCAGTAAACACCATTTGAAAATCACCTTCGATAAGGGCTCCTCTCAATACCAAGCCGTCGATTTAGGATCTAGAAATGGTATTAACTTTATCGCGCTCTATTTTCGTGTAACTGCACAACCGATTCGTTTTAGGTACTCTATTAAACGGCAAAAGAATGTCTTCGTCGAAGCAAGAAAGCGATGCCTTACCGATAGCACACGGTAGTAAAATCCAGATAGGACAGACTGTATTTTTATGCCACGTACACGACGGTAGCCAAACGTGCGGTCATTGCGAACCAGGATTAATACAAATCGATAGCGGTACTACCGGTACTAAACTAGAGAAAAACACCCGTTCGGACAGGCATAAAAAGGAGCTGAACAATTTGAAACAGTTGTACGGAGTGTCCGGTTACTACGAGGAAGATTCGAAATTGGCTAGCGGCTACACGGACAGGGCTCAAAAGAGGAGGGATACAGTTGGTAGTCAGAATCCCCATGAAAAAACGCAGGTCGCTTCTGTGGATGAGTAAGAAAAATTCCTGATGTTTCAACAATTTTTATTAACTCGATACTCCGCAGGTCTATTAATAAAGAGAACAAAGGCTTCAAATTGCTGTCGAAAATGGGTTGGAAAGAAGGACAGTCGTTGGGGAAAACCGGAGAAGGTCTATTGGAGCCGGTAAATCTGCAATAAAATTCATTTGAAATATCGTTTGATTGAATATTTCGTATTTTTCAGATTAACTCGGTTTCGAATAAAGGCACGACCGGTTTGGGCTCGGCTGTTGTCATGCCGATACCAACGAATACTGGTAAACAAATAATGTGGAAAAAGGCTAAAGAACGATTTCAAAAACTACCCGAGAGTAACGACGTTGTCGATGAATAGGCTAAGCTTTAAATTGTTTAAGAAGGTATTGTTGTTATGTGTTAATAAATCGACTTAACTCCATCAAGAAATACGTTTGTCGATTGGTATTTACGATGTAAATGAAGTGTTTTATTGACAAGAGATACGCTTAATTTGTTCATACTTTATCACATTTTATTGCAACAATTTGATACATATATACATATAAATATTTAATATACATAAACACTTTTATAATCTATCACAACCTACAATTTTATAAATTTTCAGATCAGATAGTAGGTAAAAAAATAATACTTTTTTGAAAAGTGAAGGTAATATAGGAAGAATAAGATTTACTATATGTCTAATATACCAAAAAACACAAATTACCAATATGAAGTAAAACAGTTGTTTGACGAAAAATCTAATTTTTAATTTTACTCCAAAAGATTGCCTAGCTAATTAACTGAATAAAATCAGTGAACAAAATAGAGAGATACACAAACAGCCCGATGTTTTCAGAGTTATTTTTATACATTCGAAATTTAACTAACAAGCTTTATTTATCAAGTATTTTAATTTGTAACAATTACCTCTTTACTGCGTTTATAGTAAATTAAATACAGTAACAGCTTATTGCTTTTCTACATAACGTCGAATTGTAGGCATTAAACATTTCGAAAATATAAAGTTTAATTTCAAACTACGTTAGAGCTGTAGATATTAGAGGTGCCTAAAATGCGACATTACCAACAACTTTCAGAGCCAGTACGATTTATACATTAATTAAACAGCATTTTCCGATTCTAAAATATGTTTAATAGATAACTAATAATACTTAAAATCACTTTTGTTTTGATTAAAATTTTATAAAAAATATTCTTATTGTCGAAATGACGTTTATATTACAAAGGTGTCCAGAAATAAAACGACTGTTCTTTTGCGTTCAGAGCATTCTCTCGAGAACCTGAATCTGTGTATCGATAAATATTCAAAGTTTCTTTTTTTATCAGATAATATTCAAGAAAATAGTCTATGTAATTTCCTACTTTTACCTTTAATTTTTTTGATTTTTTTAATTTAGTTTCCAACGATCAAAAATCAACCAGCAACTTTAATCAACTAATGATATAGTTTAAGACGATACAGGTAGAAAAATATAAACAACGGCAAGATCTAACAAACCCGCTAAATTCTCTAACAGTACATCCAAAAAAAGTAGCATGTGTGGAGAAAACTGGAATACTAATAAACATTTAAGTAAACTGATCGACGGTAAAAAAAGTACGCAGACTTCTATTTGCGAATACAAAAATATTTACGTTAGTATCTTTTCCTCACAACACTGACACTAACAATAATAAATAGGCTTAACTAACGTAGCGAGGACTCGAGACCGTAAAATGTGCAAATAATTCTAATCAAAATTCACTATTATTACGTTCCATCGTCCTTACTACCTCTCGAACATCGCCAGATTTTACGATTTTTTCCAGCGAACTCGAATAGTTTGTAATGTAATTAGAATGATTGCTCAAATGATCGAAATCTCTTGGATAAGTGAGCAATTCTACTACATAAAATTTCGAATTCGTGCCGGAAAAAATGCCAAAAATCGCGATTAATTGTCACAGCGTACGTTGAACTTGGTTTTTCAAATATTAGGAGAAAGGGTAAGGGTCGCTTTCGGTAATTGATAGCGTCTCGTGCTCATCGATCTTTCTATAGATTGCGAAGACAGTTCAGTCGCTATCGGATAAGATGTCGCTCTCTTCGCCGATCGACTAGTGAAAAAAAAGAAAAATAAATCAGCCGAAAGAATTTACGAATGCTCTCTACAAGTTCTTAAGAAAATTTTGGTTTTATAAGAGACTTGTAGAGGACTGGAGGTTTGTACAAAAAAGCGTTCTACAATCTAGAGTTTCTAATTAAAAATTGTTTAATCGGAGGCATTAAACAAATAACATCCATGTTATGCATTCGCAATGTATTCGCTATTGAATTAATTGCAAATTCACAAATGGCAAAAGAAGCGAAGCATGTTGTTATTATTTAGTTATTTTAGTCAATTTTATTAACCACTCATTTTTATACTAAAATTCCTCTATCGTTAACATAGTATTTTATGATGGTTTATTTTAACAATTTCCACCGGCTAGTGAAAATCGGTTTTATCCACTTACACAAGGCAAATAAACAATTTCTCGGGAAACCATTAAAAAACATTGCGTAAGTTTCGTCGTTTTATTTAGAAAATGCTCGAAAAGAAGAGACGATTCCTCTCGACAAACTCGACTACAAATCCAACCAAAAATCAATCGAATCATCTCCTCTTATCCCCGGACTCCAGACGATTCGAATCGATCCAATAACCGAAGCGAATCGCCTCGAAAAGTATTCCGAAAAGTCCGTAGTAAAGCGGCAAACACTACGTTTCGTTAACAACGAGCTGTGTGCAAGAAATATAACTACATTGACGTTGTGCAGCGGGGGTAGTGTCATAATTACCATCATAAGAAACTAGCGATTTAGACATGACTAATGTAAACCTTTCGTTTGAGAAAACCGCTGTTGCGAGCAGGAGATGAGATGCCTGGATCGTGGCTGAAACATTCATTTTGTACCCACATGCACATATTTACATGATATCACAAACTTGCCCAATACAAGCTCCACTGTCGTTGGTGGTTTGCTCGTTATGTTTGTGAAACCATAATGCAAATAAGTATTAAACAAACAAGTTTTCAGAATCGCAACGGATTCCGAAAACTGTTTTTTCGTACTCTAAAAAAACTAAAAATCGTTTAAATCTATTCGAGTTAAAAGTTAGTGCATATTTACAGTATCGGGCATCCAATAAAGCGCAATGATTTTATGCACTTTATTGGAATTTTTTCAAATCGATAATCTCATCGTCTCACCTCCTTCGCCTGGAGAACGTCTGGCCGGGAAGGCCGAAATGTCCCCGGGGAATCACCATCCGGGCGTTGCCTTGGGCGGGCCTCGAGCCCCCGTGGGACATCAGGGCGCTCAAATGGGCCGCGTAGCCCTCCATCAGGATCGTCGCCTGCGACTGTTGCTTCTTGGTGGCTTTGCCTATTATGTAAATCTGCTTGGGCTTCAGGCCGAGCGTCGTGTACACGCTGATGTCTTTGGCGCTGCCGTAAGCCGAGTGTATCACCATACCGTGCGACTGGAAAAACCATTATTAATTGTGCAAATAGAGTTTATAAAAGGCTTTTTACTTCGACGAGATTGTTCAGATAAGCGGCTTTGTGGCCCAGAGGATCGGTGGATAGGCCGTCGGCGAAGGAAATCAAACCGTGCGGGAAATTATGCTGGGACAACCAAGACACCACCCGTCTGTGTTGCATGTCCGGCCTGCCGGTGATGTAGATAATCAAGTAACCCAGTTCCTGCCAATGCCTGCGAAAAAAAAGTGGAATTAATTTCGGAGTAGAATAGCGTAGATGTGAAAAAATAACGGTTATTTTGTAACAGTCGTTACTGCACCTCTATACCAAAAAATCGATTCCCACCTCTATTACGAACTGTCATTACTGTCAGTTTAGTCAGTTTCCGTCGATGTACCATCGAACGCATCTTAAACGCCTACTTTTTATGACGATGAATTAAGCATAATCGAACACTAACCGAACGACATCGACGGCGCCGGCTCGCACTTTGGGGTCCCTCCCGGTGACGGAAACGCTCGCAGTGAACGATCCGTCGATGCTGAACACGACGCATTCCGTCTTGGGCGGCACCACAGCCAAGAAGAAATCCACCGCCGTGTGATCGCCCCTCACCACCATCTTAATGGGATACAATCCGTAGCCGAGCGACTTGTCGGGCGGTATGGTGAACGTGGTCCGGCCCGTTTTATCGGTCACTTCGGTCGCCAGATGGATCCATTCGCCCAGCGGCGCGTCTTTCATCACGTGTATATCGACCTTCTCTCCCGTTAACGTTATCATATCCAACGGTCCGTACATGAACCTAGCCGTTAGAGTTTGCGGCGCCCCATCGAGCACTATCACGTCGTTGGCTCGATGATTCGCCGTGACGTTCTAAAAACAATCTAATTACTATCGCGCTTATATCAGTAATAATCCGCGTACTTTGAGTTTGACAGAGGTTCGTTTGCGAATCCACTTCTCCCTGGGCTGTCCCGGCCTGAAGGTTTGCTCTCTGTCGCCCTCGCCCGGCAGGGCGGTCACCTCGATGCCGCCGATTTGCCTCAATATGAAGGCGATCACGTCGCAGCTCTCCCAGTAGCTGGCGTGGAAGAGATGCGGCAGGGCGTTCGTGGGAAAGTTGGACAGGCCTTCGGGACAGTACAAGGCGTAGTCCAAGCGCTTGTTGCCCCACCATTTGTGTTGCACTGCAAATGGGCGCGCGTTAGAAACGTCCGGAGGCGATTAGAGTTCGATGTGATGCGAATAAGAAGCTAGATATGGCTACTAAACCGGTACTTACAAGCGCTGATGGCTTGAAGGGGAATGTTATCTATGAGCCCGGAAACGGTGCTCTGTATGGAGACTTCGGACAAGCGTCTAGGTTGCAATGTATCGTTAAACATTTGAGAGTTAGACTGAAGAATTTCGACTAGAAGAGCAGATAACGGTATTTACAGTACTACATGTTAGATCGATAGAATATAACGAGCTTACGAGGTACCATTCGGATCGTTCGGACTCACCTAAGTGGTAGGGTTGGCCGTTGCCCAGCGGGTACTTGGCGTACCTGGATATATTTACAGGCGGCAACATCGAGAATCGAGCGGATATCAGAGGTTCGAGCCTGGCGGCTACAGGATCGGTTGGATGGAACAAATTATACACTTGAAGACACACTGGACGGGTTATGGCGTCTGAAATACAAATTATTATTTTACCATTCGAACGGGAATCTATCGCGCTAAACCTACTGGATTTATCGTCTTGCGACGATATTCTTCTGTAAGCGAGGACTAAGGCGAGAGGGCTGCCGAACATGAAGAACTCCGACACTTCAAAGTCTAATTTCAGTTGGGTTTGCTCGCTGGTGGACGAGGATCTTCGCCTGGGAGGCGGCGCCGACAAGTGACCGGTTTCGTTGATGTGTACATCATCTAAAACTAACCAATTTATTAGTAATTAACGGTAGAAATTAGAGCTATTCGCTCGTTACCTTTCTGCAAATCCGATTCCAATATGCTATTCTCGCTGCCGTGCCTCGACGAGTACTTGGTCGTGCGACAGAGCGAATCGTAGGCCAATATCGAGCCCATCGAATCCGCTATGAAGCAAACTTGGCCCGCGAAACCCGTACCTTCCTCCGATCTCAAAAATTCTATACGACAAAACGCACGATTTTAAAATTACACAGGGTTAATTTGCATCAGTTTATACCATGATAAGCGGCGTTAGCGGCACTGATTGTCTTCGAAACGGCCTCCGTATAATCGAACGTCGACGTGGCCAAAATCGGGATGGCTCCGATCGGTATGGAATCGTGGGTGACTTGGGGCGCGTCCGTGCACGACGGAGATACATCGAAACTGTACGGACTGAGACTACAAAAATTTTAATACAATCAGCAAAGACCAAGTTAAATGACCAAGCTGCGCGAGCTCGACTTTTGCGATGCATACATAGGCAGTTAAAGACCCTAAGACAGTTAAATAACCAACATCTCGATAGCTAGGAAGCTCGGCTTGTTTCTTTTATCTTACAATGTTTAACAGGCGTTGGATATTACCTCGATAGAATCCCCAATCCTTCGGTGCAAATGGAAGGACACGAGACCAATCTAATCGCTATGTGACCTATTAAGGAAGGGTAATGTTGGCGCATTACCGATTCGAAAGCTCCTTTGAACGTGGTTACATCCGATTTCTTTGCGGCCATGTCGACGTTCGCGTCTGAAATAATTACATCAATACACTAAAATTTAATCGAAATGTATTAAAATACTCACCTAAAACGCTCCCGGCGTGAAACGCCAGTATCAAAACCGTAATATTACAAGGATTCTGTCCCGCGGAAACCGCCGGAGAATCCGAATTCGAGGCCTCCAACGAATTAATCTTCCCCCTGGCGCTCATCAGGCATCTGTTGCCCCTTTCGCTCGTCACGCGCTTCAGATACACCGGCGAGAATATACTGTCTTCGACTGCAACAAAAATCATCAATCACACTAATATCAATCGCGGTTTAATCGCGAAGTACGAACTTTGATTGTCGACTAACAGGTTGTTGGGCGACGAGGCGTCGCCGTCCTCTTCGGCGAGCAATTCCAACGAGCTCCACTTGGCCAGCGACACGGAATCGGCGATTTCCTCGCAATCGAAGAACTCCTCGTCGGAGGACGAGCCCGAGTCTCTACCCAACGTTTTGATGCGCCAATTGGCCACTTGGAGATCGAAGCTTTTGATCGAGGACGAGCTGGGCGAGTGCAACGTGCGGGATTGTTGCCATTTCTCCTCTCTCCTACAAAAAACCAACGACAAAACGTGTGAATGTTAAACGGGGTGTTGGTTGTAATGCTTACTTTGTTGTAATTTCGTCTTCGGGCGAAAGATCGGCGTCGGAACTGGCCGCAGTTTGTATGGTAGGTACATTAGCGTTTTTGGTCAGCAACGGGCTGTCTTCGGCGGCGACTTCTATGCTGCCCAAAGTCGCCGCGAGGGTCTTCCCGGCGTCTTCTTTGTACGACCGGTTACCTATCTCGTCGTCTTCATCTGAAATTCGCATGTCAATTCACGTAATCGAGCGCTCGAGACGCCGCCATTTACCCAGCTCCTCTTCCACCTGGCCCATTTTTCGCTTCAGCGCCAATTGCGTTTGCTTCTCGATTTCTCTGATGTCCTCCATCGAGAGCCCGTGCCACTCGTCCTGCCAGGCCCAGGCCTGCCTGTGGGCCCTCAACATCGTCCTTCTAAGTGCTACAAACGCGCAATAATAACATAATAACATCTTCAATGCGTATTTTTTATATGTGTAATACATACCTGTGTCGTGTATGAATCGTTCGATTTTGGTCTGCATGCCCCAGTAGCGAAATTCCACTTTGCAGAGCTTGTAAGCGCACATCAACGCTTGCCCGTTGGGTAAAGGTTGCTGCTTGCCTTTGACCGCTTCCCAATAGTCATCCAGCCAGTTGGGGCTCAACGGGCCTCTGCCAGACTTCTCCGATATGTACACCGTAGGATCCTCGTCCCTCACGTAATCGGTGCCGTAGAGTTGATCTTTAACGACGTCTATCACGTCTGTGAAAAGTACAATTTTGTAACGTTTATTAATCGGTTCGGAATGGATCAGTTTACCGACTATCCGGTTTCTCAGATCGCTGCCGGTGAGTTTGAAGACGTTGTCTTGGTGCCCGTTGTCGGGATAGTAGTAGGTTTCGATTTCGAGGTAGAATTTTTCCACGAACGGGCAGGTGTAGCGCGTTTTGGTGTACGGGTAAGCGTTCCAGGCTTCCTCCTCCACCATCAGGGCGGTTTTGGGGAGTATGCCTTTGATCCATCCTGTACAATTTTTCGTATAAAGCGAGCGTCTAGTAATCGTTGCGCGGTTTACCTGGCAAATGGCTGCCGACGTGGTAGAGTTTCTTGGTGTATTGTCCTTGTCCGCCAGGCCCAAAGGTGTACGGTTCGTTGGTTAGTATTTCGACGCCGCTTCCGGCGCCGCTGCTCTCTTGACGGCTCTTTTTCTGCACATTTTTAGCGTTAGATGGACGCTAATCAAATAATCAAACACTTACGGCTATCATGTAGAGTTGGGCTATTCGGTATTCCTCTACGGTGAGCGGTAGAGGAATACGGTATTCCTTGATGAGCATGGCTGACGAGGACCCCTAATTCCTAATTTCAGGAGTTATCCAACCAGCGCCTCTTCATCTTTTATCGCTGCAACGATAAAGTCGCGAATTATGCGATAAATCAATTCGACTTGTTTTCGAGTCGTAAAACGTACTCCGGTATCGCGGGATTTTTACGCGAGTGCCACCATTATTTCGAGCCATAAAGCTTTAGTATGCTATTCCTGGTATTGGATCGTGTCGGGATTATGGCTTGTTTGCTTGACGCGGTATCGCTCGATTGATGGAAAATGATCTTGTAATGGTGTGTTGTCGATATGTAATAAATATTGAACGGTTTGAAGTGAATAAAGGGGGCGTGAGTGAATTTTTTGTTGTTTCTATCGAGGTGTAATTGGATTACCTTGCGTGCTTGTAAAAGAGCGTTGTGTTCCAGAAGTAACGAGATTATTAAAACTACTAAGTATTCTTTTCTAAATAGGGTGTATTGGTATGAGCGAAGAGTAATTAAATTAAATGAGAATGGTGAATATCGCTTGGTTAGGGATTAATAAGCTCACCTAAATCCAAAAAAAGGGCACAAACTCGCAAAAATAGTAAAACAACGCACGAATTTGCCGCTTTCCACTAACACACACCAGCTGGAATTTTATCTTCACCCTACCCCTACGAAATATACATGCTACTTTCTCCGGAGTAACTGGAAAAATCAACGTTGCCAGTTTTTCCTCCTTCCACAACCCACTTCCCGTTAAACCCCCAATCCAACCGGACACTCATTCGAAACACAACCAGTCCTAACATCAACTCGAAAAAAATCTGTTCCTCTAATTCACCTTCTACTTGCAGTACCCACTCCAAAAATTCAACAGGAGACTAAAAAAAAAATATTTCAGCCGAATTCGCGGAACTCCACCGCCCCCGAGGGACGCATATACACACGAAACGAAACCAACAGACGTCCGCCAGTCAAGCGGGCATCATAAATTCATCGGGCGCGCTCTCCACAGCTCTCCTTCCGGGGCCCGATGGATCCGACAACAGGGCGGCTCGTTACCAGCCGGTTATTCGGCGATGACGAGGCGTCCGCCGAAATTCTATTGATCGAAAACGCGCCGCCGCGACGCCCCGACGAGCGTCCTCTCCGGATCGGATAGAGAGCGCCCGTAGGCGGAGGGCGGCGCGCAGGTAGGCCCGGGAGGCACGTGTGTGCACCCCTCTCACGGGACGGGACACGTAACAGGTTGATTCGATTAATTATCCATCTTAAAAGGATGATGATCTGCGCGGGGATGTTTGCAATAATTTAGTAGCGAGTTTTAATAGGCTAGAAGTACTTATAGGGCCGTATTCAGTCTTTTAATGAGTCTCCTTAATGTAAACAGCGTCCTTATAGTTAATTCCATAACAACAATTTAAAACTGTCAAGATAAACAATGCCCCGTAGTTACTCCATAACAACAATGTAAATCTGTCAATTTACACAAATGTCCTTAGTTACTCCATAACAACAACGTAAAACTGTCAATTTAAGGAGACAGTTTGATTGATTGGTGTTAAAAAAACAAAGAGTGACATCTCAGTCTAACTACTGATATTTGGATAATCTTTCTTTCTTCAACTCGTGAAAACGACCACATTGCAAACAATTTTGCACTTATTTTGTGTTATTACTTATTAGAAAAGAACGTATACGGTGTTATAAGTAGGTCATAGATTGTTTATTAATTTGCTAGATCATTCGCTAGATTCTGGCGCAAATCCAACATTTTACGATCCATTTCACGTGCTCTTTTCCAATACATCGATAACACTCATAAATTCCCCGCCATAGCGTTTATGAAATGAACAAAATTATTTATATTCCTCGCTATAAATAAACCGATAATGATTCAATAAAAATTCCAGCAATAATACATCGCTCATGATACACCAAATTTCCCGTAGTCCTTTCCTCGAACCAGCTAATTTCGCTAATTTCGGCTCATCAAAGAGCCCTATAAGGTGGCCTTGCGAGGTCCGCGAGTACATTCGGATCTCGCCGTTTCCGGTGGAATAATCGCGATGAAGGGCAAGCGGAAGGACGAAAGGGGAATTTTCCGGCGGCGGGATTACCTATCCGGGACCCGGGGAACGCAGAAACGGCGGGAGGCGGCGTGGAGCTGGGCGAAAATGTCAAAGGTGAATCGGCCGGACTGGGGAACGGAGGAATTGAATAATCGGCGGGGCATGTATTAAAAAACGCATGCTCGATTCTTGCGATTGTTAAGCGAGGATTAAGAGATATGTAAATCTAGCTACATGCGAAATTAACGCGGAATTCAAGGTGAACGTTGTTGAAATGTTTAATGAACCTATTTGGTGGGCAAATTATTTTTAATTTGCTCCGAAAAAATACTGACGTAATAAGACGATTACTCGCAAATAAAAGGAATAGTAACAGCCTTTAAACACGCTCAATACCTACGCTAATATGACAATTATTAAATTATACAATAAAGATAATTAGCCGAATACATACAGGAAAAAACATGAATAAAAACGTAAGAACTTATACAATACCTTTGCATCACAGAAAACCTCACTCACTGGCACATTGATTAGTATTAATGTAGGCAAATATAATTTAGTTACTAATTAGATTTATTCAAATTAATTATTTTCGGGTTATTTAAATTCACCATTCACTAGTGACCTCAATACGGAATCTGACATTTATCACAAAATCAAATAAAACAGGACTGCCAACAATTATTTGGAGAATTTTTTAAGATTCCAATCAATAAGTTAGGGTTTTTTGCGCCGCTATATTTAATTGTGTACATCATTTATAGAGGTGAAAATATCTTGTTATGGAACTGTTCCGATACAATTCTAACATATTACACGTAACAACTTGAATTAGAAATAATATTTTACAGAAATATTATTAATGTAATCTTTTTCAGTGATGAAAATAAATAATAAGTGCATGAATAAAAAAGATTAAAAACAATTATTGGATAAAATTGTGCCATCTCTACACTGATCAATAAGTTGGAGTAATTATGTTGGTATTACAAAAACAATTGTTATCGTTGACAGGTTTGTCAAATTTGACAGTTATTATCATTGTTTTACATTCTCTTTATTTTATATGTTAACAAATGTAAAAACACACAATTTCGGTTCAAAATATCATGGAAGAATGTATAAATTTACAGAAATTCTAATATATTTCTACATAGTCTGTACAGTTGAAGGTAACATTACTATTTATTACTAAATATCTTAGTTTACATTCATGTTATTGTCGGTTTCAGGCGAAACTTTAAGAGAAATATCTGTAAATATCGGTAAAAACTTAAGCATACCATGTCCCCTTCACCAAGCGAGCGATGTCATGTGGGTGAGAGAAGGTAGAGAAGACCAACAACACAATCGAATGTCCGTTTTAGACGATGGATCTCTTTTCATTTCGAATGCCAGCCGAAACGACACGGGAATTTACGCTTGTAGTCGCGAGAACGTCGTAAATTCAGACGTAAAAGGGAAGATCAAAGTTTTCGTTAGATGTAAGTTACGATTTTAATTCTAACCGTTTAGTTTTTACTCTCGAATTATGTATTTTTCAGCTCCTCCACCAGCATTATCGAATGTTGTCGTTAGACCGAGTACCATTCTTGCCTTATTATTATGGGAAGTGGACAAGACTGGGGGCTATCCGATTATAAACTTCACAGCCCAGTACCGATTAGCTTATACGAATAGTACTTGGATACCTATTTCACCCAACCACATTCCACAAAATTCTGTAAGTATGGATAACTTTAAGATAATTGGATATAACGAAAGTAATTAATTCCAGCGACAAATAGAAGTTTACAAACTCGACCCGAATACTACTTACCAGTTCAGAATCTGGGCTACCAATCAACTAGGTAGGGGTGAAATAACCGAAGTATTTGGTACTACTTTAAATGTGTATACAGAACAAGGTAAATTTGATTTTTTGCACGCTTAATTTCTAGTAGTTTATTACTAATTTAGATTAGTCGGGGGTGATTAAATACTAACAATTTTATTGGTGTTGAACGGTTTTCAGAACTGGCAAGGCATTTTTTAGATAGCGCTGACAAATTTGACACTACCGTGTGGGCTATAGCAGTTGGCGTTGTTATGGGCACATTGGTTTTATTGGGTTTAGGTACCTGCTTTCTTCTTTACCAAGAATGCAAAGTACCAGGTGGTAAGTACATTCGTTATTACTGTATTATTTGATCTAATGTTAAACTTGTTTTGAAGTTGTAGAGGAACAAGAAATAATCGAGTTGGTTCCGAACATTATATTAAATCCTGGATTCGATCAAAACAATCAAGAACAACCTCTGTTACCTCCGGATGAAAACTCGAATAACGAAACACCTTTGAGACTCAATAATAATACTGTCGTTCAACCGAATCGTTTATAATTATCGAGTAAATTCGATCGGAGCAAATGTTTTATAGACTGACATGCCGCTGTTGAGTTGGTGATTTATTTAAAATATTTGCTCTTTTATGTTTAGTTTTAAGTTGAATATCGCTATATTCGAACGATATGATGTCGGGAGAATTGAAAACGGTATTTTCATCGATTCTCCGGATGATTTGAGCTTTACTTTTTTTCCATTTGGTGATATTTTTGCTGTGTTCAAGCTTCGTTTTTATTTTATTAGTGATAAACAATTTTCTAGTCAAGTACAATAATCAAACGGCATATCCAAAAAATGTAATTTTACGAAAAATTGATAAAATAGAAGAAATAGTTTATTATAAATTGCACCGTAGAGAGAGATCTTTGAAGCAATAATTTTTTAGTCACTATCGTAATAACGTTTCTTCTATTTCTACGGATTATTATAATTAATAAGTTTTCCAGGAACATTCCAATTTCTACGATTATTGCTTGCTGTATTCTCGAATATTTTAAACAAACGTGAGCGTTGTGAATTGAGAAAAGATTAAAATAGTTCCATTAAATAATAAGGTTGATCAGGGTGTGATATTTACCTAGAAACTTAAAAGAAATACACCTTGTGTTCACTGTAGTTACTAATTCGAGGTTGAAAATGCTAAAGTATCCGCTATTAACATACCGGGTACTTCGATAACTTAAGATTAACTTAATCAAAACTTGATGCTCGCTTTAACGTGCAATATTTTCGTTTTTATTTTCGTCGAAGTAATCGTAAGACGTTGAAACCGTAAGTGGAGCTGTCGCTGGAACTGGAAGTATTTTTAAGGTAGCTATTTACCTTGTTTTCAGCGACATATCTGATCTTCAGTGCCTATAATAGTAAGATATTAGACGTAGCTTATTTGCACATTCATGTAAATTACAAGAGAAAATCGCTAAATCATGATATTATATAGTCAATTTTAATATCATGGTGCTGCATGAATACACAGACTGATTTTTGTTTTGTTTGTTATTGAGTATAAACGTTTTGAAAAAAAATTATTAATTAAATCGTACTGTTTGTAATATTAAAGTGATATTTTTTTGTTAATTTTAACACTATTTTGTTATGGATTTCTTGGATTACTATAAGATTAAAAAAAGCTTTGCTTGATGGGAATCTATCACAAAATAATTATTCGTACATAGGATTTAATAATGTGTATATTATAAACAGATTCAGAAAATAGTATTTAAATTTATGTTCATTAATAAATTCACTTTTTCTGAATCTACAGGGTGAACATTAATAAAGTAAAGTGGTTATATTTAATGTACTTTATCGGAAACAATTTTATATGAAAGTTAAGCTTTGTATTTTAATTTTTTAATACTAACTTTCGACTTTACCTTATTAATCAATCGCCAAAACCAAATTCAAAGTGAGATGTTTACATTAACATTTCGAATTAAAATTACTGACAATGATTAGATCTCAATTTTTCTCGCCTCTGTGGCTTTATTCGTAAAATTTCTACGTTTCATTGTTTGTTTTTATAAGTATCTCACTTTTATTATCATCGTATTGTCTAAGCTTTTTATACGATTAATGTAATTGTGCTTTGTATTCGTCATATCATAAAACGCGTCGACATTTTATATAAATTTATTATAAAAAATTTATTGGAAAAGGACATTTTGAATGTTATTAGGCTCGTATTATGTTTCATGGCGAGCCTAATAATTTTATTGCAAAATGCAGCTGTCTGTTAGTATTAAAATTGTATTTACTCTAATAATTTCAGCTTCCCTTCGAACTCTCATCGCTATCATAGTTCTTCCATTTGAAATGTAGCTTTATTTATATTTTTTGACCAAAGAGACGCCCGATGTTTTCGTTCATTCAAAATTTTGGCTTCCCTCTACTCGAAAAAATTGATATTTTTCTACTCGACACGTTGTTTTTCAGGAAAACGTATAAGAAACATACTCATAGATGGTTGTGAAAATCGAATTGCGTATTTTTTTATATAATCGAACACAATTTTAGGGTACTCAGCCGATGGTTTTTTTTATTATTTATTCACTAGAAGCGACCATTTTATTGTTTTAGGCTAGGCTTGTTTTATTTTGTGTTTGTGGATCTCATGTTCAACACATAATCATCACAAATGTGCCATATATTACTGATTTGTTTTGTTCATTTTATTATTGCCATGTTATAATCGAGTAAATAAACAATTCCACCGATCCTAGTATTTTTTTTAATTAAATTTCGGCTTATTCAATATTACAGAAGTGTCTACCTCTATTTATTCTCAGTCCTACTATTTATGGTTATTCAGCATCTGTCTAAAGTGACAAGTGACATAAAAGTTTTTTACATTCACAAAAAAAAAGAAGACAGAAGTTAAACAAAAATTGAAGCATTCTTTTGGTAGCGTTCGCGTTCGAGAGTACGAGTACTTAAAAACCTCAAAGTTACGTACGAACAAGTATGGCACAGGGCAAGCTGAAAGTGAAAACCAAGTCCCCCAAACCCAAGAAAGCCACCAAAAAAGCCAAAGGATCGGCCGTCACGAAGAGGGCCAGTAAGTCTCTTCGAAGCAGCGTGAAAAACGCCCTAATTCGCAACGTTTTCAGATCGCCCGTCTCCCGCCAAGAAGCAGGAGGCCACGCAGAAGCTCAAGCAGGCCATCACGAAGACGGTGAACAAGACCGCCGAGACGGAAATTCGCTCGCGCGCCACCCGCAGCGGCAAGCAGAACTTGTCCAAAGCCCAGCAGGCTGTCGCCGCGAACAGTAAAAAAGCGAAAGCCAAATAGTCCCGATGGTGGATCTATACGTATTTGTACCTGTTAACGAGTGTTCCGGCGACACGAAAATTCATAACTGAAGTACAAAATGTATACTAGATGTAAGAGATGAATGGGGGTTTTACTGTGCAGGTCATCGGTTAGGCGTTATTCGGTATAATTTATTTTTTATTCAGCATTTCTAATTACTCTAATTAGGAACAACTGTAGCAATCGTCTCGAGGGGTTTAATTTTGATTTAGATATTTTTTATATTGATGACCTGGCATTTTTTCATTTTAATTCCTCGACTGATGTTCGCCTATAATTTATAATTTTCGTTCGGTTCGTTATGGGCGCGCATCAAGTAGTTTCTGGTTCGTTATTTCATTAACGAAACATTTATATAGTTGTAGGAAAGTTCAGTTTTCTAAAAAAATGTAAGAATATATCAATTGTTTATTTATGCAACTGCATTACTCTTAAGTTTAAGTGCATAATATGTACCGAAAAGTTTTTCGTAAATAAATACTTTTATATGCACAAAGAAACCTCTTACGTTGAATCTAAAGGTCACCGGGTGCAAGGAGTTAGAGCCCCCAATGGGGCCTTATTTAATACTTAATACGCTACTGCTGAAGGATTTACCTTCAATTTTTAATAAGCTGGTGGAATACAAAACTGCTTTATTAAATTCATATTTATTTACAATAAATAGTAAAAATGCGTAAAATAGATACCTTTAATATTCTATACAAGCGTTAAAAAGTTTATTATTTAATGGTAGACGGTATAAGGCGACAATTGAAATCTTTAACATGGCACTCGACGGTTTCGCAAGATAAATCTCTGTTTTTAAGGAGAAACGACCTGAAATACGAGTGAAAAATAACTCCACAAATCTCCGTTAAAACTCCAATACTCACAATTAACAAGTGACCGCTTTTATCTTTATGTATCTTCGGTTCGTTGCCATGTTGAATGTCGATAGTACCTTGTTTTCCTTTCATATTATGCTCGAAACTAAAACACCCCATAAATAACAATTCACTAGACATTCACAATCTACTTACGATGATTTATCCACTATATGAATGATGTCCGGTCTTCTAACAGTATCCACAATCATCGTGAGGGCTTCGATGAGATTAGGCACTTGCAAAATCAAATCTCCCTGTAACACAAATTAAATAAACGAGTTCTCTAGGCGTTTAGAGGATAATAGAGGTACCTTATCCTTGCGTATCAAATCCTCGGGCAATTGCACCAACAGCAACTCGTCGTTTTCGGGCGTAATCACGAAACTCAATCTATCCAAGGGTATGCAATGCTTGGGTTTCAGCGAGCCCTTGGTATCCAACAGGTGGAAACTGCTCTTGCTGATCACCATGATCCGGTCCCTGGGCTTGTACCCGTGCCTGTCGTACTTCACCACGTTCGCGGCGTACTAAAAAAAACCACAATTAATCCACTATCATTCCAATTCAACAACACCAACTCACCGCTTCCTTATCTCCGTTCAACTGCGAAGTATACATCTCTTTCAACGTTAAATTATCATCGAGAACTCTATCGGTCACGAATAAGCGAGGAATACTGAATGGGTAACTCTTTTTCTTCCCTATACCAACAAATTAATACATCTTAAATACTCGAGTAATAACGCCTTATTACTTACCTTTGAACAACGATTCGGCCAGAACTTTTAGTTCGAATTGCCTCTTCTGCTCGGGCAGCAGGTTCAGCCTGTACACTCTGGACATGTGGGCCCCGTGCATGGTCCTCAGCCGCTCGGAGGCCTCCTGGCAAACGTAGGGGGCGGGCGGCCAGCTCCTCGCCAGTATGTTAGTGGGAAGGCTTCTGGCCAGGCGCTTCAGCCACTCGACCTTCGCCATGTTCAAGAAGGAGCGGTTCTCCTCCGTGGGCGGGCCGTTGCGCGTGATGAAGCCCTTGATGAACCTGCAAGAGGGACTCGGTGAGCTTCGGAACGCGGATTCAGTTCGCTACGGTACTTTCTGATGACGATGACGGCTCTGCGCCTTCGATCGGCCTCCACTTTGGCCAGGTACCGCCTTATGTACTTCTGGATGATTATGGAGGATTCCCTCATTTTCAAGTAGCGCTTCCGCTGCACCAGCCCCTTCCAGTGGGATTGTATGATCGATGCTATGTAGTGCTTCTTGAATTGGAAAGCGTCTTCGGTGGCGAATAGGGTCTTCGGGTGTCTTATAAAGATTTTCGTCCTACAACGAATTCGTTAATACTCAATTTACTTAGAAATCAGTTGTGTAGGTATACATACTTTCCCATTTGGTACTCGTCGTCCTGGTAGCCCAAAGTCCGGACGAGCAATTTCACACCGTCTTTAGCTGAACCGTGGTAGTTGGGCCAGGTGTCTTCGCTCAAACATTTGTACCGCTTCAAAAACCTGGTAAAGTCTCGCCTGTAGGCGAAGCCTGCTCGGCGCACCCTCAGGTTCTCCATGAGACCCAAATAGGTCACCTGGTGGCTCACGAGGTCGAAGTTAAAAGTAGCTACGATAAACACAAGTAATAACAAACCTCTAGATAGGCCAGCGAACGGATTACCTGATCTCTTGGAGTCGTTGGGCTTGATGCACCTGATGTACGACGGTTCCTTGTCCTTGAGGATGTTCATTAGATTGTTGACGGAGTGCTTGAACTGCGTGATGGCCGTGTCGGGCATCTTCTTGCTGTTCTGCTCGGATTCCAGGAAAACGGATTGCAAGATGTTGTTCTTGGAGCGGATCATCGCCTCCTTGAGGTCCCTGTAGAGCAAATCGTTGTTTTTGTCGATGAACGATTTGATGTTGTACGTGACGGCTCCGGCGTAGTGGATCAGACGGAATTCCTGCGACATTTCGCATTTCGTTGTAGTAAAACGGAGGAGATGTTTGGCGATTCACTTACGTCTCTGCCCATGATTTTCTGCAACTTGGTATCGGCTTTTTTGTGGCTGATGTAGTGAGCGTGGTATCCCAAGTACTCGTCGAGCTTCGCCAGGAGCGTGACGTCGTTGGGATCGCCGGGCCTTAGACACTCCTCGTCCATGTACGCTATAAGTCCTGCGAAGATTCAACAGATAACATCTAAACGTGTACAAGCACAAGAAATTGTATACCTTTGTGCTTTTCTTCGATCAAATCGCAGATGATTTTGTTGTCGAAGTAGTCGATGTGTTGCCAGACGATTCCCTCCTTCTCGTACTCGTCCTGTTCGGATTTCAACGTCAAATCGATGAACAATTGTTGCAGTTTCTCGTTGCAGAAATTGATGCACAATTGCTCGAAACTGGAAGAAATCGAGCTCGAATTATCGACGCCCAGGAGGCGATTACGATCCTATACCTGTTCCTTTCGAATATCTCGAAACCGTAGATGTCCAATATACCCATGACGACGTTCCTCCTGCTTTCGTTGGGCTGCAACGATTGGTTAATCTTCTTCACTAACCAGGTGAACACTCTATCGTACACTGCTTTGGCTAAGGCGTCCCTGGCGTAGACAGACAACTCCCTGTTCAACGGCGTCACGACCTCCTCGTTGTTGGTCTTGATCGTCCTCTGCAGCAGCGCTTTTTTAAGCAGGTTTTTATCACAGTTCAAAAGCTGCAACGGACGAATTGTTAGCAAGAATTAGAGTTAGAGTTCTGCGCTTACTTTGCTGACGTCCTCGACGATATCCGGCTTGGTGATGACGGAAAGCCCGTCCTGCTCGGTGAAACCGACGTTCCCCAACTGCAGAACCGCCGAGATGATCGAGAACAAATCCATTTGCTCACCGCTGGAGAAATCCAACGTAGTCAACGCTTTTTTAACGGCCGCGAAATCTTCTTTATCGTTGATCCCGTGCGTACCGTTCTGTTGCTGTAAAATCTACTACAAACAGATTCTAGTAGAAGTAAATTAGTAACTTACGCCGTTCGAAAGATAATAATACGAATCGATGGTTCGCTTCAGCTTCAACTCGCCGATCTCCTCGTCGCTGGCGCCCGCCAGCAGCTGGTAGAATACGTGGAAGTTTCGCTCGCCCTGCGTCTGGCTGATCACGCGGGACTTCTCCAGCAGGTAGTTGAGGATGTTGCCGCCCACCGGGTTGCCCTCGAAGTTGAACTGGATGTCCATGTACTTGCCGAACCGGCTCGAATTGTCGTTCCTGTTGGTCTTGGCGTTGCCGAACGCCTCCAGTATCGGATTGGAGAAGATCAGCTTGTCTTTCACCTTCTCCACCTCGCCCTTGTGGTCGGTGACCTCGGCGATGTACTGGAGGACCTTCTTGGAGGCCTCCGTCTTGCCGGAGCCCGATTCTCCTGCAACGGGGATCGTGCAATTGAAGTCTCTTAAGAGTTTGTGAGAGATGAGTTGTTTGCCTACCTGATATTAGAATGCATTGTTCGCGGTTTTCGTCCTTGAGGGATGTGAAGGCGTTGTTTGTGATGGCGAATCTGAAAAAATATTCGTAAAAATGTGAACAAAAAATATTATTAGGTTGCTTACACGTGAGGGGGTACTTCGAAGAAGTTCTTGTTGTCGTACTCCTTGATGGTCTTCTTGTCGTATATCTTCAGTTCTTGGTAGGGGTTTACTGATATTAGTACTGGTCCGATGTAAGTCTGTAAACGGGTTAGATATTGATTTCTGGGATAATAGAAGATTTTTTTGGCTTACATAAATAACATTTTCCTTAAATCTCTTTTGCAAGTTATCGACGAAAACTTCTTGATTGTTGTAATCTTCTAGCAAAACGGCGTCCTGAACACCCACTCTGTCTCTCTCGTGCAGATGGTGTTCCATGGTTTATCTAAAAAAATACAAATTCCACTCTTATTAAATCTATTAGTGTGCATTGTAGAAGAAAGTCGCGTTAACTGAAGTAATAAAAAATATACAAGAAAATGTATGGAGTTTTATTAACCTACAACAATATTAATTACAGTTAATTTCTTCCCTTAACCCAATTTAACTCAAGGCGAGAAATTAATTGCGCCTTTTACATAAATAAACGGCGAATTTGCTTCCGTTAAAAACCTTATTTATTACCTGTTAAATCTGTAAATATACAATTTCACTTTTTTTCCAACAACTGGTATATTTTAACAGTGTTATACTAAAATATTAAAATGTATGCGAGGTTTTTATGGATAAATGCGCGAAGAAACAGCCGGTATGACATCATACTGCCGGTCAATTTCTAATAAAACAGATGTCTGGTTAGAATATAAACGAGTTCCTTCCGTATTTCGAGCCCAAAAAAATAATAACGTTTTAATAATAAATAATAACTATTAGTTATTACGTTAATTAATCGTTATCTTGTAACGCGCTTTTAATCAACGAATATTAAATCAGATTAAAGTTCGTTTAATTGCTCCGATTGAATTACCTGTACCACATAATCGATAAAATTATCAAATTCGTACGAATAATATTGGTACATTTTGCGCTAAAATATTAATTAGATACCAGCCTAATTGAATAATTAATGACCCGTTAAATTTATTTATTAATACATTGAAATTGGACCGGTAAAAATTGCACATATGTAGATAAGTAAAAATTCCTTTTATTTGAATGAAATGTGTGCGGTAAAATGGAATAATAAATAGTTATTTAATTGAATATATTATCACGAACATACCAGTTAATTTTCCTGGATTTAAGCCTTTTTTTAATAACCGATCACCAGACTTATTAAACCATAACTGTAGATAACATACAGGCATCGGTTAGGAGACAGGCTCAGATAAGATTATGTTTTATCTAAAAAAATGTTATCTTTGCATACAAGTCAATTTTGACTCGGTTAATATTTCTTTTTCCTGAAGGAAAAATCAGTATTTTTACCGCAAATCTAGCAAGCGATTCTAGATTGACGTCAATATTTGAATTAAATCATTCAAATTAAGTCATTTCTATGAGTTGAACAAAGAAAGATTACTGAAATGACAGTTGCCGGAGTGAAAAGTTGCATTGACACAATCTCTCTTTCTTTTTCCTTTATAAGTGTCTAATGGAAGTTGTCTTTATCGCACCCGTATTACCTATATTGCAAACTAAAATGAATCAACCTATAGTCATTTCAGTTTTTGACCGCAAATACAGCATGTTAATATTTTGATTTGGAATATTTTTTTTCTAAATCCATTTTTTATCGCAAATCTAGCAAGCGACCCTAGTTTAACGTTTGACATACACGTCACAATTTGCAATTTTTTACCATGGAAACTAGATAAACACAAATTAACATATTTTTTTATCCAATTTTACTCCTTTAGCCATTCATACAGTATATCCTCTCTGAGTCACTCTGTTTACTGCTGGAGTTTTAAAAAGTAACACGAGAATGACGATTTTACGTGGAGTCTAATGGGAATCTCCCACGTGCTCGTTCGCTTGCTTTTCGACAAAACTTTATTGACAGAACAAAAGGCGCTGGTCATAATTCATGAGTCACTATGATATGAGGATTTTATAGAAAATAAACTGTATCGTCAAATAGAATTATGGGATTTTTTTATCGACTTATCTAGGAAGAGGCTTTTAATTATGTTCGAATGAAAAGAAGAAGTATGTACGGTAAATAGCTGTTTAAAGTAATAATAAGTAAGTATAAAAAATATTGTAATAAAATATTTAAAAATGTTATTATTAAGCGTCGGTTATTGAGGAGATATTATTCGAAAAAAATCACCAGGTATGCTAGAAATGTGGAAAATATTGTTTGAAATTATTAAATCCGTCGGAATACTTATCGAATGCTTTACGAATTACTGAATGTTTTCTCTAAATTAAGCACATAATTCCAAAATTTTTATTTATTATTATCTAAACCTTGATCGATCATCGTGAAAATATATCGATTACTTAAGCGCGACAACTCGAAAATAATACCGTTAAAAAACAACTTATTTATTTGAAATGTTTCTGTTAGTTTTACGAAAGTGAAATAATCGATGTTTTCGTACAATTACATTGAATAAATCACGTAAAATGCGTTGATTATACGCCGATTAACAGCGCAAATATTCCACTTTTGAGTCAGCGGATTCGCAATTTGAAGCACAATAAGAAATTTCTCTTTGTCCCCTTATGGAAAACTAAACTCATGACCTCGCTTATCCGCCACGTTTTAAGATAACCACAGGTTGAGGAACGCTTAACTTAATTAAAAACCCGCATTATTTTCCTTCTGTAATTTCCACAAAAACTACTCAATATTCACAATCGCTGTATAAGCGAAAACACAACACTTTTCGTTGTTAAACAGCGCTATAAAATTCATTTCTTAATTAGCCATACAATTTTTTGAAAAACTGTTAAATCTAATCGCTAATTTCGATAAACACATGCACGGTTTTTTTATACGAAAGAGGAAGTTTTCATTAGCATAATGGAATTGTTACCGTTTTGGGGACATCTGTCGCGGAAATATACCTAATGCTTTTCCTTTTCGAAGACAATGACTTCCTTAATACGTGATGATTACGCATTAGCATGGTCATCGTACTCTCGAGGAAAAAAAAAATAAAAAAATTACGTATTGTATTGTGGGAGAAATTTGTGGGAATCACCGAAGAAAAAGCGCCTGCTGGATTTTTCGATTATTTCATAACTTTTCATTGTAAACACGGCAAAAATTCATTGGAGATAACAGAATAATTTGCGATACAATCTGATCAAATCTTGTACATAATCCGGCAATATTTATTTGGATAATATACAGGGTGTTATATAAAAAATGGCTTTTAAACTGATATAAATAAGTAGATATTAAAAGTAGAAAATGCACTGTTGTAAATTGGATAGAAATTAATTGATAATTTCGAGTATTATGCGATAGTATTTTTATGTAACAAATTAGGTAACCTACTAAAAATTTACACTTGTTATTTTCATGTATTCTCTACAATGATAATATAACGAAATAATTTCGATAATCCGCAAAATGCAATTTTATACCTAATACACATGCAGGTGTTTTATAAATCGTAGCAAATTTGCTCAAATCGGGTAATAAATATTAAAAACTGCATATGGGATTTTCTGGTTAATTTTTTTTCAATTCGAAAAATCCATTACTTTAACGATCATTTTCCTCACGCACCGAAGCGATTGCAGATAATATTAACGGCTGGCCTTTTACGAAAATTGTATTAAAATAAAACAAATAAAAACGTACCCAACAGGACATAAATAAACACTAAAATTTAATTAGGCGCTGTTACCGAATGAATATTAATTAAAATATCATTTGTACCTACGTCAAAAAGTAAGCAATATCTACTAATCTAATCGAATATTAAGTGAATATAACGCATTAAAATATAGCATAGATTGCATTTATTGTAATCGGGCTATGATATCACAATTTTCCCTTCAAACATGAATGGGAACTGTAAATTGATGGTAATAAATAAATCGTTACGCAAGTACAAATACACGCTTATTTTCCTGGATTATGAAAATCCACAATAACGCATCGTGGGAAAGCCGAGTAACACAACAACAAACAAAAAAAATCTCACATGCTTCCATTCACACAACCCGCAATCTCGCCCGACCAGACCTATCAGGTTTCCATTGTAAATCACGAATCGAAAAACCGGATCTCCGATATACCGACCTGTTTCGAAGAATACAGAAAGACACAGAAAAAAAACACCAACGACCGCTCCTCGTCGGTTTCTCTTCGGCACTCGAACCGTCGAAACCGCACGAAATCGCGATTCTCCCAGGCGGGAAAAACCGCCCCCCGAACCGAGAAACTCGACTGCCGCTCGCTGGTGGAGGTGGAGGTGGACTCGTCGCAGCGGCTACGCGGCAGCGTCTGGACCCGGACCGGCGGAGTCTCGGCGCTTCCACGGCGACTGGGCCGCGCTCGAAGAGCCGCTTTTCGATCGCCCTGGCGGGGGGACTTGCTATATTTAACTATATTTAACCGGACCGAAGACTCGACGAGTCAGATTCGGAGCGGAAGACGCGATTTCGTATCGACTGGACTCCTATTTTAGCCTCACGAGTATCGCTGCTTTATTGAACCACCCTGTGGTTTAGGCACTCTGATTGATTGGTTCATTATTATCCTCTTTGTAGGTATTGTACAGGGTGTTAATTAATTGAGTGTCGATACTTCAGGATGTGTATATTTGGATGATTTTAAGAAGAAAAGTTTATATCAATATGAGTCCTAAACCTCTTAGTTTTCGAGCTACAGATTTGAGCTAAAGATTAGTAAGAAATATTCCTCAAATTTCAGCACCTTGTAGTAGATAATGAATAAATAAAAACTCCCAAAAATAATCCCACTCAGTCATTAAATCACCGGCAACCTTCAAAACTCAAAATAACTTCAAACAACGAAACCCCAACCCCCTTATTAAAAAGCACAATAAAACCCCTCCGTTACGTTATAACATTGAAGAGTTTTCAATATTTTTTTTAAGGGCCCAGCACTTTCCAGCCTACGTTTCTAATATATTACGGGTAATTATACCGCGCGGGCGAGTTTGATTGACCGCGACGAAGGTTTGTATAAATCCAGGGACGCGTAGCGACGCCGGACGCGTCGCGGCGCCCGTCCTTTATCGCTTCGACGAAAAAACGGGCAGTTGTTGTCGGTCTACGAGGAGCGGAAAAACGGTGTTACAATCGGGGGAAATTCGCCTGGTCGCTGGACGAGCGGGTGAGTTATTTTATGCACTTTCGGTTATATTGGATAACCGGGCGGTTAAAATAAGTTGTACGTGTTTTTTTTTTTGTTATTTGTTGTGTTTACAGTTTCGAACTATAGAATGCTTGTACTGATTAATTTAGCGAGAATTTATATAATTTTATAATGATTTAATGCAATAATTGTTCGATTACCTACTCCGAATGCGAAATTTCACAAACTTGCTTTTTCTATATAGAGTGTCCCAAAAAATTATTCTTTATAAGTACTTCGTATGCCTTAACGATATGTTTGTTTTGTGTGCTTTATTATCTCACGCAAATGGAAAATATAAATACTGGGTAAATACAGGACAATCCGTAATTGTGACCCCCTTTTAATGGGGTTGTATCGAAAAAAAAAACTATCACCGAAATTGTGATAATGACAAAACACATGAATCATTTATCAAAAAACCTACTCCCATGTCATTAAAATTTATTACTTTTTGTTCCGAATATTCTAATAAATATTTCATATATATTTAACAATCCCTCATTTACCTAACCTTAATTACCGCAAGCCCTCCACTTCTGTATAGATAAAAATCAATTGTTTCCAAATAGAAAAATAATTATTTCTATTTTTAACACCGCAATTTTTTTTTGGTATGGAGGAAAAACGATGCCTTTCGAGCGCCCGTCGCCCCCATGAGACGGTCCGGCTCGCAGCCCCACATGGTGTCGCGACGCGAGAACTCCTTCAAGAAGACGCCGCCGGCGTCGCGCGGCCTCAGCCCCGTCCGCAACGGCGCCAGGAAGGGCGCCAGCCCGGACAGGAGGCGGTTCGAGGCCAAGGAGGCGAGGTCCAGGGGCGCCAGCCCCGCCAAAAGTCTGCCCACTTCGCGCGGCAGCGAGTAAGTTTAACTTTAGAGTAGAGAGTCTAAAGCGAATCGCCCTGTATAATGTACGGGGGGCGTTCGATAAGTTTGAAGCAATGAATTGATGTAAATTGGGCAACGGAATTTACTCAGAATCTACTCTGAATCTACCCTGAAAGTACTCTCATTATACTTTAAATCTACTTACGCTGAATCTACGTTATTCTGAATCTATTCTACTTTGAATCTACTCTCAAAGTACTCTGAATTTACTCTGAATCTACTCTGAATCTACCCTGAAACTACTCTGAATATACTCTAAATCTACTTTACTCTGAATCTACTCTACTTTGAATCTACTCTAAATCTACTTATACTGAATCTACTTTACTCTGAATCTACCCTGAAACTTCTCTGAATATACTCTAAATCTACTTATTCTGAATTTACTTTACTCTGAATCTATTCTACTTTAAATCTACTCAGAAAGTACTCTGAATCTGCTCTAAATCTACTCTGCTCTACTCAATTTATCCACCGGCGCATTATACGGGGGTGGTCATAAAAATACCAGCAATAAACTTGTTGTGAGTGATCTTTATTGTTACAAATTGAGCAAGTAATCGAAAACAACATATCACTTATCGAAATTGACAAAATAAAATTAGTAATATGTCGTAAATGCGATATTTATTGTATATTGATTGATCCGCATTAGTGAAATTACTTGAATCAATCTATTTTTAGAATTATAAAACTTGATGCTCATAAAACTATGTAAATTAATTATCAATTTATAAGCCGTATTATTCGTGTATCGTCTAAATGAGTGAAAAGCGATTGTATTTTTCAAATCGGTTTTTGTGTTGATTTCAAACGAAAACAAACCGCAGAAAATTAGTCGAGCACGCATACAATATTGCCGGGCGCGTTATTCACACACGATCTCCATTATTAACATTCCCTTAAATATTTAATAAATCTAAAATTGAACCGATAATTCGCTTTCGACTTCCGTTTGACGCCCCATCAATTATTAACTCCATCGAAAGCGGAATGTAATTTCCTCGACGGGGTTTCCCCCGTTTAACTCGCGCCTCCTACGACCCAATTTTCCCCATATGTTCCCCACAAAAGTAAGTTGCATTTTTTTTCGAGCCCCGAGCAATTAAACTGCACCTTGACCCGTCCGGGGCGTCGTGAAATATTTATTTTCCCAGAGTAATAAGACGGATTCATCGATGGTATTACATTATTGATTGTCACCTCCGTTTTCCACAAAAAGTAAACAGTTTAGTTAAACGTGTTTTAAAATCACAAATAGAATATTGTATCGAGTTAGAGGTAAATTCATCACGAAAGGTAATATACTGGGTGAGACATAAGCCTAATGAAAAAAAAAATGCATTTCGATTATTATCTGGCTTTATCACGCTAAAGCGATAAAACTACGTGGATGGTTTTAACTTTTAACGATTTATGGATTAATTGCGATTATGGTGACACACAAAAAGACATGCACTTCATTTTTTAAACCTATATATCGATCAGTTTAAACGGTTCGAATATGATGATTATATCTAACCTTGGCCGGATCCCTGGAACATCGTTGACTACTCACAATTTAACGACCTTTGGCTAATATTAGATCAATTTGTTTGCCTTTTTGATTTTATTTGATCGACGGGGAAAATTTCAACAACTTCCAATTGCTTTCTACACCATTATTAACCCACAACGAACCGGTAATGAAGGTTTGAGTTGCCTCTAATTACATACCAAATCAATCAAATACAAACGCTTTTAACTGGAAATCACTACGAAACTTTTCCTCTTACAGAACTGGAAGCGTCGAAAGATTAGATGAAGACAACAATTTCCAAAGGATAATCACCAAGTACAGTGAAGCAGAAGACAATATCAATGTAGTAGTAAGGTAATTTGTAATTCGTATTCTCTTTCAACTCTTTAATAAACTGTTTCAATACAAACTAGAGTACGCCCGCTGAGCGACAAGGAAATAAAAAATGGCGAGGAATCGGTCATCCAGTTCCCCGGCAACGGTCAAATAATGGTAAACCAAAGCACCTTCTACTCAAACATCGATTTAAAACCGATCAAATCACTAGGTGGACGGTATACCGGGAGGTCCAGGCGGCGGCCAGAAGCCCAAACTCTTCTCCTACAACGTGGTGTTCGAGCCCGCGGCCACCCAAGAAGACGTCCTCCAGTTCTCCGGCATGAAGCGCCTCATCGAAATGGCCGTCGAAGGCTTCAGGTGCACCTGCTTCTGCTACGGACAAACCGGCAGCGGGAAGACCCACACCCTCACCGGTCCACCAAAACTCGTAAGCGATCCTCCCTCGATCCCCAACGAAATCCTCACGTTTCTGAAATCTTCCAGTTCGGTTTGAAGACGGCGCCGTACAGCGACAAGCACGGGCTGGTGTTCAGGTCCTTCATGTACCTGTTCCAGCTCATCCAGCAGCAGCCGGACGTGCACTTCGTCCTGAAGGCCAGCTTCCTGGAGATCTACAACGAGAAGGTAAGCGATCGATTCGAGTGATTAGGGCAGGTTCGAGCCGGCGTTGCTTCCAGGTGATCGATTTGCTGAATCCCGGCGGGGCGAGGAAGCCGCTGGCGGTGCGGTGGAGCAAGAAGGCGCGCGGCTTCTTCGTGGAGAACCTGTTTTCGGTGGATTGCGAGGAGTTCGACGATTTGCTGGCGGTGCTGGAGGAGGGCATGAGGAACCGATCGGTGGGGAGGCACAACATGAACGACTACTCCAGGTACTTATGCACGGGATGAATGAAAGTAGTGTGATTGATTTGGTGGCGTTTTGTATAGCCGGAGTCATACCATTTTGAGCGTGCATATAACGTCCGAGCAGCCGGCGGAAGATGGCGTGTTCATTTCCCGTTCGGGTAAAATTAATTTCGTGGATTTGGCCGGCAGCGAAATGACCAAGAAGACCCAAAGCGAAGGGAAGACGCTGGAAGAAGCCAATAACATTAACAAAAGTTTAATGGTGCTCGGTGAGTCATATGCAATTACTAATTCTTGACCTTCCCGTGCGATTTTCGATCATATACTTTATTATTTTCTTTAAAAGAAGCACACGTCACCTCATTTGAATACACAATAAATTACCCCGTTGGCTATTTCCGATTTCTAAGAAACGAAAAGACTTGGAAATCGATTTCGCAAAAAGTGCTGATTAAGATTATCAGCTATATCCAAGGATACCTTTTGAATGGGCGTTAATTAAAATCAAATTCCAAACGATTAATAACAACCCTTATATCGATTATTTTTTTCCACAACACCGATACTTCCACGAAACCGATTCAAACCAGGCGAACGTTACACCCTAAATTAGATTTCCCTACATAATGAATAAGAGACCTTTTCAAAAGTCAAACCATCGCACCGCGAAGGGTGTGCGTCGTGTGTGTGTAAGGGCTGTAAAATGTCGATCATTGAAACGAGGGGGGCGGGAGCGCGGCGGGCCGGGGGCGTTGTTTAACATTAAAAGCTCCATCAGTCGGAAATCGCCGAGGAATTCGTTAATACCGGCCCGGAAAAACGAGCTCCGGAATGTTCCAGGTTACTGCATATCGTCGCTGAGCGACGCGAAGCGCACCAAAGGGCACATTCCTTACAGGGATTCCAAATTGACCAAGCTCCTGGCCGATTCGCTCGCTGGTAATGGCGTAACGTTAATGGTAAGTCCTCCATTAGATGTTTTTTTTTTTGGACCGCTAGGTTAGTTAGTAAAAGGCCATTACACTGCTCGGGTGCGGGTACATACAGCTTTGCTTCTGTCGAAAGAAGTAGTGAATAAACTTCGAGTTTTTCTCTTATTTTGACCACTCTATATATCGATGTATATTTTTTTAGATAGCCTGCATTTCGCCGGCTAAATCGAACATACACGAGACGTTGAACACGCTTCGATATGCGGCCAGAGCGAAGAAAATCCGCACCAAACCTATAGTGGTTATGGTAAATTATATCATTCGAATCTAATGAACCAAACGACGTTCCGCGTCGAGCATAATGAACCGTACGACGTTTTTTCAGGACCCGCGCGAGGCGTTAATTTTGAACTTGAAAAGAGAAGTGACGACTTTGCAAAGCGAAAACCACCATCTGAGGTCGGCGTTGAACGCTTACTCGGGCTCCAATTTGAGCGACAATTCGTCAGGTAAATCCGCGATATTACCGTAATATACACCGAATAATTATCGATTTGTAGAGAGGAGATTGCTGGAAACCCCACCGCACGTGAACCTCGATGAACTGGCCAATTTGGAGGGGCCCGAACTGGCGGACCTCGTCAGATTGTACATGAAAGAAAACGAAGCCTTGAGAAGAGACAACGCGGAATTGTTCGTTTCCAGGGACATCCTGCAAAGGGACCACGAGGTCGTTTGCAGGGAGAACGAGCGATTGCTGAAGAAACTAGAGGAAGTCAATTCGTAAGTTCCTGCTATTCTTAAAACACCATCAAAGCTTCCATTTGAAATATCTATTGATAGACTCTGTGTATTTATTTTAGAATATGTTGCAGCTCCCCTCTGATTCCAGCTAGACCGGCGTACTCGGCCGACGTCGCCAACGGCGACATTTGGACGAATACCGCCGGCGAAAAGCACCCTGTGATTCCCGAATCGATACGAAAAGAGCTGGACAAAAGGCAAATTGGTAACAGGTAAAATCCCGCCATTTCTACCCCCTCTGATAAAAGAGAAATACTCGAGCTGTGATTTGTAGCGCGCAAACCAAAGGCCATCGAAGGTACAATTCGCTGGAGGACAAAGCGAGCAGCAAACCCAGGCCTTTGCAAACGAATCTGGCCGAAGACGACGACAGCAAAAGGTATAACTGAGATACGGGTAGAGGTAGACGAGCCGTAAGCTGAGGGCGCCGCGATAACGGGGGACTTTTTAAAGGTTTGTTGCAGATAACAACAACAGCGAGGCCCAAAGGAGGTACTCGGTGGCGAATAAAGAATCGCAGCAGAGCCATTCTGATGTATTCGGTAGTTCGATTTCCCTCAACGACGAAGACGAAGTTAATTAAGCACCTAAAACGTTGGTTGATCTAGTGCGTGAAGATTTTTTAGCAGAGAGTTGTAAATAATTGTATTGTAAATGAGAGTTGAATATATTTTGCAAGATTTTTTGTTATTTTTATAACGGGGATATTTGAGCGAGTCCCACTCTGTGTAAACGTCTTTTTTTTGTTGACTTTTGTTGTTCGGACAACTAGCAAGATTATATGTCATCGTATATCTCGCTCTGTTTGTTTAGCGTTGTTTCGCTTCAATGACTAGGTGATTTTTGTAGTCGATTGATTCCTGCGATTAGAAAATCGCGGCGTTGCCAACAGTAAAAAGTTAAAATTCCAAACCGGCGAGCCGAGTTCAAAACTGATGCTAAAAATTGTAATTAAATTTAATTAACACGATGTGTCAAAATTATTTGTCGGAATAATTGTCATCCGTTCGAATAACTACAAATATAACAGGAAAGAAATCGGCGAACGGCGAAAAAATACAGTTACTTTCATCATGTAATGTTGGCGGTACGTTAAAAAATTCACTATACATCGCGCATGCAAACTCGCGTCTCGACTCTTGGATTCCTTTGTCCCATTCCGTTCGTTTTTAATAAGCTTACGTCGAATGTGTCGGCCCGGTCGATTATATGATTTTTCTACGTGACTACCTATAAAAACAGACTTATAAAATCGCGTCTTTTCGTGTCCGATGTCTAGTGCTGGAATCGCAGACAGCCCCATCGATCCTCCAGCAAAAAAGCGTAAGCTTGACTCGAAAATTTGCAGCCTCGACATGGCGAATAACGAAGCTTCGGGATCCTCGAACGCCGGCGAAATCGACGAGGGACTCTACTCGAGACAGCTGTACGTGTTGGGACACGATGCCATGCGACGCATGGCCACCAGTGATGTGCTCGTCTCCGGTCTGGGCGGTTTGGGTGTCGAAATAGCTAAAAATGTGATCTTAGGCGGCGTCAAATCAGTGACTCTCCACGACGATGCTCTTTGCACCGTGCGGGATTTGTCATCGCAGTTCTACCTCACCGACGCCGACGTGGGGAAAAATCGCGCGGAGGCCTGCTGCAAGCACCTCTCCGAGCTCAACACCTACGTCCCGACGAAGCCCTACACGGGCCCCCTCGACGAGAAGATCATCCTCAAGTACCGGGTGGTGGTGTTGACTAATAGCACTCGTGCCGAGCAGCTCCGTATCAGCGAGATAACGCATAACAACGATATCGCTTTGATAATCGCCGATACCAAAGGTCTGTTCGCTCAAGTCTTCTGCGACTTCGGCAAGGCCTTCTCCGTGGTGGACGTCAACGGGGAACCCCCCGTCTCCACCATGATAGCCGATATATCGAACGATACAGAGAGCGTGGTAACTTGCATAGACGACACCAGGCATGGAATGGAGGAAGGCGACTACGTCACCTTCTCCGAGATCTTAGGCATGACCGAATTGAACAACTGCAAGCCCATCAAAATCAAAGTGTTGGGCCCTTACACGTTCAGCATCGGCGACACCACCAAATTCTCCAAGTACGTCCGAGGAGGCATCGTAACGCAAGTGAAGATGCCCAAAGAGGTGCACTTCAAGCCGCTGAAGGAGTCGCTGCAGAATCCCGAATTCGTGGTGACCGATTTCGCCAAGTTCGATCACCCCATCCAATTGCACCTCGCCTTCTCCACGCTGCACAAGTTCGTGGAGAAGACCGGGCGGTTGCCGAAGCCCTGGAACAAGGACGACGCCGCCGAGTTTATCGCCTTGGCGAAATCCTTGGCGGTGAACGGTTCCACCGACAACGAGGTCAACACCGATATACTCAACGTTTTCTCCAAGTGTTGCTCGGGCGATTTGAATCCCATCAACGCCACGATCGGAGGCATCGTGGCGCAGGAGGTGATGAAAGCCTGCTCGGGGAAGTTCTATCCCATCTACCAATGGTTGTATTTCGATGCCATCGAATGCCTGCCCCAAGACAAGGACGAGATCACCGAGGAACTGGCCGCTCCCGTTGATAGTCGATACGACGGACAGATCGCTGTGTTCGGTAAAGATTTCCAGAAGCGATTAGGTAATTGTTTACGAGTAATGAGTCAATGTTGTTATTGATGTTTGGTTGCTTTAGGTGAATTGAAATATTTCATTGTGGGCGCCGGAGCGATCGGTTGCGAATTATTGAAGAACTTCGCCATGATGGGATTGGGAACGCAAGGCGGTCAAATCACCGTAACCGATATGGATTTGATCGAAAAGTCGAATTTAAACAGGCAATTTTTATTCAGACCCCACAACGTTCAACAACCCAAATCCGCTACCGCTGCTAAGGTAACTACTACACAATCTATCTTTATTACTATTTAATAACACTCGGAAATGTATGTAGGTAATTAAGAAGATGAATCCCGACGTTAACATAGTGGCCCACGAGAACCGAGTGGGCCCCGAAACGGAAAACGTCTACAACGACGAGTTCTTCGAGGTCCTCGACGGCGTTGCCAACGCCCTGGATAACGTCGACGCGCGAATATACATGGACAGACGGTGCGTCTACTATCGCAAGCCTCTCCTCGAATCGGGCACTTTGGGCACCAAAGGCAACACCCAAGTAGTGGTACCGTTCCTGTCGGAGTCGTACAGCTCGTCGCAGGACCCGCCCGAGAAGAGCATACCGATTTGCACGCTGAAGAACTTCCCCAACGCCATCGAGCACACGTTGCAATGGGCTCGCGACAACTTCGAGGGTTTGTTCAGGCAGAACGCCGAGAACGCGTCGCAGTACCTGCGAGATCCGGATTTCATCGAGCGCACCGTCAAACTGCCGGGCGTCCAGCCGCTGGAGGTGCTGGAATCGGTGAAGGCGGCGTTGATCGACGAAAGACCGAAGGATTACGACGATTGCCTGGCGTGGGCGCGCCTGCATTGGGAGGACCAATACGCCAATCAGATCAAGCAGCTGTTGTTCAATTTCCCGCCCGATCAACTCACCAGTACCGGCCAGTTGTTCTGGTCGGGGCCGAAGAGGTGTCCGGATCCGCTCGTGTTCGACATCAACGAGGAGTTGCACGTGGATTACGTGATAGCCGCGGCTAATTTGAAAGCTCAAGTTTACGGTATACCCACCAATAGGAATAGATGTTATGCCAAGCAAGTCGTCACCGGCATCGAGGTACTGCATTATATTTTTTATTGTAATTATACTGAAGTTATAATTGATGTTTTTGTGGTGTAGGTGCCGGCGTTTGTGCCCAAATCGGGCGTGAAAATCGCCGTGACCGACTCGCAGATGGCCATGAACGGTAACAACGTCGACTTGGATCGGATCAATCAAATCAAGCAGGAATTGCCTTCGATGGAGGAGCTGAGCGACCTGAAGTTGACGCCGTTGGAATTCGAAAAGGACGACGATGCCAATTTCCACATGGACTTCATCGTGGCGGCCTCGAATTTGAGAGCGGCCAACTACAAGATTCCTCTGGCCGATCGACACAAATCTAAGTTAATCGCTGGTAAATTTATTGTTTATTTGCAACTCGTGGTAGTTATAATGAATCGTTTTTGTGCAGGTAAAATCATCCCGGCGATAGCTACAACTACTTCGGTGGTGGCCGGTTTGGTTTGTTTGGAATTGTACAAACTGGCGAGGAGTATCAAGAGTTTGACGCCGTTTAAGAACGGCTTCGTGAATTTGGCGTTGCCGTTTTTCGGATTCTCCGAGCCCATCGCGGCGCCTAAAATGGAGTACTGCGGTAACCAGTGGACCTTGTGGGATAGATTCGAGGTGCAAGGAGAGATGACGCTCGCCGAGTTTCTGGAGTATTTCAAGGAGAAGCACGGTTTGGAGATTACGATGCTGTCCCAAGGGGTGTGCATGCTGTACTCGTTCTTCATGCCTAAAGCCAAAGCTCAAGAAAGGTGTGTGATTGTCGATTTAAGAGTTTTGATTGTTTTTAATGCGATTTTTGGTTTGCAGGTTAGGACTGACGATGTCTGAGGTGGTGAGGAGAGTGTCGAAGAAGAAGATTGAGCCTCACGTTAGAGCGTTGGTTTTTGAGTTGTGCTGCAACGACGCCGACGGCGAGGACGTGGAGGTTCCTTACGTTAAATACAACTTGTATTGAAATTGAACAAACACCAGTTCAGTCATTCTACACGAACTTTATAACATTTTTGGGGGTCAGTGGCCAAATTAAACTATTGTTTTATAAATTATGGTAGTTGTAGTTTCGTTGTTTTGATTTTTTTTTGTTAGATAAAACAGATTTTTAATGTAATATATTATCGGAGGCAAATCGGATTTAGATCACATGGATTCGCTTAAGTTGTACCGCAAATTCAAAAAGTAAACAAATTGACAATAATTGAGAAAAAAATTATTGTAATTCTAGTGCGCATTTTTGTTATTTTTGAATATGTTTGGAGCACTGACCTTAAAAACTGAACTAGAGAGTTGCACGACTGGGACATTGTGATCTGTATTAAATTATTTTTTTTTTGTAAGAAAACTTCAATGATTTGCTGACAGTTTTAATGAAACGATTTTTATTAAATTTATTATGATTACTAAGGGTTTTGTAGCATTTAAATACGCTGGATGCAATATATTAATATAACTTGTAGAATTCTTGTTATTTTTATGAAAATCGTAGTTTGCAAAATAACACTTATTATTTTCCTAAATATTTTCATGTGTGAAAGTAAAAATAAATATTTACAGAATGCCCATATTTTTTATTTTTTCCAATTTCTAGTTCCAAAATTTGAATTGAAATTTTTTTTTATTTTATCATGGACTACTTTTATTCTGGTATTCAGTCACTATTTTCATTTACATTAATAAGAAGAAAAATACATGACAGGTGACAGTTTTGACATGACATTGACATAGAAAATAAGGACATCCAGGGAATGTTTATTTTGATTTGTTTTGTTATCTAATAATTGGATATTTAATGAATAATATTACTTCTGTTGTAACATTTAAATGATTACTCAATGAATTGATCCAAAATAATTAGGTGCTGGCAGATTAGTGTTTGAAGCTTCGTCCTCCAAAATGTCTGGGACACCATTCATTTTATGCCTTCCTGACGTTGCATTGGAGAGTATTTTTTCTTTTATGAGTTACGATGAGATTGCCAGAAACAGAATTGTAAGTAAAACCAAACCATTTCATTTCCAAATTTTATCCCTAACCTTAGGGTTGTTATGACGTTTCCTTATCCCGTTATCTGTCATTAGTGTCAATTATAATTTAGCGGGAATTAGTTTACTTGATAAAAGTGTTCGTGGTAACAACAAATGATGGAAAACTCGGAAAATTCTGATCCCTTGGAATCCTTATTAGCCGCTTTCGATAACGATGCAATCCCTAAAACGAATAAACTAAAAGAAACCAATTTATTTGAACACGAAACTAATCAGCCAAAGCCTACTGCAACATCTACGAAAAACAGTCTCATTCACTCGGGAGACACGGACTCATCAGACGACGAAGACAGCAGGAATTGGGAAGACTCTAAATACTCCCAACACGGTAGAGACATTAAAAAATTACTGGAACAAAATAATACCAGCAATACAAATAATGTAGAAACTAAGAGAGTATCTAACTGGAAAAAACCAATATCTACTAATCCCATACCGAAAGTAATTAAACCACCAGAAACTCAAGTGAAACACGACGTATTTACCGACCCAATATTCGGCTTGCGCATTATTAAACCCCTCATATCATCAGCCACATTGAAAGAGAGAATGATCGGCCGAGATTCCGTTAATTTCTACGGCTTAAGCAAATACATACAAACCAAATCTAGGGACAAAGATTGGGTTATCGCAGGCGTAATTGTTAATAAAACTGTACCTAAAGTATCCCAGAAAGGCAACAAATTCAGCATGTGGACCTTAAGTGATCTCAAGGACGATATCAAAACCATATGCATGTATTTGTTTAGCGGAGCAAACGAACAGTTATGGAAGACTTCCGTAGGCACCGTAGTGGGTATACTTAATCCCGATGTGTTGGAGAATAAAAGCAAATACGATGTTGTAAGTATATTTCGTGTAATGCTAATTATAGATGAGTAATTGCAATGTTTCAACAGGCATCTTTGAGCGTGAACAACGCGCAAAAAGTGATGATCTTCGGCCAGTCCAAGGACTTCGGGACGTGCAAAAGCACGAAGAAAAACGGCGAAAAATGCACGGCGATCGTTAACAAAAGTAAATGCGAATATTGCATCTATCACATCAAACAAGAATACCAAAAATGCTCCATACGATCGGACATACAATCGTCCTTCGGCGGCCGAGGCCTGACCGCTCTACGCAACAAAGTTTTAGGCAAAAACGAGGTTTTCTACGCGGGGAAATCCTACACCGCCGTCCCGGCTAAAAAGAGCAAGAAACTAGAAGCCAAGGATAACATGCGATTGACCAGTTTGCTCGAAAGAAACCCCGTTTTGGAAACTAAAATAAAAACCGCGAAGAAAAAGGCCGCGCCTCGATTAGAAGTCTCCGCAGCCCAACGACTGAGAGACATACAATTACTAGAAAAACTAAGAGAGCCCTCAGACTTGCCCGCTAAAACCAAATTCGATGGAGTACAATCCGCAGAAGTCACCGTCGAAGACGCCAAAAACCTCGCCACATCCGTCCTAAACAAACTAAAAGCCAAACAACAATCCAACAATCCCTCTAACACTCAAACCGAACCAACAAAATTAACTCATTTAACCGACCACGTCCCGAAACTCTCCGGCTTCGACACAGGCGTAGTGGATTTGAGCAAACCGATCGCACGGAGAACCGACAGAGCCAAAGAAAAGGCCATTCGACTCGTCCAAAAATCGGGCCCCATCAAGAAAGTAGACCCCAACAGCACCCGAGGCAGCGGCGTGAAGCGACCCATAGCCGAACCTGAACTTCATCCGGAACCCAAAAAACCCAAAACCGACTCGACCAGCTTCCAATCCGAGCGCTTCAAGAAGATAATGGCCGCCGCCTCCAACCACCAGGACCTCGTCGAATCCCGCGACGAGGAGGAGAAGGAGAAGTACTTCAAGAAGCTGGAGATGAAGGAGAACATGGAGGAGAAGATGATCAACACGCACAAAGTGGCCTGCAAGGCGGTGAAATGTTTGCAGTGCAAATACGTCAGTTTCTCCGCATCGGACCGGTGCAAAACCGAACGGCATAATCTCAAAGTTTTCGATGCCGTGAAGAGATTCTACAAATGCGGACATTGCCAAAACAGGACCGTTTGCTTGGAAATCGTACCGTTGAAAGCTTGCAGCAATTGCGGCACCGCCGAGTGGATAAAAACCGGAATGATGAAGGAAAAATTGATAACCTCCTCTCACAATCTATCGATTCGCGGAGGCGAACAGAAAAACGTCAACTCCGATATTATAGGCGCCAATTTGGACTTGTTAGTTCCTAGTTAACGCGAATGTATCCCGCAATTATTAAGACAACATAACGTATTGTTAATCGCCTTTATGTAATATAATTTATACACAAACATGGCCTCTTCGTTAGCTTACTATGATCTAAAACAATCTAGAAAGCTCTAGAATCCTTTACGACTGACTAAAACCACATAGAACGTTTTAGAATTATTTAGAATAGTCTCGAACTGAAGATTTCGACCTAATAAGAAGAACAATGTAATTTTTCAACAGAAAATCGCGGTATTTTCCCGAGAACTTTTCACTTTACCCTTGCACGTGATTTTCCAGGTGTGCAAGAGATTCAACGAGGTGGGCAAAACGATGCTATCGAGGGGTTTCGTGCAGCTGGAGAAACGCCACGCGAAGCTCTACAAGCAAGTGAAGCTGTTCCTGCCGCGCAGGGAATCCGAGAGGAAGTCCCATCACCTGGCCAGGCACTTCGACATCCTGCAGGCGGTCGAGACGCGGATCAGCATGCTGAACATGACCTACGTGAAGTTCATGGAGAGCAACCTGCTGTGCTTCATACCGGGAAAGGTGGGTGGAAGGGAAATGAAGGTGGTTTTTTTGAAAATTGTTTTGGGGATTTTTAGGTGCTCGATGAGATAAAGAACGTGTTGAATCTGGTGCAGAGCGCCGATTCGCCGCCGAGGACGCACCAGGTGCTCCAGGAACTGAGAGATCTGAGCAGCATGGCTATGGAGCATTTCGACGAGCAAATACTACCGAAGGTTAAAGAACGAGTCGACAAACGATCGGGTAATGATTAACGATAATAAAATAATTCTTTTGTATAATTACTTATTGTAGCGTTTTCGTACGGTTCGGTGGCTTCGGGGACGAATTCTTCGAGACTGGTAATATCCCACCAATCGCTTTCCAACGAAATACACAAAGTGAAGAAGCAGAGCAAAACCCAGAAACATCACATTTCGTTTCTAACGCAAACCACCCAAAAGTTATTCCAAAAGGTATTTTTATAAAGACTCTTACTGTATCGTGTATTTTAATAAGTTCGTTTCTAGCACCGCAAGCAAAACATGCGCGTGAAGGCCCAGGCGGCGAAGATCCGCGAGCAGGACAAAAAGATCCGCGAACAGGACAGAAAAATCCAAGAGCAGAGCGCCAAGATCCAGGACCAGGAAGCCACATTGGCCGACATCAAGCGGCATTTGGACGAATGGGACCAGAAGTACAAGGAGCGCTCCTCCGCCGAGCACTTCGCCGACTTCAAGAAGCACATCGAGGAGTGGGACGAGAAGTACAAGGACTTCACCGCCGAATTCGAGCGGGCCAGGGACGAGCTGCTGGCTTCGGTGAGCTACAAGCCGACGGCGAGGCCCCGCCAGGTCGTCGAGGCCGAGCCGGAGCGCAAGCGAAAGTCGAACGTGGCGGTGGAGGTGCCGGTGAAGAGGAGCAAAGCGGTGGAGGCGGTCGGGGACGGGGAGAATGCGGCGGACGTGCGGAAGGGCGGGGGCGGATCGGATCACGGGGAGGCCGGGACAGTCGAGAAGGAGTTGAAATCGTTGATTGAGACTGTTTTGAATCAGCCTGTAGGGTGCGCGAAGAATCGGAAGCGGAAGATGGCGGAAGATATCGATTTGAAGTGATGTTTATTTTATTAGATTTCTTTTTTTTGTTGGTTTGAATGTTAATTTATTTTATTTTTTGTTGTACTGGCATCTCAGATTTATTTATTACAACTACAAATTATTTTATCGTATGTGTAATGCCTATCTAAATATGTATCGGATATAAGTTACTTTTTTTTCCTCTCACTGTAAGTACTTTTAGCAATATACATAGTGGTAAAATTAATAGATATAACGCAATGTATGCCTGATTGTACACTCACTGGAGCAGTGTATTATTTTCTATTTCTATTTTGTACATTATATTAATCTAACTCGAAATTTATGTATTAAATTACACAATAAAAACGTTGACAATTTGGAATTTCCGTATTTTAAAGAAACGCCGAGTACATTAAAATAATATTTTTATTTTCTAAAATTGCTGAACAACCTAGATTTAAATGTTAAATAACTATTATACAAATGTACTGTGAGAAAATTGCATCCATACAAAGAAACTTCGAAAATATGTAAATTAAAACATCCTAAACACGGGAACCTCAAAAAAAATCACCAATTGTATTATAATAAGTAAAGAATTATTTCATTTAAATTTCTTAGAACGTTACATTTTCTCATCGTTACTACTTACACTAATTTAAAAACTTTTTTTATGAAGAATGCAAACACGTTCGTTCATTATTACACATTCGACGAACTATTTACATCGAATCGAAACAATATTGAACAAACCGATTAACACATTCCCAGCTTAACTATCGTACACGCGAAATCGTCTCTCACATATCGACATTTCGCGCGAAAACTTTTTCAAAAACCCGGCCCGAATTCCACAGAACATCACACCGTTCTGCGGAACGTCTGCAAGTTGCGAGGAAGCACGATCTCGGGATTTGTTACTTTATGTACAGGCTGCATGATCAGCTCGTAAATTCAACAGAGAATTCATCTCTTCAACAAGTTTTACTCTATAAAAGAACACAAAGAAATTGACAGCTCGAACGTCGCGTTAACTAGTTTAATTGCAAATTTACTTCTCTTAGAATGTATTAAGACAACAAGTGACGATTAGTTAAGTTGTTAAAGGAATAAATAAGTGAGGTACGTATGGGAAATAATTATTTTTTGTTTTAAACGAATGAAATGTTAAGTAATAAGCTAGGATCGTTTTGAAAACCTTGGCAGTTGATTTTAGTTTTTTTTAGCTCTTGTCGCAACGTATCCTTTTACTAATCCCTTCTGATGAAAGTTCTCCCGCTACAAAAAAAAAATATATAATTAATTCGTTGGAGATAATCGGTAGTAAAGGAGTACCTCATAGTCTTTTTATCGGTGCTCTTGTTTTCGGGTCGAGCCCTATTTAAAACCTTAAGGAAATCAGAGGTCTTTGCGCGCATCCTACTGTGAATATAGGCCTTAGAACACTTAATATGATAGTGCAAGTAGTGTCTGAACATGTGGATTAAGTTGATAGTATTATCTCGAGTACTTCTCGACGTGTGACGAGGAAATAACACAAACGTTACATAACCTAAAACAACAAATCGTCAAAACAATCACGAGTACATTCGTCGAATATCCCTCGAACGTACCAACATTATTGTCCACTCGTGCATCGGTGTTTTGTAATTCGAGAGGGGGCTCCTTGTGGCTGAACAACACGGGCGGAGCCGTATGGGAAGCTCTCAGGCCTTCTTTGAGTTCCTGCATGAATACTTTCCCGATAACCACGTCGTCTTCGTCGCGGAATCGAGTAGAAAATACGACAGTCACTCTGTCGGATTTCGCCTCGACGTACCTACAAAACATTAAAGGCTTCTAAATAATCTGCACTGACAAGTCACGATTACTTATCGACGAAGCATTTCAGCTATTTATTAAAGGTATTTTTATCGGTAATTATCGGAATGCTTGGGATATACGTACAGTGTTTCATCATCACGGTAATGAATCACAGCCCTTTTGTGTTTGCCCTCGCCTCTCTCTTGGAAATCGAAGTATTTCTCGAACACCGAGGCGAAGCAATTCCTCTTCAACAGACCCAGTTTCTTGACGAAAACCTGCCAATCGGCCGGAATGTTTTCTAAATCTAATAAAATGGAAACGTTGTAGCCCGTCTCGGGCTGCACTAAATGGGGCCCGTATTCCCGTTTCAGTAATTCGTCGGCGCCGTGTTCTTGCAGTTGCTTGTAGAACTTTAACGATATACTCGTCTGGAATTTGAATAGATGGATTGTTAATGGATAGATGACAATTTCGAAGTACTCACCCTAATTTTAGACTTGTCTCCATTCAAATTAGATATATGGTACAAAACACCATCGAAATCTGCTACAGTTATGTCTATGCTTTCGTTTTTGAGCCTGAAAAGAAATCGTTAATTACAAATATGTCGCAATGACTCACTATACACGTTCCACAAGATCTTTTATAAATTAAACTTCCATTTAAGCTAGACTAAACCGAACCTTTTATCAGCAAATGATACAGGAAACGTTAATCACTTTAATCTATATCTTTTGCCATAAATTTACATAGCCCATACACGAAAAACCTATAAAACTGCTCCACCTACCCGGCTTGTGCATTTTTTATTTTCACCGTTAGGGTTTCCTCGACCACCCTGTTGTTTATCTCCAACAGTATCATGTTTTGTTTAATTTCTATAACAGAATTGTTAAAAACGTCCTAACTGGATCACACATACATGGGAGGTGCTGTCCAACTCGGAGCAGTCTTCTTGTCTTTTTCACAAACCCAACGGAGAAATTCAAACGTCAACGTCAATACGAAACGTCAATCAATTCTTCTTTTTTTACACAGTTAATTAAGGACTCTTGTCTTTTTAGTTTTCAGCCACTCGCAAACCACGTGTGACCCACTATAAGAAAAAGAAGAAGTTGTTTTGATTTGGTTTTTAAAATGTTATTTAGATGTAGATTTAATTTGTTTTGAGGGTGCTAGTTATTATTGTTAAGATTGTAACAATAAAAGAAGCGATAATTTTTGTTAATTCGATCTGGTAAAAGTTTTCATTCATGGCTTACTTGTTATTGAACATATTATCAATATGAGTAGTACCCCTGCTTTTACAGAGAAGCAACTCAAATCGACGCTTTCGGCCAAGAAAAACAAGCCCAAAGAGGCACGGAAACATGTCCTGGCCTGTCCCTTTAAGGAGTTTCGGTAAGTTCAATTCTATAAATTTATCAATCGAGGAATCGAGTAGTACATCAGTTTGTACAGGCCCCGAATAAAATCCGAGGAAGACCAGAAGCTTCTGCATGATGTAATAATGCATAAGGTACCACTGCTAAAGCACCAGAAGAATGTCCCTTGGGAGCAAATAAAGCACGTTCCGAAAGAAGAGAGAAAAGCTGCTCGAGCAGTCCCCGATAGTACCGGTGGTCCTAAGAAGTAAGTACATTTATTCGCAAAAAATCGTAGGTATTATAAATGAAATTTTTAGAAACAACATACGTTTGGGCGTAAATGAAGTAACTAAACTACTGGAAAAGAAATCGGCCGGTGCTGTTCTAATATCAGGGGACACCAAGCCCATGAAGATAGTACAACATGTCGTAGATATGGCTGTGTTACATAGAGTACCGGTACTAATTCTCGACGATTTAAAAAGTACTCTTCACCAAAAATGCGGCATCGCCGCCATGACTTTCGCCATAGAAAGAGACCTTCCTCCGGACTCTCCCCTTATCGCAATAAAGGAGTGCGTAGAGAATATATTTGCGAAAATTCCATCACCCCTGAATCACATAAATTACAAGAGAAGTTTAGAAGACATCGTCAGTACGAATGAACCGGCAGAACAGATGGAAGATGATGAAGAAGATGAAGAAGAACCCAAATTTGATGAAACCGAAGTTCGTAAAAGGGTATATTTAGAAAAGCCGAAGAGTGGAAGGGCGTTTGTTCCTCAGGAACCAAAAAAGAGGAAAAAAGTAGGGAAAATGGATGTAGATGAAACTGGGTTCCTATCGTTTACAAACGAAAGCACTGACTGGCCTCCGGCATATAGCACACCTAGTTATAAATCATTGGCAGTTAAAACTCACAGAGGAAATCGAGTCAGGGCTAAAAATAAATTACAGAGAATACGTACTAGAAAAAATAAGAAGAGTAATAAAGACGAGAAAGAGCAAACTGGAACTGATGATGTTGGAAATTAAACTTTTAAGTTATGTCGATTTGAATTGTTACGGAAATGTTTCACTTGAATATGAAGAGGAATTTAAGAGTTTAAAATAAGTTACTACCATTTATTTGAACAGATACACAGGGTGTTGAAGTCAAGATATGTTAAATGTATGATTTATTATGAACTATATGTTACAAATTATCTGAGAATTATCTTTTATAATGAAGATATAAGTATATAATTTGCTATTTAACGTTGATGTAAAGGTTCAAGTAGTACAATATAATAGATATTTGATTAAAATATAGTTAAAAATTTAGTATATCTATAATAAAAATTGGAAACGAATACACCCGACCAGTCTTGATATGCCTGACGCAATAGGGCGTTATGAGCTATAAATTACACAAATTTAAATCATCTACTCGCTAACGTCCCTCTTAGCATCCTCCTCGTTCGGTTGCCTCTTCTCCTCGTTGGGCGATTTGAGCGGTTGCGTCTCCCCCACCGATTCCTCCACTTTGTTCCAAGCCTGCTCCACGCCCGACCCGAAAATCATGTACACGAAGATCTCCACCAGGTACAAAAGCACCGTCGTCCAGAAGATCGTCCGCCAGGGCCTCACCGATTTCTGAAACGCCGTTTTCGCTTCAACCACACTCCCAAAACAAATCCTCATACTCACATCAACCGCTGTCATCTCTCCAACGAACACCGGCACGACGATCCCCGGCACGGTAGCCACCGTGTTGGTCACCCCGATCAAAGTACCTGCGAAATTCGGCGCTATGTCGATGTGATTCGAGAGAAACCCGCAGAACATCCCGCCGATCGACGTCACCGCTATCGTCATCAGGAACACCGCCAGCGCCCTCTGGCACTGCACGTACCCCAGGCAGATGAAGCAGCTCATCGGCACGATGCTGGCGCAACCGGTGGCTATCTTCCGCGCCATGGTCGTGTCGATGATGCGCTTCTGCTGCAACGAGTCCAGCGTCTTGCTCAGGATCATGCTGAACAGCCACATGCAGAGGAACGGCACCGCCGACAACACGGCGTTCTCCGATATCTCGAAGCGCAGGACGTTCTTCATGTAGAGCGGCAGCTCGATGAGCACCATGTACCAGCCCCAGTTGGAGCAGGTGTGCGCTACGAGGATGGCCAGGAACGCCGGGGAGGTCATCACTAACTTCCACGGCACCTCGTACTTCCTCTGTATACAATTTGGGAATAGAACGTTTCTTACGAATTGAGCGACTCACCTCTTGTTTGGTAGCTCCTTGGTTCAGAGACGTGGTGATGAATTTCCGTTCGTCGTCGGAGATGAAGCGTTGGGTCTCGGGTGTATCGGTTACGTAGGCAGCCCAGATGAACAGCCACAAAACGCTGATGCTGCCTTCGACGTAAAACACCGCCTCCCAGCCCACGACACCGGCTAGTAATCCGGACACCAGCATGAACACCTGGTGATATATTACAAGATTACAATCGAACTGCTAACGCAGCGTTATGGGTGATGGTTGTAACGAATTCTCACCACTGTACCGAAGGCGGTGCCCGCGTAAGTGATGGTGCTCATGACGCTCCGCTCGTTGGGGGGCGCCCAATGCGCCAGCATGACGTGCATGGCGGGGAAACTGACGCCGCCGCCGGCGCCCTGGAACATTCGCATGGCTATCAGAGCGGTGTAGTGCAAGCGGGCCATCACCGGGGTCAAAACGGCGCACAGGACGTTCACCGCCACCGAAAAGAACATGACCCACTTGGCGCTGAAGACCTCCGCCATGCGGCCGCCGGGTATTTGGGAGACCATGTAGCCCCAGAAGTAGGCGCTGAGCAGGACGCCCTGCACGCGGCTGGACCACTCGAAGGAGCCCTCCTGCAAACACAGAAGCGGCAGTGCGAAAGGGGTTTGAGGTGGTTGTGGTATTTACTTCTTTGGAGGCGGTTTTCGATGGGGGGTACAGCTCGCCGCAGAATTGCTCGGATAGGTTGCCGGTGTGTAGGTTGCCGGTTGGGATTTCGGGCGATTTCACCATGTTTACTATGGCTACGTGCAGGTTCACTTTCAAGCCGTATACGATGCCCAGTCCGATCGATCCTAGCGTTGCTACTAGGTATCTGGTAGATACTACCTCTGGAAATTGGAATTTTCATGGAATAGAATTGGAGCTAATGATTTTTGTTACTTACTTCCGCAAGGATTTCCGATGGCTTTGACTTCCTTCACCATATTTAAAGCGGCTGGAATTGAAATAAGTTTAATTTTTACCACGTTTAAGCGCGAGTAAAGATCCGAGCAACTTGTTGCACGGAGTATCTCAATATCTCAACAGGTGTTGCACTTTAAGGTGAAATTACCGAAAAGTAATCGACTCCTTTAGAACCCGGTTTGTTTATTTTCGAGTTTTGAACAGAATCGAGCGATTTTCGTTAGACAAAACGCCAGATTTCGCTGGAATTCCTAACACTTTAGGGCCACTAACAACGACGTAGATTATCAACATATGCGTCTCGAGTTCCCGACTTTTGCATTATAAATCGTACACCCTACTATCGACAAAACAACCGTCGTAACGCGGGGTAATTCTTACCGATTTCCTCGTTTGTTCGATCGCCGGCACTTTCAGTGGAGGACGTCCCGACGGCGTGAAAACCAGCGAAACTCGCCGGGCTCTTTGGCACGCGTGAATTCGAATGGTCGCGGAAAACCAATGGTGAACGAGCCCACGTACGCGCTCATCGATCGGGCTCTTATCTCTGCGCTGATGCGCTCTGGGGGAGTGCAGCCCCGGATTCTGTGTATGCATTTTTTCGAATTTTTAATCGAGCGGGATCGGAGGGCGTCGGGCGACGCGAGCGGTTATCAAATTATCCGCGGTTTCTGTTGGGAGAAAACGAAATCCAATTCGGTGGTTGTTGATGTGTGTAATTAAAGAGAATCGAATGGAAATAAATATAATTTCGCTCTCTAAAAAGCAGATAGAACAGAAAATAATCCGAGCGTTGTAACGCAAAAAAACGATTCGGAGAAAGTACAAAGCGCGTTTTTTTGCTCTTCTTTTTTACTCCATTAAACTGTTATAAAAGGCTTTTGTTCGACATAACGTTATTATTAACTACTATTCGTTCCTAGTCTCTTAGAAGTTAAAAAATTCAACATGAAATCGGTAAGTTGTTTTCGTAACATATTTTTCCAAATTTTAAGTATGTAAATTTCAGTTCTTCGTCATTTTCTGTGCTGTCTTAACGATCTCCAGCGTGTTTTCCTACCCGACGGCGCCCGTGGAGGATCAAGTACAAAACCCTAGCTATAGAACGCAAAGACAAGTTGCAGGAAATCACCACGAGGTCGTGGATTTCGGAGCCCATACGGGCGATCACGGGGCCTTCGGGTGGTACGCAGATTTCCCCGTCCACGCTTACTAAACTTTAAGCCGATAAAACTTGTTATATTTTTTTTGTACTAATTGTAAGCAATAATTTTCTAGCGAATGAAAAATGAGAACAATAAATTGACTTTTGTAATATGTCATTGTCATTTAGAATATCTAGTAGCAAAGGTGATTTGATTAATATTTTTATATCAACTCTACGAAATTATCTAGTTACCCGGATTTTTGAGCAAATGTCGAGTTAATTTCATGTAGTAATAGCAAAGGTAACTGGATTAATATTTTTATTTCGACTCTTCACTAAATAAATCTAGTCACCCGTATTTTCGGGCAAATTTTATTCCACATTTGATTACAAACTAATCACATCCCTGTTAAGTGTATGACTGAATTTCGTCGCATACTTCAGTCTACTTACACATCTTGGTAAAAGATATGTAGACTAATAATCGCTACATTATTTTATACAAAAGGTGAATTATAATAACATATTTATCTTTTTCTAGGTATAGGAAATTAAATAAAATATACTACAATCGAATTAATTTTCGCTAAAGAGGATTTTCAATCGTCCTGTCGCGCGCTCTCCATGGCTTCCCGCATTGTTTTCTCGAATAATTTCTTCGCATCAGAGAATCCTTGTTTGGTTTTCCCGAACGAGTTTGGCCCCGACGATGTAGGTGTATCCCTGTAACAAAACAATTTACTGATATTATAGTACAAGAAAAGTGGCATCAAAAAAGTACCTCCCTATGTTCCTCATGCGCATTCTCGCTTGAGGGGGCATTTCTTCGGGTTCACTATCGCTGTCCTGATTAAAAACATTGGCTACACTTAATTTAGGTTTTACGGCGGGCTCTTTCTTCATGTCGGCCAGTTTCATTTGGATGCTAACGCTTTTCAACCTATTCTTGGCACCTAATCCTATGTTTTCTAAAGGCTTAGCCGATTGCTTGCCTTCGTCTAGTTCTTTTTTAACGCGCCTTTCATCGTGTCTTCTCGGCGAACGCGAGCGAGACCTGGATTTCTCCTTCTTCTTTAACTGGGAACCTAACAAACACTGATACATTTAAAGCACGTTAATAGAGGGTAAAATGTTTGTAGAGAACTCAACATAACAGAACAGGCTTGCTTATATCTACATGTCGTAAAAGAATATCCAACAGGTTTATTACCATTGTAATTCATTTCTCGATTTCTATTACTCATCTTTATATTATATAAATAATTATTTACCAATATACCAGTTTTTTTTTATAATAAATTTATCACATTTCGATGTGACACAGTTAACATCTGTCAATGTCAAACGTCAACACTTGTAATTTTTTACGTTGAGTAGCCGACAAGTAAAAGTCCTTTTTAAACAAAAAGATGATCACGTTTTTCTACTTGACATTTGACTTAACATTTGTCGTTCATTTTGTGTTGTTTCACAACGTTTTTGGAAAAGTTAAAACGCAAAAGAGTGCAATTGAATCTAACAAAAATGCCTAAACATTTCAACAGACATCAACAACAATCATGGACTAATGGTAAATATATAATAATCCCGTAATCGAATCCTTTGTGAACATCGCGTGTCGCAGATCGAGGTAACGAAAGGGACAAAAGGTACGGCTTCAAGAATGATAGGTTCAACAAGAAGGGCCCGAAGAAGGATTGGAACAACGCCTTTCGGGCCCACTTGGAGGACGAAGACATCGACATGGGAATCGATTCGGCTACTTCCAGCCGAAACATTAAATACAACAACAGAAGAGGAAGAGGCGGAGGTCAGGGAAGACAGGGCACACCGCCGCCCATGGGCAACATGCGAAGGAAATTGCTAGAGGGGCCCTCTAGTTGGTACAAAATCACAGTAAGGGTTCTTCCAATTCTCGTTAAGTTCTCGTTAAAATAGGCTCGTTTTTAGTTACCTCACGGAGATAAATTCGATAAAGCCTTCATACACAAATCTCTATCGGATAAATTAGCTCCTACGGAATTTTGGCCGATAGCAGTAAGTATTTTACTCTTATACATCGATGTAGTTTAATGTTGTAAAACATTCTAGTGGCAAGTGTACGGTACAACAGTAATCTTCTACGTAGACGACTTCAAAATAGCTCAAAAACTGTCGAACCTCGACAGGCAAATCACTTTACCCAACGGCTTTAGATTGAGCATCAGAGTCAATTCGGGTACACCTAACGTCGATATGACTGCGGCGCTGAAGGAGAAAATAAAACTGGTGATGGCCAAACGGTACAACAGCGTCACCAAAGCCCTGGATTTGACCAGATTCCACGCCGATCCCGATTTGCAAGACAACTTCTGCGCGCTGTTCAAACCCATAGTGTTTCTAGCGATAGTGGATATCATAGCGGAGAATATCCCCGAATTGGAGGCGTTGAATCTGTTGGACAATAAAATACAGGCTCTTAGTTTCTTGAAGAACGTGGATAAGAAGTTACCGAATCTGAAAATATTGCATGTATCTAATAATAAGGTGAGGGTTGTTGTAGAGGAGTTGAAGAGAGTGTTACTAGGTGAATTGTTTTTTTTTTATAGATTAGGGAAATGTCGCAGTTTGATACGTTGCAAGATTTGCCGATTGTTGATCTCATGCTCGATGGAAATCCGGTGTGCAACAAGTTCAAAGATAAACCGAAATATATCAGGTACGATGATTGTGTAACTTGAATTTTGCTGTGATTGATTCAACATTTTGGTATGTTTAGTTTATTCGAAATGCTTGAATTATTTTTAAACATGGATTTATTGGATTCGATTCACGTTTTATACAATTTGTGCTTGGAAACGTACAGGAATTTGAACTATTTGTTGACGATTTTGTGATTATTAATCAAAAAAGTATTTTACAAAATGTGTTGAATATAACGTCGAGTGCTTTGTTGAGTACTTTAATCGAAAATTGTTTATTGCACATTTCATTATTACATTCTTTTATCAATAATTAGTATAGTGTATTTTGATAATCCTTGTAAGCAACAATTCAAAGATACTCTTGAATAGTTTTTTTTGTACCCAAATAGTTTTTTTTGAGAGTAAATATCGATCGATGAAGAACACCTGCCACGTCTAAAAGATTGTATGAAGCTTGCAAGATTTTGCTCATACATATTTTTATAATGCTGTTATATTAACGATCCTTCCTGATGGTAGCCCTCGAGGACAATTATAAACTGCAATGCTATTACCTGCGTTTTTAAGGTGTAGTAACAGTATGTCCCAGGGAGATCCGCTCTGCTCGAGGAAACTGACGAAAGCTCTCAAAAAGTTTTATTTGACCGAATAAAAAAATGTTATTTGTAATGTTTATTTTTTAATAGAGTATATCTTTGTTTCGGTGAAAATAAAGGATTGTCAAAATTGTGTAAGAAATGTAACGTTAATGTTGTTTTTAAAGTGTAATGAAATTTTGAATAAACAATTATCAAATATAAAGGTTCGGGTAAAAATGAAGTACGTTTTGTGAATACTATTTTGAGGTAATATGTACTCGATATGTTTGTTATATATCTATACGTTTCGGAAGTTATAATTGTATATTCGATCGAAATATTTATTATTATTCGTGGGAGCATTCTAGTTTAAATATTTTGTTATACACCAAAAAATCGACTAACAATTATTGGATTTTTTGTAATAAACCAAAAATTCAATAACCTGCATTTTTATCGATTAATTTTTAACACAACATATGCTCTTTGCGAGGGATTCCCAGGTCTTTGCACTTATAAAACGCGGCCAATCTGGCCGCCGCAATTTTTTTTTGTCTACAGCGAAGTAAGAAAGAGGTTTCCCAAATGCATGAAACTGGTAAGTGAACCGAAACCCTTATAATTATCCTAATTATTTACCGCATTTAATTCCTGCACATCAGGACGGCGTCGAATTACCGCCACCCATAAGTTTCGACATCCAAGAGGAGCACCGATTACCAGCCTTCCAGCAAACGTTCCTGTGCAACAGCGAAGGCGGTTCGATAGTGAGACAGTTCCTCGAGCAGTACTTTCTCATATACGACTCGGACAACCGGCAGCCGCTGTTGCAGGCCTACCACGAAAAGGCCACGTTCTCCCTGACCATGGACTATCCCTACGGCTATTCGAAAGACACCAAAGGGGTGTCGTGGTTGAATTGGTACGCCACCGATAACAGGAACCTGATGAAAGTGACCGATCCCAATCGGAGATCGAAGCTGTTGAAACAAGGCCATTTGGCCGTCGTGTCGTTTCTGCAGGAAATGCCGCTCACCAAACACGACATCCACAGTTTCTCTGTAGATCTATCAGTTTTTACGGTGAGTTATTTTGTAGAGTAATATTCGAGTGGGTGTTTATGATGTGTTTTTGTTTTAGCCGCAAATGTTGTGCTTGGTAGTAACGGGCATGTTCAAAGAGTTGAAAAGCGGTCACAAAATACCGCCGTTGAGGTACTTCTACCGAACGCTCGTCATCGTACCGGCCGGTACAGGTTTTTGTATAGCAAACGAAGAACTGCACGTGTCCAACGCCACGCCTAGCCAAGCTAAGGTACTGTTCTAGCTCTTCTATAATTTACTGTTATGTATAATTTATGATTTACTTGTTAGGAGGCTTTTAAAGTAACGGTAAATCTGGCTCCGACGCCGCCTCCTTCGGTCGTTAGTTCTCCGGTTCAAGCGGCTAGTGTGGCTGCTACGCCGGACGAGTCCACTAAACAGGAGATGGTGAAGCAAATGGCGTCGCATTCCGGTATGAATCTCGAGTGGTCTTTCAAGTAAGAGGATTTGACGAGGCGTTGGGTGAATTTTGTTATTTAATTGGGTGTGTTACAGGTGCTTGGAGGAGACCCAATGGGATTTTCAAAGGGCGTTGTTGACGTTTCAAAATTTGAACGCCCAAGGAATCGTACCGGCGGCGGCGTTCGTGTGATTCTCGGACTGTGTTAGAATAAACGAATAAATGTAAGGGAGTACGTGCTTAGGAAAGTAGTTAGGGTTATTTTATTTTTGTAAATTTTGTTGGTATTTTAAAAATATTGATGTTCGTTGTTTGAGGATATTGTTTAGTTTAACAGAATGTGCTTGGTTGGTTAGTAGATCTATCGGTGTGTTTTCTACTTTTTTTTTGTTATCCATTGACTGATCACAAATGGTTCCTAGTAATTTTAATGTGACGTTTAATAAAGCATAAGATTGTTGCAGAAACATACCAATTGTGAAGTGCTGATGGTAAAATTATTCTGTGAACATTGATAGGTTTATATCAGCCAGTGAAAGCACCTAAGCATATCAATATTTTTAAAATGAGATATGTTTACTATAGTAAATTGACGGTTTAGTTAATTTTACATTGTAATTTTATTTTTAAACGTGTATGTATCAAAGAAACGAAACGAGTACAAATTGAGAAATGATTAAGTATAATAAACTTTACTTTATTAAGAAAATGTAGTTCTTTTGCATAATTATTTCTTGTTATTAAAGGCTTTCTATTTTTTTGATACATATCTTCCTATTCTATGTACCTAATTTTTCATTCTTTTCTTCCAGCTATTTTCTAATCTGTACTATTTAGTTTTTTACAATCTCAAAAAAATAAAACGAATTGTATCAATTTAGGTTGATATCAGATACATTGTATCATTAGTAATTTACAGATTTGCATTGGAAAGAACATACATAATTGTGATCAACTGTAAATTAGATTAACTTTTTTATTAAAATACAGTTTTTTTACTTCTGCATTTTTTGACTAATTTTACCTTCTATTCTACTAACTTCAATGATTTTACGAGCAGGACTTTAATTATAATTATTCAATTTTTTACACGCTTATTCTTTAATTTGTTTATGAGGGGGCGTCTCTGAAGCAATGCCAAGAAACTGCCCCACGTTTACAAAAATTGTGTGCTGGGTATGTCTTGATCGCCATACCCCGCGAGCTCAAAGAACTCGTGTGTTATCCAGTAACAAGCACCCTTTTTTAAACGAAGATTTTAGGATTATTCGTATATAAAACGAGCAAATACGTTTCCTAAATCGAGTTATAACTATTGCCATCTTTTAACAAAACTTATAATATTATGTAATGTAGTGAATTTGACAAGTGGCGTCAACCAACAGAGCTATTAGGTTAAATGTGATCGAATAAAAACATAGTCAAAGCCTCAACATGTCAAATACTTCGAAATTTTAAAACACATCTGTCAAAACAAAATCAGCTGTTCTGATGCTGTTTTATTAAATTTTTCTATTTGAAATTATTGAATTAAAAACGTTTAATTCTATGAATCTCCTAAACGCTTCCAAAGAATTACGAAATGTAAAAAAGTGTCGATCTTTTATTGTGCAATGAATAATAGTTTTCTCACTTTTTGAAACAAACCCTCTACACAATGTGATTTATAAGAAACAGGATTATTTCAGAATATTCTGAAGAAGAAGATGAACAAATACTTAGAAAAGCGCATTCTAAGACTAGTTTCTGTGATACTATCCTTCATACTCGGCTGCATATTTACTTCTGCTTTGATACCCTTGGATAGAACCTGCAAAATAGACGACTCCGATAGAGAGTATAACATAATGAAGAATTCCAAATTCAAGACTCCGGACCTCATCGTCCTAATATTATCAGCTCCGACGAATTTCGAAAAGAGATCAGTCATCCGAGACACTTGGTTGAAGCTGAGAGCTGCGGAGGAAAGCGAATTCACCTACAAGCACTACTTCGTAATCGGTACCGCCTACTTACCATCCCACGTTCAAAAGCGATTAAACAACGAACAGATCCAACAGAACGACGTCCTGCTCCTGCCCATGGAGGATTCCTACGCGAACTTAACCGACAAAATCAAATTGAGCTTCCACTGGCTGAACACCCAATTCGATTACGGCCTCGTCTTCAAATACGTATTCAAATGCGACGATGACAGTTTTGTAAATTTGAACGAACTCGTGCTGTGCTTGAGCAGTTTAGAAACAGATGTAGTCGAAGGGAAATTGACCGGTTACATAGAGGAAAATGTCGCTAACCAAATTATATCCACTAATTACCAAAACAGTGGTACCAGTAGGAAGGTATATTTGTATTGGGGCTACTTCAACGGTAACGCCAAGGTTAAAACCAAAGGAAAATGGAAAGAATCCAATTGGATAGCATCCGATAGATATCTCCCTTATGCTCTAGGCGGAGGGTATTTACTTTCCAAAGAATTGGTATCTTACATAGGAAGAAACAATGAGCATCTGAAGTAAATAAATTCTTGTAAATTTAACCCCGTTTCTTACATACATTTATTTTAAGGTCCTTTAATTCAGAAGATATCAGCGTGGGGCTCTGGCTGTCTCCGATTAACGGAATTTACAGAATCCACGATGTAAGGTTTGACACCGAATGGACCTCCAGAGGATGCAGCAACAATCAGCTCGTTAAACACAACATCCTACCTTCAGAAATGCTGCAATTGTACAGAAACATCCTCAAAACCGGGAAATTGTGTTCGAAAGAAACTTCCCACAGGAGCCATTATGTTTACAATTGGAACGTACCCCCAAGTACCTGTTGCAAAACAGTTTAAATTATACAATTCGAATGCTTTTAAAAAAACTACAAGCTTGTAAAGATCGTTTACTTTGCGGATTAGAATAAAAATTAAACTAATGAGTACATCACAATTACACTAGAAAAAATTGACAAACCAATAAAGTATCAAACGTACAACTTCACCTAACGGCAAGATTTTAACTAACTACATTAAATCGACAAACACTTTTTATTACAAGTACAAAGTATTATCTTTCGCATCCCAGTCAAGTCTCTTATGCTTGACTCTATCGATGCCTTTGGGGGGCGTATTCTCGCATTGAATCTGATTCTTCACTTTGTCTCTCTTATCTTTAAATACAGGAATCTTGCTCACAGCGTAATCGGACCTCCTCGGTTTATCACTCACCTTTAACTTCGGAATGGATTTTACTCGATTTTCGTTGCCGTTGCAATTCCTCAACGGAGACCTCTCGGGGTTGTCCTTCAATTTAACGATCCTCGGACACACCACCAGGTTATCTTCGTAGATTAAATTGGTTAGTTTCTTGTCCAGTTCTTTTACATCCGCCGTTATATTAATAATAGGAGTAAGACATGTTGATTTTACGCCATTGCTCGGTAAAATAGGGCTAGGGGGCGATACTGGAGCTGAATGGGTTTCAGTTGGAATGTTTTCTATTTCGTTTCCATCAGTGGAATTATTCTCACTGTCGTCTGTTTTATTAACTACTTGGATAGTTTCTATTACTTCGGCAATTTCCTCTATTACATCCACTTCCGAATTTGTACTTATGTTGGCTGTAGGCACCGAAGGTTCAGGCTCGGGTTCAGGTAATGCGGGTTCTCCTTGCGGAATTATATCAGTCTTGTGTTTCTCTTGATAGACGCTATCTAAATCAGTTTCCGTGAAATCTATATTCGTCTCGAGCAGTCCGACTAAAGAGCGTCGTTTCCTTACATCAGGCTTGGCTTTGATGGGGCTGCTTTCGAGCAATCGAGGCCGAATGCCCGATTTCGGAGACCTCAAGCATTTACCCGATTCTCGAACCGGAGAAGTGCACAGTTCGGATCTCCGCACTTTATCCAGGTTCTTGTTGTGGAGCTTGCTGGGGTAGCTCTCCTCCGACGCGTCGATGACGATAGGGGTTCTTTTGAAGTCGTTGGTGGGCGATCTGGGATCGATATCCAGCACGTAAGCGCTTTTGATCGGCGTTTCCTCGTTTTTGAACTTCTCCAATTTCTCGGCGGCCGACGATAGCAACTGGAAAGAGTTTGAATGATCGATTAGCGCATAAATACGTCGAATGGTGCGAAGGGTTTACCTCGAGAGGCGTTCTGGATATGTGCAAGCTCGGAGAACGCGGGTCTTTATCGCTGAACTTTTTAGTTTCCGGGGTTAAAATCGGCGTCGACGGCACGCTGGCGGGTTGCAGCTCTTTTTCCGGTATTTCCTTCCCGAATTTGCTGCTTGGCATCCCCATTGTTTAAAAACGAAGCGACTTTTTCGGGGATCGAACAATTACAAATGCACTTTTTAAATCACGATTTCCGTTACGGAATTTACGTTAAACTGTCACTTGTCACTACTCCGCTTCTTTTTCGAAATCCATATAAGCACTTGGTCGTTGGTGTTATTCAGCTACATTGTAACACATTGTTATAGATAAATAAACTCAATTACTATGGATAAATCCATTCCAGGAAGTTTTTAACCTCGTATTTATCATTTTGGTTGTCTAAATTAACGTGCATAAAAATGGACAGAACGTGTTACGAATCCTCCTCGTACTCCTCCAGCGACTCCGACATCGCGTACTCCACTTGCAAATGCTGTTGTAACAAAAGGAAAAATATCGTTAAAGGCCGATTCGGGCTCGCCTACATCGTGGAAACGCCCGATAGCGTAATGGCGGAGCCCGTCGGGTGGCAGATAGAATTCGAAGACACCCCGTCCTGCGTCATCCAAGATTGCAACAGAATGGTCGATTGGGTGAAGTACCCACCATTCGAGAGCCTAAATAAACTGGATCAACCGTGCGATTGTACTAAATTAGTATCACCTTCTGCGAGAAGAGATAACGCCACGAACACCGCGATGGATTGTTCTTGTGGTCGTAGAAGCGTTAATGATAAATATTCTAGAGATTATTGTAGTAGTCATCGTTGTGATTGCTTTACAGAGTGTTCTAATCGGTCTCGTTACGGTCCTGATAAAAGTGTGGCGTCCAGGCAGAGCGATTATGGTAAAGAAACAAGAGACGATTCCACCAGTTATAATCTGGAGCAGATTTTGGATTATATTCCCAGCAGAGAACCCGCGAATCATTCGCAAATTATTAGACTGAAGGATCAAGAAACCCAATACGATAACGATCAAATAAAAATAGTCTCTAATAAACAAGTAGATACGAATAGTATAGAACAATTCGCTAGTCTTCAGCCGATAGGAGATGGTAAAGACGGGCAAGCGGGGAGTTCCCAGGGCATCGTTAGAACGGTTACAATTGAGAGTTTCCGAACGCCTGAAGGTAGTTCGAAATACGAAAGTCTGCCGGAAAATCGCGGTCAAAGCCTGAAAATCGAGAGTTCTCGAGGACCAGACAACGGGGGGCTCGTTAAAAGTTTGACTATAGAAGGTTTCGGGCTGCAGGAAATTAAGGAAATGGCAAACGGTGAGAGGTTGTCGGAGGGTAGCGGGAAAAATTCGAAGGATTCAACGGGAAAATTTTACGAATTGCGAAACGAGCAGATCGATTCTAACGAAACCGTAGGAATTAACGAGAGAACAATGAAGGATTCGTCTCAAATTAAAGAAAACGGTAGATTATCGAAGGAGTTTAGCAAAACTATAAGCATCACTATAAGCGAGAATACCGTTGGAAATGAAACTAATACTCAGGTAAGCGAATTTGTGTTATAAAAGTCGAAATTAATAATAATAATTGTACAAGCCTCTGAATTTTGTCTTAAGAATGAACGTGTTAACACCAAAATAATAAACAGGATATTTATTGGAAAATTTAACAGGATTTTTGACAAGAAATTGTTATTTTTGCAGCGAAAATCCGAAACTGATAATTACAGTAAGGGCGATTCGAAAATATTCCACCAAAGCGAAATGATATCTTTCCACGGTTTGAGCCCCATGCAAAAAATCAAATTGGCTAAAAGAATACAGAACCAAGCCCGGTCGCAACAATCGAAAATCGCCCCCAATCCACCAAGGAATCCCTAAAAAATGTGTTTAATAACGTTGCAAAAGTAATAAAGCGTGAAATCTAAGATAGTCGATTAATTGTTGTCATAAAAATGCGAAACCTGTCATTGCTGATTATCCTCATCATGGGAATCCAGTCGCAGGAAAACCGCATCAATTGCAGGGACAAAGATCGAACGGTGTCCAAACCAGAAGAAGATCTACTGGAACTGGTAAACTCAATCCAGGGCGAGAATATAACATTGCAATGCCACTACTGCCTCGAAACCGACGACGGGGAGCCCAAGAACTGGTTCAAAACGTACCAACCCGGCCTGGAGGAACCCAAAGAACTGGTACCCGACATGGACAACGACATCACCTTGAATCGAATATTAGTTAACACCGACCACAGCCTGACCATACGCCATTTCAACGAGAACGACACCGGACTGTACTCTTGCAGGAAATACCAAGACGAAGCAACCACCAGCGAATTTAATTACTTCGTTGATTTAGTTAGTGTTCACAACACCACAGGTAAAGCAAATGATATCCCAGTTAACGTCCTGTTTCTGCTACATATAACAATAGATGTCACATCCGGCAACCTGACTCAATGGAGCAAGTACCACGACGAGAACCTATCGCCCATCAACGTGCTCTTCGACACCTCCATGGGCACCGAGTACCTGAAAGCCCGCGACGAGCTGAAATTGTCGATGGAGGCGATGACGCGCTGGTCGAAGTGGGGCCCGTGCGACGCCTGCGGTCGCCCCAAAGGCGAGGCGATCAGGAAGCGAACGGGCGAATGCCGGATCAAACTGCGCAGCGCCTTCAACGAGACCAGAGCGCTGCCCAGGGACGAGGCGGTGCTGTCGAAGCTCGACCAGATCTCCTGCAGATCGGCGACGCTGGAGAACGTCTTCCCGGGAATGAGCAACCTGACCAAGATCGTGCCGGATTTCGTGCTGAAGGAGAGCTGCGAGGCGGTCTGCGAGCCCGATAAAGATAGCGAGAACGCGGGTTGGAAGGTGGGCAAGAGTAAAGGGTTTAAATACAGGAAGACGTTCGTGTTGGCGGAGAATTCCCGGCTGACGGTGGTGTGTCCGGAGTCCACGTTGGAGAATAAGGTGGCGTGGGAGAAGCGCGGGAAACCGATCAAACCGGGAGACGCGAGTTTGTGCCTTTAAATTTTGATATTCCTATTGAAATGTTTGAATCCATTGCGCAGGTTATCCGCACATGTACGTTGATGCGTTTAATACGCTGTATTTGGAGGACGTGACGTCGAAGGAAGCCGGAAATTATACCTGTCAAGTGGATGACATCAAAATGCAAAGGATCAAGGTGTTTGTTGTCACTAAATCCAGATTCTTCACCGGGGAACTCACCAGACACATTGGATACTTGGCGTTTATCTTGTTTCTAACGGTAAGGTACATAGAGAAAGAAAGATTTTTATTTTGTCTATGGTAAGGTATTTCACACTGGAATCTCCCCATCATCAATCAATCTGGTCTCTTCCACTGCTGGACATAGGCCAACTCGAATTGTATAAATTTTCTTTCCGACCATTTCAGGTTCCTTGTTATGTGGGCGGTTTAATAATAGCTTATTGGCGAAGGAAAACGTTCAAATCGTACGAGGAATTGCTGAAGGATAACCCAGACGATGCCGAAGCTGATGAGTCCGCTGAAAGTCTATTGTAAGTAATCGAAGAAAATTCTTATTAAATTGTAATCTCTATTGTTGGGTCTTATTCAGCTCATATTATTGTGAAATGATGAATGTAGATAGAAAGTACAGTTTCTATTTTGTCTATCATGTGGTGGCTGGTTGCTCAATCACAGTGGAGGTCAAATTATAAAGAGAAGAATGTCATGTCATAAATGCCAGAATAGAATGCCTGTTACTACTTAAAACAACGGTTATGTTTTGAAATTTCCAACAAAAATTGAACCATAAACCTCTGACGAAATCATGTATAAACTGTTTACTTTACATTCCATTTAGATCGCATTTCAATCAAACCCATTTACAAGTGAATGAACATCAAACATCGAAGTGAAAGTTCGCATATTTTAACTTAACCTAACCCTATCACTAGCAGTTTTAAAAATGGTCCAAACTGCCACGTTACTTTTGAAATGTTTCCTGCTACTGGTATTTTACGTGGAGGTCTCGATACCGCAGCAAGCGACTGCCCCTTGGTACGAGAACCTGCCGGCCGTCGCGATGGACTACAAAGTTTACATAGAAGCTGGCAAGGAGGACTGTTATTTCCAATATGTTAACCCGGGGGCGACGTTCTACGTGAGCTTCCAGGTGGTGAGAGGGGGCGACGGGATGGCCGGGTTCGCGGTGAGACACCCCACCGGCCAGATCGTGCACCCCTATCAGTGGAAGCCCAACAGCGAGTACCAGGACCAGCAGTCGATGGGGGGTTATTACTCGGTGTGCATCGACAACCAGTTCTCGAAATTCGCCGCTAAGCTGGTTAATATATACATAACCGTGGTTCGGTACGATTTGTGGGAATTGTACACCAAGGAGATTGAATCGTTGAACATGAATATGGAGAACTTTACGTCTACTATAGTGGGCGTCGAGAGGAATATTAACAACATGTTGCAGTACCAGCACCATACGAGGGGCAGGGAAGCTTGGGATTTCAATTTGTTGCAGGATAACAATTCGTACGTTGTTAGATGGTCTTTTATTCAGATTTTTGTCGTTGTAATGACGACGGCTGTGCAAGTTTATTTCGTGAGGAAGCTGTTCGATATCAAAGTCGGCGGTTCGAAATCGAGAATTTGATTCGGAATGTGTAGGCGTGTAGGAAGTAATTGCAATTTGATAAAAATAAATTTCCTTATAACAGTACAGTTGATAAATAATGTAAAGTGCCAAAATTATCGGGCTGTACTACTAAAAATTCACAGGTTTTATCTATATAATGAATCTCATTACAGGAAAAACAAGTAACTGACAGTGTATAACTATTTCGCATTTTATAAATGTCGCGTTTAGATTTTATATATCGCAAACAAAACATTTTAATTTGGTATTTTTAAGATCTCGAGTCCTTTAAGTATTCATTTCTATAAATTATTTTTTTATGTTTTTACTATTTGCCGATAGACTTGAATGGATTGCCTGATAGGATCAAAAGGAATTTTGATACTTACGGTTTTTATTCTATTTTTGTATTTTTATATTTAGATCTGAAAGATGTTTCATCCATTTTTATATGTATTATATTAGATTTTCGTTGATTATCCAAAATTAGTTCCATTATATTTACATAAATTGTAGTATATGAAAATATTTTATTAACTGTTTCAAAAATTAAAACTGTTCAAATATTTTACGCTATTGTTTGAATAAACTTATATACAATCGATGTGAAAATAGTATCTAATCATCGTCAGAGTCTTCCTTCTTAGATTCCTCCAATTCCTGTTTGTAATGCCTGTATTCAGGCTTAAGTTCCCACATGTTCTTATGGGGGTTCTTCAAATTGTAATTGCAAACTTCCTTTAAAATCTCCTTTAAATACGTGATGGGTTGTTTGGTAATCTTAACTAAATCCTTTATATTGTAATATTGATGCTTTTCGAAAGCTGCAAATAGCATTTCCAATACAGCATCTTTATCATCACGAGCCTTCTTCCCTTCTGCCTTCTTCTTTTCCATGTACTCAATCTAAAATCATCAATTTTATGAATTTAATGTATTTGTAAAATAAAAAAAACCTACGTTATTCTTGTGATCGGCCACAGGCTTGAAAGTTTGTACTACTCTGTCCAATCTCTTAGCTTGCCTGTTTGGTAAAGAAGCTTTTCTAATGGACTCTAACTTCAGTTTCATGTAGCAATTATCCGCGTAAGGCCTACATTCTAGTTTCTGTACAATTTTTCCTTCCATGTATAATTTCTCAGTTTCCGGTACCACAGCGTCAGTATTTACAGCTGCAAAATAGTAAATGAATAGTGTATAAGGAAAAATTACAGGAAATATTACGTTGGGCATGGGAGAATACTCCTAACGTTTGTTGAGTAACTGTTGAAACATCTAGTCGGTGATCCTTCGGTATGCTTTCTTGTCCTGGTTCGTTTAAGTTGAGAATTGCAGGCGAAAGAGTTAATGAAACTTGCGCCTTTTGACCTATAGGTCTACAAAAGAATATTTAGTATATGATGTCGAACGAAATAATAATTACCCTACTTTGTGATTTTTAACTTTCCAACTTCCATATCTCCTGGTGCTTTTTCCCATCGTTCGGAAACGTATTTTGGGACTTTCACTAGCCAAACTCCTCTATTAGCATTCGATAAATCCAAATCGCGATCAATATGGCTTTCTTTCGACATTTTTAAGTAGATTTTCTAATTTTTCTACACTACATTTGTTTACAAATTGACGTTCATTTGACAACTGACATTTATTTGCAAAAGTTCTACCAACATAAATAATTTCTTCGTGGCCTTTTACTTAACGAACAATTTGTTACGAAAACTTCAATAAAAATTCAATCAACTTTATTTACCTAACAATTAACACTAATATAAATAACATTAAACTAATTTTGAGACCTTAGCGTTTTCAAAATGCTCGTCACAGTTTCGATCGGCTCGAGGTGCACGGGATTGTTCTTGTCCAGCTGCTGGTGCAAATTCATCACGGAATTCGTGAAATTCTTGAACTCCGGCGTGTTGCCTTGCAACCAGACCCTCGGCAAAATCAAACTGATGAGCCTCACTTTCTGCACGGCGTCTATCAGAGAGCAAAACTTCAAGGCGCTCAACAGGTACCTGTCCAGAAGGGCCGTCAAGGCCAATTCCTTGAGGGTGGTCTCGTTCAGGATGCCCTGCCAGCTCGTGATATTCTTCAGCAGCTTCAAACCGCTGGCGAATTGCCTCTGGAAAAACTGGCACTTGCTATCGGCTATTTTCGGAGTGATCGGAATGAATACGTCGTGCTCTAAAGCGGTTTTCATTTTGTGCATAATAGCGCTGAATAGATTATGAAGTGATTTACTGGCCGGGCCTAGCGTTGGAAATCTTCTGATGTATCTACTTATAGTCCCAACCAATCTACGAAATAACAAAATATATTAATTTGGCAGAAAAAAGAGATTACCGTAATAATTACCGTAGAGTTTGAGAACTCGATAGGGGATCCCAACATCTATCTACTAGTTGAGTGAGCTTTGGTATTATAATTTTATCAATTAAACTAGGAAGTAACGAAATATCAGGATCTTTTGCTAAAGTTTCTTCAGTTTCATCATCGTGTAAACCGTAGAGAGCTAAAGTTCTGTACCACTCCAGTTTTTCCAATTCCACCATTTCGTTTAGGGGATCCCAAAACACCAAATTAAGCCTAACCAGCGGACTTACCACCTACAAAAATTTATTCAAAGTATTTATAGTAGTGTAATTGTGTATAGTAAATTACCTTGGGTAGGCAAAACGAAGCGTAGGCTTCCGAATAGGCTGTTAAATCATTAGACCTCCATTTTTCGAAGCGGATTAATATGCTCGCAGAAGTCGAGTATTCCTCTACGACATCTTCGAAAACCTCCTCCAATTCGGCCTGAATTTGCTCCCTTTCCTTATCGAACAGTAGAATATCCTGCTGCGAAATTTCATCATCGCTCGACATACCTACCAAACAAACCAATCAACTCACAAATAACTATCTATTTATATAACGAACCTTCAACGTGCTTAGGTTGCCCCGACGATTCCCTACCCCTCCTCCGTCTCGTCCTTCTCCCTTCTCTCTCGGCCGCCCTTCGTTGCTTCTCCTCGCCCTCCAACCCTTTATTAACCGGCGCCCCTTTGTTGGTGGCCTCTTCGGCCTGGTCCCGCACGTCCTGCCGCCTCCTTTCTATCAACCAGTCCGATTTGCGCGCCATCAAATCCAACGCGCGAGTCTCCAAGTTCGCAATCACTCCAACTTTCTCGTCCAAGCATTCCACGAGGTCCGTTATGTAGCCGCGCAGCTCCTGGTAGAACCTGAACCGAGTGGCGGCCGTGGGGGCTTTAACTTTCAACTCTTCGATCTCCTTTTTGACCTCGTCGATGTCGTTTCTGGTTTTGTCCAACTGGGCCTCGTGGGCGTCTCGCGATCGAAGGACCTTCTCGTATTGTTCTCTGAGCTTTTCGGCGATCATTTGCGGGGTTCTGGGTATCCCCGGTTCGATGATCGGTACCTAACGGAAGAGATGTAGATGTTAGATGGAGTGTTGGGGTATGAGAAGGTTGGGTTAGTTACTTGGGTGGTTATACGAGGAGGCGAAGGGCACTCGACTGGATAGAGCATTTCTCTGGCGGCTTCCATGGCGGCTCCTGTGACGCCTTTTCTGAGTTGCTGGTCTTCCCACTCGTCCGCTTCGAGATCGGGGGACGATTGGGCTGCTAGGAATTGCTCCCGTCTGCGTTCTTTGTCTTTTAGAAGAAGGTTAACGTCCATGTCGATTCGTTCTTCGTCGCTTTCTATATGGAAATAGTGAATTAGTAATAGTAGTGGTGTGTTTAGGGTGATTGTTTTACCGTCGTTTTCGTCTTCTCTCATTAACCGGCCTTTATCTTCGGGTTCTTCTTCTTCGACGGGTATGAAATCGCCCATTTCTCTGGCGCGCTGGCGGCGTTTCCTTGCAGCGTGGATCATTGCTGCGTCGGGTATGGCGCCCGATTCTAGTACTTTCTTGAAATTATCGGGTTTGGAAAATCTGTGTCCGACGGTGGAGTCTTCTTCTTCCGATGATAGATCGTCTTTGCCAATGAACAAAGCGTCCCGACCGCTGATTATGACCGGTGGCGGGGGAGTTTGCGGTTTCTTGTGGCTGGAATTCACCACTAAAACGAAATCGTCTGTGACTATTTCGGTCTTGTTTTTAGATTTGACGTCCTCCTTCTCGGGCTTGGTCTCCTTTTTCCTCTTTTCCTTTTCGAACATTTTTAACACCTTCTTGTTGTGCGAGGACTTTTTCACTTGGAACATTTCGCCTTCCTCCTCGTCGTCGAAGCTCAGGAGGGCTTGCTTTTTGGAGGATTTGTCTTTCTTCTTCGACTTTTTCTCGGTTCGTACGGTCTCTTGGACGTCCATTGGAGTCTCGTCGTCCTCGTCGTCATTGTTTTCCGTGAATACTCGCCGCTGGATAGTCTTTTTGGGCTTCCTAAATAGAGACATATTCGAATTTTTTAGTTGTATTTTCTACTTTCGCTTGAAAATTGACGTTTGGCTTGTAGGTTATGTTTGTTTTGGTTAGGTTGTGTCATATGTCAAACTGTTTTGTTCACTGTTGGTCTTGAATTATATATGTAAACAGTCATTTAAGGAAAATTTTTATTTTCATAATAAAAAAGAAGAATTTGTCTATTTGAAATTTGTGCAAAGATGTAAAATGAGTAAGTATAGTTTTTGAATTTGTAATATTTTGCCGTATAAACTGCCATTTTGTTAGACATTTTGCGCTGATTTTTTTAGCAACTTTATTTAACATATTATCCACACTACTCCTACAAATATGCTTTTTATATACGAACAATATATTCGCAATAAATGCATTCCTAGAATCATCAATCAAAAATCGTGGAAGTTCTTCACCATGTCCCCATTATTAAACACGCATATTTTTTACACCAACTTCCTAAATTGCATTATCGTCGAGCGTGTGTCAAATATTCCTTTAAAAATTTTACGCAAGTCACCGGTCGTATATGGAGAAATCTGGGCCCCATTGAAATCGCAAGTGCAGATGAGCTTTGTGATTTTTAAGGAGCGTTTTGCTACTTTTTTTTCTCGAAACGCTGAATAGAAGATTAACGACAATACGAAACGTAGGTTTATCGACGGTAAACACATACAATACCTCAAGATTATTTTTTAAAAGACAAGAATGATCGATTGGGCTGCTGTTTGGCCTGATATATGTTTTTTCTTTCGTTGCGTTTCTATTGCATTTATATACCAAAAAAAACTATATAAGTATTCATGTTTCAACTAATTTATGTGTTAAATATATCTAGTGGATAAGGAACCGCTCGATTGATTGGGGATATTTTGCATAAGAGGACTTGTTAAGTACATTTACTGGAATTAATAGCATTTGTGGAGAGATCGAGATGGAAATGATAAAATTCTTTTACCGGTAGTACTTAGGCAGTTCGGCTTTTACCGGGGTAAAACTGTAAAATTGAAAGACCAGTGTCCACACGCGGCGAATTCGTAGCACCTGGTCCCAGGGCACACATGCCCCTACAAAGGCCTAAAAATCACGGATTGTCACTGATATTTTATTTATTGGCCGGCGGAGTCACGAGTGACCTTTTTGTATTTTAGAAATTATTGGTTTCTTCATAGGTTCTTTCTCGAAAAAACTGCTCTATCGATGGTCACTTTAAGGTTTCAATGGAACATAATCGTTTTTGTAAAAAAACCGGCAGTTGGACGATTTAAAAGCGCTTTTTATCGACTGTAAACTACCCGCTTTTTACTGCAATACAACTGTAGATTTATTTATTTTTTTTTACCTACAATCTAAGTGATTTTTCGAAATGAAAATAGTGTATTTTTTACACTTGTTGCGCCATTCCAACCACCAGCAACCTGTGCTGGAGCGCATAAAAAAACCCACCAAAAAAAGACCCTAAAAAAACGGAGCAAACACTTGCCAAGTCGTTTCTCCGGGGCTCCACAATTAACCTTTTTACGAAAATAGCCCGTCAAAAAAAAATATACAAGCAGATGTCGAAACTACTTCCACGTGTGACGCGCGTTCGTTCACAATGCGCTCTCCCTGCCGCCCTTATTTTTTGTCTTCCCTTCTCCGGGCGCGTCCTTATATGCAGATAAAGTACGTAAAAACGTCCCCCGGTAGTTTTTTCCGGTGTTTCGGCGCGTGGAGGGTGCCGGGCACGCTCGAAGCACGATCCGTTTTTTCCCTTTTTGCGGATTTCGATGGGAAAAAAAGCGGGGTGTGTGCGCCCGAGGGTTGTTTTTTTTGTCGGTTATCAAAAACGTGGCAAAATGGTCGCATTGTGTTCACACGCGACTTTAAAATGGAGGGAGGGGGTTGGTTGATTGCGAATAAATTGAGTTAAAAAGTAAAAAAAATATCCTGTAAATGCAGATCGGGGTTGAAAAAAATTAAGAGTGCTGTTAACGCGGATTGGGGGGTTGTAACGGTTCGTTTTAACAGTAAATATTTTAACGGTTAAAGTATTTTTAACCCTTGCAATAAAAACCCTTTCGGTACTTTTTTATTGCACCTCGAATTACCTAACGGATATTTGTACAAAAATTATATGGCAAAAAATTGTATTTTTGAATAAATAAACAGGTCGTTGTATTTAAAGAAGCAAAAGTTTGATACACCTCGGCAGAAAACTCTGTATACGAGGGTAGTGTGAGAAGTTCTCACCATTTAGAACGGTTTAGAACCATTTAGAACGAATTATAGTCATTTAAAACGCTCCAGAATCATTTAGAACGCTTCAGAACCATTTAGAGCGATCCATAGGCATTTAGAACGCTCCAGAATCATTTAGAACTGTCTATAGAACCATTTAGAACGCTCCAGAATCATTTAGAACCATTTAGAACGCTTCAGAACCATTTAGAGCGATCCATAGGCATTTAAAACGCTCCAGAATCATTTAGAACTGTCTATAGAACCATTTAGAACGATCCATAGTCATTTAGAACGCCACAGAACTGTCTCGAACTAAAGTTTTTGACTTAATAAGAAGAATAATGTAATTTTTCAACTGAAAATCGCGGCTTTTCACCTTATTCTTTTCACCTCACCCTTGTAAATCTAGCAAAATTTAAAATATGCAGCGTAAAAGTAATATCTACAACTTCGTTATAACCAACCGGTTATATTGTAACCAACACGAGCTATACAGTATAAATGTTTTTATCGAATCTACTTATACCTATATCACAAATTTTAACAAGCTTCTATAGATCCTCAGATACCCATCAAATTTGTATCAAAACATCAACTGCCAGTCTCTCTTCGGTATTTTTTACATGCCCCATTGTACATATCGTACCGTCCTCGTACGTTTCTATTTATCGTCTCTTTCTTCCGCTTCCCCGGCGCGTATCGGGCTAAAAAATCAGTACGTTTGATTCCTATTTCGTCGAAATTAAATGTTGTTACGGCATCCGGACAATGGACTCCGTCTTTTCTTCAGCCCTCGGAGCTTACCTCCGCTGGAAAGTTATACATACTCCGAGGAGATTTTTTTTTGTTGAATGGGCATTCAGTGGGTTGATTTTTGTGGAAAAAGGTCCTGCGGATGCGGTATTTTTTTTTCGAATTTCGAGAGCGAATATCGATGGTTGGTTGCTGTTTTGACTAATCATAGTTAATGCAAAAAGGCGGGGGAAAGTGGTATTGTTTCGGTATTTTTTTTTTGATTAATCATCGCTCGGTCGTTTGGAGGCTCGAAAACAATGGGTTTTATACGCCGTTTTCGGGGTATATTTCGAAAAATTTCTTATAATTGAACGAGCACGTGCCGCCGCCATCGAGACTTCCCTATATAATTATAGATTTTTCGGCGTCGCCCATCCCACACCAGCTGGTATTGTTTCCTAATTAATGCCATTTTTGGTTATTCATTTTCGATATCCACACCAGAAATAAATTCATTAAAAGCTTCTTCTACAGGGTACTTCTTCATGATTCTATTAGGATGATTCCGAGACAGTTTTTGTCACATTTGCTTTGTCTTGGAGTGGATTCGTTTTTGGAAAATCCCCATCCTTGTGTAGTCTATGCGAGAGCGGAGGTAAAAATAGAAAAAAAACGCGGAGGAATAGGCGTGTTCGGAGCGCGTGCCCGGCATTTATTTTTACGCGCATTCGGGGGGAGCAAAAATGCTGATTCCGGCTAAAAAAAAATTGGGGTGCGCTACGCTGCATAGTTATTTATTGCTAGGGGAGAAGAGCTCCAGACGAGGGGTTGGCGCGTTTTTTTTTTTTCGATCTTTATTTCTCGTCGATGTTCGACGAAACGGCCACGGAAAGTTCGAGTTTCGGAGACTGTACGATTTTATTGGAAGGTTTTTTTTTGATGTGGAATGGAATGGGTGTAGACTTTTTTTTGCTGCGAGGGTCGGTTTTTTAGGCGGTTTTTGTAAGGTGTTTTGAACAGGTACATAAAAAATTGAGGGTTGGGGCGCTTGATTAACAAGTGAATTTGTATAAAAAATACGTTAAAATTGTATAGAGAATTTTCGCATGTGAAATTCTTGCGTTTGGAATAACAATAACACATACCTTCCATTCTTCCGAGTAGAAGCAGCCACTTCAATTCTCAGAGGATTCGAGTCCTATTTAAAAATTTTTGGGCTATTTTTTGCGAAAACGTAAAAGTGCATCAACTTCTTCAGCGGCCAAACCTTTTTTCATTCATGACCGAACAGCACCTACTCGCACAGAAAGGGATTAAACGGTGACAAGTATTCTCTGTTCGTCTCTCAAAAAAAATGCCCTGTAATACTTTACCTACGTTTTTTGAATACTTTTTGAAAATGTCCGGCGTCTCTAAACCTCGAATTAACTCGAAGGAATCGCATCAGTGCAAATTTGTACAGAGACAACTTCGATTAGTTATAGTTATAGCGGGACAATCGGTATAAAAAACACCTTTTAAACTACATCAATAAATGAATTAATTTGCTGCGTTTCAAATGTCAATAATGGCATTTGACACATGTCAAACAAAACTAATAATTAATATACGTCAAACGACATGTCAAAGTTTTACGCGATATGGTTTGTGGGTGCAACAAAGACAACTACTACTAGTCTCATAGTAAGTAGAAAGAAAGGGTGATAATATTGGATTGCACCTTTCTCACTTAAACCCCCATCTTTCTTTGTTCAACTCATATAGAATATGCATTTACCCATGTACCTAGTAAAATAATTTTATTTTATAACGCGCTTATACCAACCGTTAAATATTCATCGGGAAAAAAAAAAACGTCTTCATCATGCCGGTTCGTGTCTCGTTGTTGGTACAAGACCCGTAAAAAATACAACAATACCGCCGTCCTAATTCCCTATAATCACCTTAAATAAAAGCTACCGAAATCTGGCCCTATAATCTCCTATCTCGCAGAGTAAAGTACCATGAAATATCTATATTATTTACTCCGGGCCAAAATACTCGACCGACCGCACGGCGGCCAATTTTCTGAAGAAAAAAGGAAAGGAAGTTC